GAAGGAGTATCAACATGCTGGGACAGCATGTCTAGAAGGGGGGGTGATGTCAGGGCACCAGCTCATTGCTTGGTCAAGAGACATGACTAAGCCTTTATGACATGGAAGTAGCTGGTATACCTTGGCATGTGCTGGAACCTGCTGGAAGGATTGGATGGTCAGGTGACCTGCTGTGCATGGCTGTGCATGACCTCATATGACCTCATCCTTGGTCATATCACCTGATCACCTGACTAGGCTGAGTAAGCAAGATGTTCTAGCAGGTTCCACCACAGAGGTATAAATATAAGGCCTACTCTGCCTGGGACTGTCTCTTCAGACTTGGTCTCTTAGGATCATCCACAGATACCTATACTGTAGATAGGTCTTAGTCATCAGGTCTACTCCACTTCCTTGTTGCCTGCTTAGACTCTTGGCACTCTTAGGTGAGCAGACTTAGTCAGCCTGTGTTGCCCTAACAGGGACCGCCTGAATGAAAACCGGTTTCTGGTTTATGCTCAGCCTACAAGTAATGAGGAGCCTGCAGCAGGGAGCATTATGCACCATCTGTGGCCTGTGCCTCATTCGGAATTGGTGTGAGTACCTGATCGATTGTCTCATGTCCAGGTTGATGCTGAAAGGAGTTCAGGAGAGGATGTCAGCACCTCTTGCGGGAATTTTGGCATGGAATTCCCAATGTGGAACAACTGCCAAAAGCAAAGGAAGTGATGGTGTGGTACCCCCAGTTGTCTTTTCTGAGCAGAGACAGAGAGATGATGGTGCATCTCACATGGCTGATGTCCTCATCTTCCCTGGTACATGATGTGCTGTAATCCTGCAGCATGACAAACTGACATCCTTCCAGTTGTGTGGAGTGTGCCGGAATATTTGCCCATCATGCATGACCTCATGCATTGAGTGTGGCAAGGACTTCTGCATTAACTCCTCTCATGGGGAAGGTTGTGCAAAAATTGGATGGACAGATATTGAGAAACTGGGAGGCATCCGATGTGTGCCCTGTTATACAGCAAGAAAAGAAGTTCAGCCTGTGAGTTTTTTTTTGTGGATTGAGTGTAATGTACTAAGGAGAATAAGTTCAAAATTTGGGGGAGTTCAGAGGCTTGGGCAAGAGGGTCTGCTAAGCCATGACCTATCATGGCACTCTTTGTTCATTGGAAGGAGGAGGATGGATTCAGCATCAGCACCTTTTCATCTCAAGCTGCCAAAGCATGTCTAGGGGGGATGTTCCTGAATGATAGAAAGGTGTGTCTGCATAGGTATTGAGATGTTTGACTGATGGTGAACAGATGGAAATGTTCAACTGGGTTGACATCAGATTATCCTACCTGGGAACAAGGTGGCAGGTGGGAAACAGCCCAGCCAAAGCAGTGGTCTCCATGGACACAACTTGATTCCTCAAGGAGGACACTGCAAATTGTCTGGCAGGCATGAAGGCAAGGTAGAGTAGTGTCTTGTTGGAAGATGAAAGATATATTGACAGATTACTAGGCACAGAGAAGACTTCCACATTCTGTGCATTGTGGATACTCATTCAGATATGAAGGAAGGTGACTTGCAGCTACAGTTACCCAGTATGGATGGAGAATGGGGCAATCTGATGGATGTAAGTATGGGAAGAGCTACTGATGGGATGGAACTAATCAATGGAATAGTTGACAGCCTTCCTCTTTGGGGACCTGATGCCTTGTTCGGAGTGCAAGAGCACATGTTGCATGTTGCTTGCCTGCACAGCCATGGTGACAAAGGGAGGGGGGAAAATCAAGTGGGCCAGGTAAGGAATTTGAGGAATTGCAAGTTGTATGGGCTGACTTTGGCTCAGGCACCTTTGGCATGATATCATTGCATTCACAGTGCCAAAACTTGAACCCCACCATTTGACTGAGCATTTCCTCCTCCTGTTCCTCCACCATCGCTTCCTCAACCACAGAACCTTCAAGGACACTGTCATGTGTGCTTATGACAAGGAACTGTGCATTGAGCATGATTACAATCTCTACTGGTTTGGGGAAGACAAAACATTGCAAATCACAGCTGGTGCTCCTCAGAAGAATTGGAATGGAAATCTGCTTGATCAATTCTGTCCCACCTGCCATCAGATCATGCAACGGAAGGGAGCTCAAAAAGGGAAGGAAGCTAAATGTGGTCAACAGTTCTGCTGCACAAGGAAGGACTGTAAGAAGGGGCAAGTTATGCTGAAATTCCGGAATGGACAGAATGGGGTTTGGGCAGCTTATCCAAACCCCCAGGATGAGAAATGGTGTGTACTCGAAATTGAAGTCAACTTCAATGAAAAATGGCCCTGCCTTCAGGCTCAGTGTACTCATAACATCAGGTGGATTGCAGAGGCCAAGGAGGTGGAGGAAGATGATGGGATGCTTCATCACTTTCACCACCTCCTGAGTCCCCTGTTCAAGATACTGCTTGGATTGAGGAAGAGCCTTCAAAAGAGGACAAAGCACCACACAGCCTATCACCAGCAAACTCTGGGGAGACCAAATATGACCCTGATTGAGTGACACCAGATGCTGATGCCATGGTGGTCAACATGGTGACTGTGGACTTGAGGCAGCCAGGAGGCTCTAGCAGTGCTAAATGCTCAAGCACTGCTACCCAAAAGAATCCTGCAGGAGGTCCAGGGAAAGACTGGTTCAAAGAAAGGGAAGGGGCAGTTGGAAGGACCAGGACAACATGAGGGGGTGAAGAGATTGCCAGAGCAAAATTGATGGCACCAGGATTGAAGGCATATCTCCATAGCAAGAAGACTGCCAGTGTGGAGAAGTAGGGAACTAGATTATATGTTTTTGGATGCCTTGAATTGATATGCTTATGTTGTTGTTCATGCATTTATGGAATGATAGGATTAGAATGGAGAAATATTGAAGAAGATGTAAATGTTTGCAGATGAGAAGGTGAAAAAATGTGCTACCATGTAAATACAGTAGATATTGTAAAAAGGCAGTTCAAAAAGTTGATATTATGTCTAAGTGGATTATATATTATGTTGAGGAAAACCTTTGTTGGAGTTCTGGTTCCTAAGCAACAGATAACAAGCACACGGATGCAAAAAATAAAATTAAAGCAGAGCTTAAACTGGATTACTAATTAAAAATAAAATAATAATTCGGAGGCTGGGTCTCGCTGGAAGGATGGGTCTGAGAGCGATCTAGGGTCCTGTCCTTTCCCACCGTCCGTATGCTAGCGCCCATTCGCCGCTTTCCTGATGACGCGTCTCACGTGCCGGTCCCCACATTATGCGTGTTCACCACCACCGCAGACTGACAACTCAGTATCTTCCTCTCTCCTTCATTATTGTCGTACAATGGCCTCAGATCCAGCAACATCCGCACCAGCAAACCTCAAGATTCTACTTATTGGAGACTCTTCTGTAGGCAAGAGTTCCTTGCTGCTGCGCTTTTCGGATCAGAGCTTCCTCAGCGAGGAGGAATCGTCCGCAACGATCGGTGCGCACTGATTAATACAAGTGGGATGTTCAAGTGCTTATGTATTAAATGAAAGGGGTGGACTTTAAGGTGCAAAGAATCGAGGTGGATGGTGTCAAGTACAAGCTGAGTATATGGGTGTGTGCCATCCCAATTGTCAACAAGGAAAACGGACTTAAACGGAGCGCAGGACACGGCCGGGCAGGAACGATTTCGCACCATAACCTCATCTTACTACCGCGGTGCGCAGGGGGTGATACTAGGTATGCTGCGCCCCTTCTCGACTTGGACGAAACCATGCTCACGCGTATGCTGATAGTGTACGATGTCTCCTCGCGAGAGAGCTTTGACGACCTCCCCCGGTGGTTCACTGAGCTGGAGACATACTGCGGCCCAAGTGTGGCTAAGGTGATAGTAGGGAACAAGATTGACAAAGTGCGACTCCCTTCCCCCATTCCACATGGTTCTTTTGTATTGACGATGGTCAAAGGAGTTTAGCCGACGTGTACCAACCGCCGAAGGACAGGCATACGCCGAAAGGATGGGTGCTCTTTTCCTTGAGAGTTCTGCAAAACGCGGTATACACGTAGACGAAGTGTTCCAGACTATCGTGCGCAAGGTACGTCGTTTCTCCCTCCGGGAGAGATACCGAGACTTATTTGGTTGATGCAGATTGTGGCAACCCCAGAACTATGGCAGAAGAATAAACCGGGCACGGCTAATGTGAATACTATGCCTGGAGCAGGTGTACGACTCGAACAGCCAGGGCAAGTGGAGCATCCAGGATGTGGATGCTAGATGACTAGTTATTTCCCGCGGATCTGGTTGTACACGACGATTTGACGACTTGTAACACTATCTTATTTTTGTTCATTAACGACTAGACGAATGCTGGTTGGTAACTATAGTTGTACACATGTTAGCAGCTCTCTGAGAATCGGGCTCCCGTCTCTCCCAACTGGCAGCCCCACGCAGCAGATCAGAGATAGGAAGGTGGAAGGTGCCTAGTGGCTACCCCAATTCATGCCCATATCCGTTCCTGGGACCTTGGGATGGTCGGCCACCTGCGGCTTGCTCTCGTACACGGCAATGACGGGCTTGTCCTGCAACTGGGTCTTGGGTCAGCAACGGGGTTGTTCGTCGAAGGGCAGGGAAGGAGAGCATACAGGCTGCCACTCGCCGTAGAAACCGATATAATAGACACGCGTCGTCTCCCCTCCGACTGAGGCAGGGACGAACAACGTGATAGACCGACAAGAGGAGAACTTTGCCGCCCTACACGCCGTCAGCTAATCACTCCATCCAGCGTGGGAGAAACTTACTTGAGCGGGTACTCGACCGCCTCCCTCGCCTGAGGACACTCCAACTCCTGGGCAGGCGTGCGCTCAGCCACGTCGGAGAAGTCTAGATTATCCTCGTTCGGGAACTACCAAGGTCGCGTTAGCCGATCGCATATATGCGGTATCCGGACGCGACGACGTACGAGCAGTACTTTTTCCGCAGTCTGCTCGCCGGGGCCGGTCTTGAGCATCAGTGAGCGAAGCTTGACGTTCGCCGTGAAGGGGATACGGAATATAAGCTGATCATCTGCGTCTGACTGGACGTACTGTGCACGTGTCGCCAACATCAGACTCGGCATACACATCGCCACATCAAGTACGTACAACACGCTCATCTTCTCTCTCCGCATGGGGCTTTAACACCTCCCTCCCCGCGCCTGCGCCTTCCGAATCACTAGCATTAAGCACCATAACGTTGGGGATGTCGATCTGCGCGTGCAGGGAGTTAGGCGTCGAGGACAGGGGTTTGTCCGCTTCGGAGTGGTTGTGCCCGTCGTGCCCATGTCCGTCGGCGTGATGGTGCCCGTGCCCATGTCCGTGCCCGTGACGTCCGTGAGAATGCGAATGGGACATGCTAGGTAATTGACAGAGTTGAGCAGGTCAGGAATGAGAGAAATTTGCAAGGGTGGAATAAGACGAAAGTCATTCCAGAATGCACGCGCTGTTTCTTATACGAAAAAAGTCGCGGAGTCATCAGCGGTAATGTTCGCTTCATCACCACACTTGGAGCTATCACACGCGTGCACACAACGTTTTGATATTGGTACGTAGTAGGATAGGACGTAAAAGATACACGTACATCAATACATACAACAGTCATTACTTTACTTTCAGGAGACGGACATCAAACCAGAATCAAGCATGTATCACAGCCGGAGTCATCAGGAGTATTCTCACTTTGACTCTCAAATCTCCTCAGGACACCATCATTTCCGGCATCTCCTCCTCCAAATCCGCCACTCTCATATTCAGAGCCCTCATCCACTCTCTATCCCCCTCCGTCACCGCATTCGCACAATAATGACCCGAGCCTACTGCCACACCTCCCCAGGTGGCAGCAGTGGGGCCCGTACCAAACCCACTTACGTAGTGCCCCCCAACAGATGCAGGGCGCTCCATGTCCATCGCTTGGAGTATGAATTCCCAGGAAAAAATGACTTCCCCAACCGGGCGGCGGGCAACTTCGTACAGCGCTAGGGTGAGCCAGCGGGCTGTCCACCGCTCACGGCATACTCCACAGGTGTAGGCGAACGGCGTGTCCGTGAGCGCTTTGCGGATCGCTTGTGAGTGCGCGTTGCGCCACGCTAGAAGGCGAGTGAACGCGCTGGCAGAGAGGTGCAGGACGGAGGACTCCGAGGTGTCGTCTAGGTCTGTGTGGAGGCAGGCGGAGGCGGCCGCGCGGGAAAGGGAGGGAAGCGTATAGCGCTGAGCGAGGGCATAGACACGCACCGGATCGGAGGCGAGCAATTTCCGGGAGCGTAAGAGGGTGACAAGGGTGGAGACGGCAGACGGAACGTCGTACTTGTGCGCGGCTTCGAGCGCGGGCACGAGTTCGTCTATTGTCAGGAAGGTCGGGTTGGGGAGGGGATAGATGAGCTGAAGCAGGGATGTAAGGGTAGAGGTATCTTCTTGGCAGTCTATGACCGGCAGAGATGAGTCACATTCGGGCGAGTCGGCAGGGAAGGTGTCCTGCTGCGGGAGATCGAACAAGGCCCGGAAGAACGGAGAAGACTCGGAGAGGATCCGTCTCCATGCGTGCAGCGAGACACCGTCCGAACTGCGCAGAACAACATCGCCCTGATCGAACGCTGGTGTAGAAGCGATAGAAGAAGTGTTCGTCTCTGTTGGGCTCACCGTCCTCGAGGGTGGGACAACTATGGAGAGGAGAACATATGTGTGAACGAGATGTACAAAACGAGCGAATTCCAGGCAGGCTTACAGTACGTAATCTTCCCTGGCATACACATGCTCTGAAGCTCCTTCCATCCCTCCATAAACGCCCAGTGCACGTCACACGTCGCGCATACGCCCGCCACGGCATTCCGAGCCATAAACTCTTCTCCAAGGATGATGCGGGCACTCGGACGGCGCTGGATCTCTGCGAGCGCTCGCTGACGGTACTGTGCTGCCCAGGAATTGGAGTGCTGACAGGTCTTGCAACGGTGGGAGAGCCACTTCTCGATCGCTTGCGTGAGCTCAGTACGCCGTCGTTTGTGCAACCGCACGAGACGGACGTAGTCGACTGCACTGACACCGGTGAGGTCGGATGGCGCGAGACTGGCAAGATCCACAGCCCCTGACGCTTCTCCCGCCAGTTCTGTCTCGGCTTGGAGGGACCAGAGCGAGGCGGCTGCATATATGCGCACCGGATGAGCATGGAGGAATCGAGGGCTGACGAGCTGCTTGCGTAGGCGGGTGATGAGCGATGTGATCTGATAAGTGACACAGAGCTGTATCAGAGAGAGGAGTTCGTCAAGCGAATCGATATCAGGAGAAAAGTCCGGATAAAGATGGGTCAGGAGGAGGTCGACTATATGCGCTGGTGCGGGGATATGGATACGGGGTGCCTTGGTACTTGAAGCGATGCATGCAGCGAGCACAGATGATGCACGGCGGAGTATAAGAGTATGTGCATGTAGCTCCTCATCGTCTGTTGTGATGAGCACGACGTCTGCGTCTTGCACTGGGGGTGAGAAGCTGAATTCGCTTAGCGCTGGAGTGTCGTGTGCGCTGTCTGCATCTTCGTCAGGATGAGGAAGTGACAGTGCCAGTGAAGATGGCGAAGTAGTAGGCGTTTCCATTTCTACAAATGTACAGAGAAGTATGAGAGAAGCAGGAGACAGAGAGGTATAAGCAGGAGAACAAGGATATCAACGAGTCATGGGCGCTTCTTTTTCCTGAGAGAGAACGGATTACATGGTTATGTAAGGTACATTCCCAATAGATTCCGTTGTGGCTGAAAGCATGTCAATGGGCGTGGCAATTGCGCTTAAATCCTTTTGATCTGCTCCTCCTACCTCGAGAGAGACGGGCATCATGGCCCTCCCTCTCCACCGTTCACGACTCATCACCCGCATACTCCTCCTCATCACTGCAATTCTCTTCCTAAGATACCTCTTTGGCTCACGCGACTCTTCAAGAGAGATACGATCAAACAGCGTCTTCGAACGCGTCGCGATCTCTGGCAACGCACTCGATGTACAGCGATATCCATTCCTCCAGGCGCGTATAGGGAGAGACGAGCGTCCGGACATGTTCGATGAGGTCATTGATAATGGTGTGAATGACTTCTGGAACAGGTTCCAGCTACCTTTGTGCGTTCTTTCTCATGCTACCCTGATTCCCGCGCTGATCAAACCAAGCATGACCTCCCCCGAAACGGCGCAAATTGACGCGCAGATCGTACGATCAGCCGTAGATGAACTGCTCTCGCTGAACGGATGGGTGGCCGCTGCATGTCCAACCCTCATCCGACCTTTTGGGCAAAAAGAGGGCAACTTCGAAGAACTCTCCGACCCGTCGCACCTCTACTACGTCGCCATCGTTATCCACTCAGCCGACCACTTCCTTGTCGATCAACTCGCCGTCATCGTCCAGATGGCGCGGCGTATTGGCACGCACAATATCTTCGTCTCTATGCTTGACTACGACAGCCAGGACGCGACACAGACGTTGACAGACCTATGCGAAGCAATCCTCGTCCTCCTTGGCATCCCGTTCCGTATCCGCCGCGTCGCTGCGATGACCCTCGATCCTAGTGCGGCATATTACCCGCTCGAAGAGGCGCACACACGTAACCTCGTACTCGAGCCGTTACGTGAACTGTACGAGAAACGGAACATCCGCTTCCACCGTGTCATCTGGCTCAAGGGCTTTACGTGCCCCAACGATATCTTCGAGACCATCAAGGTATCACAGCAGAACGAAGCGGCTATGGTGTGCGGCATGGACTGGGCAGAACACAATGGATTCTTCATCTTCTCTGACCGGTGCGCCTATTCTCTACCCCATCAATTACATGCTAACAACCCACAGATGGCGCACGAGAGATATGGACGGGGATCAGTTCCGTCAGTCCAAGTCCAGCTCGAACCAGCTCGCAGGTCCTCCTCGGGATGCCGTCGGTTCGGCCCGTTATGCCCAGCACTTACCATTCCAAGTGTTCTGTTGCGAGTCTGGGACACACGTCGTTGATCCCGCCCAGTCCTACTATCGCGGAATCAAGTACCGTGCCGGGACGCAGTATCACAACACGACTGCCTCGCCTGACGTGCCTGAACCGAAATGGGACTCGAGGGGCGACTGTCAGGACAGCTCTCAGGCGTACTTCTGCCGCGATCTGTGGGTTGAAGCTGCCAAAGATCCAGGTGGGGACGCCAGAGCGGCGGAGGCGATGTGGGAGGGGGCGCGGGGACGGGCGAAGCGCGATGAGGCTGAGGCTGAGCCCGAGTCAGCAGAGAAGCGCGCCGGTGCGGTGGATGATGACCCTGCACCTCTTGCCCCTCCCATGCAGGCCAACCCCGGCCCAGACGCAGAGCCTGACGCAGGTGCGAACGAGCGCAAACCTGTGAAGGACAGCTCCGATCCTGATGCTAACGTCGGCTCGGACTTCGACGCCATGCCCGAGAGCGCGGACGACCCGACCTTGTCTGGCCCTGGTGCGGAGGATCAAGTAGCTCTTGCGGTGCCTAACTCTGCGTTCCGCCCTGCACGCATACTTATCAACCCTCGGTGCGTGACGACGTACGCCGGGGTGTCCCATACCCAGCTCGCGCTGGACCTGTTCGGCGGGGAGAGGGAGAGCAGCGTACCGGATAGTGAGAGGAGTAAGTATATCCTGGACGATTGGGAGGGTGCACCGGACTCGTTTGTCTGCCAGGAGCAGAGAAGGACAGGTGGGAGGAAGGCGACTAAGACTCAGAGGAGGCTCGCCTTCTCCGTGTATGAGGAGCTGCAGAGGAGAGGGTTCTAGCAATGTAATTGAGGTGCGCTGGAGCACGATGAGAGCAGATGATTGTTCGGACTTTTCAACTGTCTTGGGACTGTCCGTAGACGGCCGGCGCTCTGTGCGGCTGGTATATCCATACGCTTGAATCCTGCAAAACGTAGTGTAATATGTTCCATCAGCAATGCATTTATTCTCCCACTCGCAACAATAAGGGATAAAGCGCATAGTATTTCCGCTACCAACATCTACTTAGCTTGGTAAAACTATATACAGCCTCGTACGTGGTTTGTGATGGGAATGCTTCGATTTTACAATGGACAGGGCGAGGATTTTCGAAGATTGAAAGAACGGCAATTCAACATACTATTGAGAGACCAATCGTTACAGCAAAGCAACAGCTGTTACTGAATGATGTTCTTTTTAGAGTAGGCCGAAGAATATTAAAAAGAAAACATTTTGAGAGGGACTAAGATTATTCCCTTATCAGTGGCCGTTGGGCATCGGAATGCCGTTGCTGTTAGCACTCCCATTAGGCTGGTGATGGCTGAGAGCCTCATCAGCGCGCTTGAGGTCGCCTTCACTGAGAGTTCTATTGAAGCCGCCACCAGGAGTGCTTGATCCGGACATGATGGATGACGCACGACTGCGGACCTTGAGAACGAGCGGGCTGGAAGAGAAAATCAGTGTCGGAAGTACAGTAATGGCTAATTGAACGTACAATGGATAGCTGTCCTCATCCTCGTCCGCCTTTGACAGGTGCGGCCACTGTGGAGCCCCACGGTAATCACTGGTGCCCAAGCGTTGCATCTCCTCCGTGAGCGTGCCGATATCGCCAGGCGTCATGTTGCCAGGCTTGAACCTCGGGCTACCAGGCACGGAAAATGCCTGCTTGTTGACATGGGAATCGAAGTCGAAGTAGTCGTCCTCATTGAACGAGTCAGGATATGCACGACGCAGAGCAAGCTGGCGGGCCTTCGAGTACTCGATGCCTAGGTTCTTCCAATCGAGAAGAGGGGAGAGGCGCTCCACGCGGTTGCGTTGGTTGATACGCTGCCGACGGGTCTTTGTGGCGAAAGTGTATAAGAAATCGGAGAGCTGGTTGACAGAGTCCTCGATCGATCTCATACGACGGTCGATGATGTAGCAACCCTCGTCCTCTGCGTGCTCAAGCATGTCCTCCATGAAAGAACCGAATCCAGAAAGGTTGGTTGTGATGGATGGAATGCCCATGACCGTGCACTCCGCTGGCGTATAGCCCCAGGGCTCGTAGTAACTTGGGAAGACACCCATATGACAACCACGGACGAATTCCTCATAGTCCAAGCCAAGGATGGGGTTATTCGAATTCAAGAATTCGGGGTGGAAGATGACCTTGACACGGTCGTAGTGGTTGTTAAACAATTGAACACGACGAATTTGATTCAAGATCGGATCATTGTTATCGTCGGCCATATTGTGGGTGGTAACAGGGGGCAAACTGTTCCTCTTGAGCGCAAACACGCGACGCTTGAGAAGGATCTTGTCCTCGTCCGATAGAAGATCCTCAGCCTTCGGTACTTCTGTCCCATGCTCGCCGGTATACCTCGCTGCATGCTCAAAGATGCGGTTACCGATGCGGTTTTGGATCTCTGTAACAGTGTCTCGGAGTTGCTTGGTAACAGCTTGGCCCTTGAGCGCCTCGATGGTGTACGAATGTGTTGGGGCGGGCATAATAATGAAAGCGACGACAGTAACCTTCGAACCCGCCTTTTGCAGACGATAGTTCAAGCGTGCTAGACCTTCAATAAAGAGGTCAACACCTTTGTTGCGGTACTCGTATCGACCGGCGGTGAAGAGCTGTCATGATATCAGCTTTTCCAAAGTTTCCAGTCCGGTCAACTTGCTTACGTAAAGGGTGTTGTCAAGGTCAAAATCGTAGTGACCGTAGAAGTGGCCGCGAACAAAGTCATTGATCTTTGCCTTGGCTGTTGCGTGGAGATTCTGGAACTCGTGCAATGCGGAGAACTTGACGACGTTCAAGCCGTTGGGCAGCACACCATCTGTAGATTGAAGTGAGAAACTTTGGTTGCTCATGAACCAGAAAATACGCACCAGGCTTGCGTTTGAGCAAGTGCTCAGACTCGTAGGCAGTGATATGTGACACAGTCGTGAACACATCGGCGCAGTGCGTTGCGGACCGTTCAATACAATACCTATCGCCAACATCAACCTCTACCTCATCGTACCGTGCGCATACAGGCGTACCTGTGATAGATCCCACGCTTGCCAGCCTCATGATCAACATCGAAGTACTGTAGGTTGTTGTAGAAATCGACGCTGCCGGCACAGAGATAACGACCGAGCAGTGTAGCGTGCGTCGTGAAGACGGTTGTCACATCGATATGGCGTTTCCGGCACAGAGGAATGGCCAGCCCGGCTTGCCACTCGTGGAAGTGTGCCACGACGGCTCTCTCCACTTGGCGGGATACATACTGGATTCAGGTGGGCATCAGAACCCTTGTGTATGCGCCCGATTTCAAAATTGACGCACCTCGCCCAAAAACCATGCAACCAGATACCCAAAGATGATCGTCTCGTTCGTTTCGTGGTCGTTGGGGGGTGTGGGGATGCCAGCAAGGTTCCACAAATCACCCTTCCACTCATCGAGCATGTCGTACTTGCTACCGGTATCGAACAGGATGACCTTGGGCGAGCCTTCAACGAGCCACCGACCGTGGAGGACCTTTACACCTCGTTCGCGCATCACAGCTAGCGTAGATGCTACGTGTGGGTCCGTTGGTTCTTCTGCTTCGACCTCCATCGGGGCGGTCTTGTACGAGAGTGGGCCAATGAGGGTGTATCGATCGCCATACTCGGAAACTGTCACAGGGACTTTCGTCTTGATGACGGTGTAGATGCCTCCGACTGAACCGGATAAACAAAATAAGTTTATGAATATTGACACAAGGTAGTTGCTCACCCTTGTTGGCAACCTCCCAAGCGCATTCAAACAGAAGATGCTGGGCGACATCACGAAGTTGGGGTGGGGAAGACATTTTGTGGCGATTGAACAAGGGTTCGATGTTGGAAGGTCAGGTACTCCGTCTTTGATAAGCGAGCGACGACGGCTGTGGAAAGGATAAGGAGTGTAGAAGGGTTGGGATAGAAGGAGAGGGGCAAGGGAGGGTGATTGGGACAGGCGGCGCCGAGGCAGTAATGCCTGGGGATGGAAGATGAGGAGCAGGGGAAGGGGAGTCTGACCCCCTCTTCGACGTGCGCGGTGTCTCCGTGCCACGCGTGATGAAGAAGTTGCGTCGGACGGAAGTGATGACGTAGCCCGACCGAACGCCCCCGCCCTTTCTAAGTTGCCCCACGTGACAGTGGTGCCTCTCCACGTCATGTTCCTGCCGTATACATCGGCTCTTGGTTGTTGATCGGGTCTTCACGGACAAACATATCCCATCTTTACATTGATCATCAGGGGTTCAGCCCCACTAACCAGATCTGGTTGAATGCGGCCATCGACATCACAACTTGGCAACTTGGCACATCCCAACAAATCTTTCTGAATGTTTTCATCGAACACTGGTGACGCGGAGTAAGCTGGCAACCTGTACAATAACATACTGTCGTCTTCTCTCCCTCTCTACACGTTTCATGACTTATTTGGCAGACTCCACCCGAGGAACACCGCGCTTCGTCACTCAGCAAGGCTATTCAAGCCGTCAGAAGGCAGTGGCACTTTCGAAGAATACATGGCGTTACAGCTCCACAGCTTCCTCTGTTTCGTTCGCTATAATATCATCTGCAGAGCTCTATGTGCCGCTCCGTTATCTGCCACGCTCGACAACAATCTTAGGAGGTCTTAACTTCCGAAATGTTCAACCTTGGGACATCAACTCGCGTCCTCCCAAACATCACACTCTCAATTTTCTATCCAATATGCGAAGTTGATCCTACCGAGTTTGACTCCCTCGATCCTCTGTCCAACCTGATGTGCTACATATCGTCCCTCCTCTATAGGCCGACATGCCAAAACAACACAAGACGAGTCTACGAGCTTGGTTCAGTGGCAGGAGAACTTTGAGCCACAAATGGAGTCGCCTCTCACCTCCGTGGTGATAGACATCAGCCCGACCACGGGGCAAGAAACAGCCGACAGACACCACCTTGACGCAGGAATATGTTCCGAGCTTGACGGCCTCACACTTCTCGCCCCAAGTCGTTGTGGCCTGCATGCAGTCAGTGGCCAATTTTTTCCAAATTCATAGCACCCGGATGCTTGATCTCGACGCAAGAATCTTTATGCCGCCTCGTCCTCCAAATTGGCACCTCCACCGCCCCCGGTCTTCCACTTTCGTAGCCTAACCCGAGGCATCAGCGCTAGTCCGCGGTCGGACGTCTCTTCCCAGCTCACCGTGCCTTCCAATATCCCATCCTGTAGGGGGGAAAGTGGTCCAGACGAGTCACTTGCTTCCCACTTGGCGTGCAGCTTCAGCGATTTCATACTACTCGAGGCTTATCCGCTCACAGGAGCACAAGTTGCAAGTAGCCAGACGGGGGGTGAACAGTTTGCTGGCAGTCCTGTATTTCAGTGGGGAAAGAACCTCCTCGGACAAGTAACACAAATCACCCCCACCCCTCTTTGCCCTCCTTCATCCTACTTGGACAATCCTGCCTTCCTGTTCCCAGATCTGCCACCGACCCTTCCCTGCTTCCAGGTTCTTATCTTGACTCGGGACGCTCCTCTGTTTGGAAGGACTTCTTCCTTCAAAGAAGGATTGGGGTTAAGGTTAGGGTTAGGAATGCTCAATTGGCTATTCTCATACTATTATTACGCAGTCCACATTGAGTAGACTACAATACCATTAACCGCGAGCCACGCGTAGAGATGTCTATGGGAAAACATCTGCTTGTGTTGCTGTGTTGTCACATCGTTGTAACCCGTTTGTTGAGATCGGCAAACGGCACCTGACACGAAATCCAACGGCACCCCTCATCCCCGCGGGACAACCCGCCCGTGCTACCGCTCGCTCCCCGCCCACTGGTACATGACTCAAATGCAGGAAATGAACAATACACTGCGGAAAGAACGGAAAAAACGCCAGAGCGAGTCGAGGGCGGGTGGGAAGGAGGTGGAGGCGTGGGAGCGTGAGTGTGGGGTTTATGCCATCGGCTGGTGTTGTATCGTGTCGTTCATGTCGAGTCGTGTGGTATCTAATCTTATTCAGGTGGCTACCGTCCACGTCATGAGAATCAGGCACAACAAGAATCCCTAATGTCCAATACAGTGTGGTTCAAACCGGTCGTCAACTGAACAAGACACTTGGAGCATCAAGCAGAACATCTCCAATCGGGATTCGGGCCAAGGTCGACTCCCTTTCCGCATCGCGCGAACAGCTAGAAGAGTGTAGGCGCGGATTATGGCGGTCGGGATCGGTCGTCAGGTCTTCTTGGGTCTGAGGATTTTGAGCTTGGGAAGGAGGATAACCCGTGAATAACTGGAGTCCGAGTCGCCGGGTCGTCGTTCAGGCACATGCGCATGGGCATGCAGCTGAAATCGACACCGTGCCTAACCGCACTGTATCGTGTCGTCCGTATCGTAGTAGTCAATATCGGTCGTCAAGTCGCCCCTGAATGTGGGGAGGAGGAGTAGTACCGTGCAGTCCGGCATCAGTAAGCAGCGAGAAGCGTACAGGTCCTCGACGACCTGCGCTCGTAGAGCATGCAGCTCGAATTAGATGCGTACAGCCCAGCACTGGTCGTCGCTTGAATCTGGAAGATATATGTCCATCCCAGCGCTAGGAATAGATTTATAACTCCTCGGAAAGAGCAGGCAGGATACACATGTACAGGCGAAACTGGTCGTCAAGTAGTCCCTGAAGCAGGAGTCGCGCAGAACGACATTTGAGTAGTAAGCAGTAAATAGACCATCCTCGGAACCGGATTGACAGCAGCGGGCAGCCGATCGGCGAGCAAGCCTTTGGGTACTTTTATCCAGCAAGAAGCACGAGGAATAGTTTAGTAGTAGTGAAGTGAGCCTGCCGACCCGGCGAGCAGCCAACATCAAGCCACGAGCAAGAAGCATGCAGTGCAGCTGTCACCCCGGATCCAGGCGCAGTCGGCCCAGAACGCCCAGCGCCCAGCGCCCTGTTCTGCCCAGCCTCGAGCCAACCAGCCCACCAGATGGAGGAGGGGAGCGAGTCCGTCCGAGCTGCAGTCCGAGGGCGCGAGGGCGCGTCCAATCGAGTCAGCACCCCATCTTCATCTTCATCTGCATCTTCATCTTCATCTTCATCTTACCTCTTCATCTCCGTGATTTTCGTACCGCCGCAGCCGGTCCAGCTCCGGCCGGACAAGCAGGGGTGAGGAGTGGACAAGTGTGGTGGTACGCAAGGTGGGTGGACGATTAAGGGTTTGTCTCAGGCTGGCGTAGGAAACTAAGTCGCAGGCAGCAACCCCCATTCATGACCGGTGCAGTCCAGCGCAGTCCGCGGCGTGTGTTCCTCCTGTTCCGGTGAGTGCGGGGGTGAGGTGTTTTTCCCCGGTGCTGGAGGGGCTGCTCCGGATATAGACGTTCAAGACTTTGGAGAAGAAGAGACCAGCCGAGACCCCCCATCTCACTCTCTCCTTTGTTCGTGCAAGTGCGACCCAAAAACAGTCCTTGTCCTGGTTCCAGGGATGGAGCGCCCAGGCCCGCGCCACGCTCGCTCGGCGCGGCATCTGCCGTTATGTGTTATGTGGGCGCCAGAGGGGACCAATGAGCACGCGGCGAGTGCGGGTGTTTCTGTCGGGAGGGTCGGGGCTTGTTGCTTGACTACGACGTTGTTAGCGTATCGTAATGAAGGAAATGTAGTATGATCCGGTATTGGGGTGAAGCTTGTGAGTAATGGGACTAGGCGGAAACGAAATTCCACTGAGGTGATGTGTATGGGTCAGACCAGTGGAAAAGAAGGGGGGGAGACCAGACCAAGGAAGAGCGAGACCTGAGTCTGCGCTAAGAAGGGGGCGCGTCTCTGTCGTGGGCGTGTGGTCAGCAGGCGGATTATTTTTTTTCTTTGCAAAGGGGAGAAGGGAGAGGGAAAGTGACCTGTGGGTGTACATAATCGAGTGAAAAAGTGGGATGACCCCCAGCCCCCGTTTCCCCTCTCCTCTTTACTGTTTCTTCCCCCTCTATCAGTCAGATCAGTGCAATCAATCTACTCCCATCAGCATCACTCCCGATTAGGCAGTTGTTGTGTCTTCCGACTCATTCCACGCGCGCCTGCAACGCGTCTCTCTCTCTCTGTCTACTGCACCCGACAGTATATATATCCTCACACTCAACCAGAGCAAGCCTCTTTTCTTCCCCCCCCAAACTAGAACCACCACCTCCTCGAGCACACCCATAACCATAGTACGCTTTCCTCTTCCATCCCCCATTCCCCCTCCCCTCACTCACATCAAAACAGTAATGATGCCACCATCACAAGACTTCCTCCGCCAGCTCGACGCGCCCACCACCCCCTTCTCCTCCGCACCTCTCTCCTCCTCAAAAGGCAAGATCCTCTACACGGACCCCTCCGGCCGTTTCCGCTTCTACTTTGCAGGCCTCAAAGGCTCAGGCAGCGCCTCCTTCCTCCATTACGCGATCGACGACCTCGAGCCCTCCGGCCCAGGGACGACGGGGCGGCCGATGACCTATTCTGTCTACGTGCGGTTGAAGAGCGATCAGAGGCCAGACGACGAGCGCGTCAAGTTCGCCGTCGTGCGGGCATTCAAAAACCTCGGAAACCTCTTCACGGTGGATATCGATGTATGAGCGGGGGCGAGCGAGCGAGGAAGAGAAGAAGATACAGGCCGGGTGGGCGGCACGCGCACGCTCGCTCGCCACCACCCCGTGCCCCATCTTGCCGACCAGAACCCAGAACCAGAACCAGAACCCAGAACCAGACGCAATACTATTGCCCCCTTTCCCATCCATCACATCACATCCCACCCCCTTTCCCCTACGGGTCTGAACCCCCCCCCGTCAGCGCTCGGCAGTGCCCGCGCCCTCCCCTACGCCCTGGAGGCTCGGGCACAAGCGTTAATGGCTCATCTATCATGCATGGGCCGACCGATACCCCCGCTTGCCGGCAACCTACCCCCCACCCCACCCCCCAAACCTTCATCTTGTCGTTTGGACAGGCAGGCCACTCTATTGCTATCCTTGTGTCTCATTCTCTGCACTCCTACTCGTTCCTCGGCCATATAAATTAAAGTATTGTACACTCTGCTATTATTCGCACGTACACGTATCTGCTGCCACTTCTACTTTCTGAGTATTTCACGCCTGTGTCTATACAACACCAAAGCGACCGGATCTCTGAATAAAATAGGTTTCGTTCCTTCCCGTGCATTCTTCCCAGACCAATACAGGAATAAACACTCGTTCTGCCCTGCATCCAATCGGCATGAAACAGTCCCCTACACCGCTCTTCTATCCCTCTTTTGAACAACAAATCTCATGCGTTCCTCGCAATATTCTCCCATTCTCGATTCTTGTGTTCTCGACTACCGTCTCCCGCTCCTTCCTCCCGGCCACCCGGGGGCAATGCACCTGCCAGTCAGAGCCTTCCTCTCACGCGTACGGCCTGCATCACTGGCGAAGAGGGACATCAAATGGTGTCACCCGATGCCTGCAACCCCCCGCAGGGGGAGCCCGATCCAGACATGGAGATGCAGGAAACTGTCAAAACTCCGACGCAGACCCCCACGCTTGGGCGCATCTTGCCCCCTTTTCCTTGATCCTTTTCGTCCTTTTTCGGGGTGGGAGCTCGTCTTCGTTGGGGGGACAGCTGCCCACGGTGTACAATGCCGTATGGACAGACTTCGTTGCTTCGTTGCACCTACCCTTAGTCCCTAGGAGAGCGAAGACCTACGCGGTCAGCCGTGAGTGAGCTGTCCTGCCAGGCGCTTTCCCGGTACTTGTTTTTGAGATCGTTCTATGCACCTGCCTGAGCTGGTCATGGTCCGCCTCCAACAAGGGAGGATCGTGCCCAGCTCAGGGGGATGCGCGGAACGCGCGGATGGCTCAAACAGGGATATGCAGCTGCAATAACTGGTGATAGTACCCGGAAATCGTAACCCCATCTGCAGAAAGGGAAACACAGGGCGTCGGCTGGCAGAACGAAGTATACCGGTGTACCGGGAGCCAGCGAGCACTCTGCCGAGTTGCGAGCTGTCGGCACTAGTGGTATCAACTTGTTTCTTTTCTTCTCGTCTGACCGACCACGACCGGTGCTTGTGCAATCGTCCGAGACAATGGCATTATTGTCGGTGCGCCGCTGATAAACACAGACGGGCGGATCTATCTGGAGATAGAAGCTGCATAGCATCCGTCTGAAATTACAGGCCCGAAGCTTGGACAACAGCCGAAGGCAGGTAATATCGAGTCTTGCGTACCTGAAAGGGAATTTCCCCTTGACTGCCGAACCGAGCCGCACCGGTGAAAGTCTAGAACGTTGGGCACTTCTGATGACCTGCCGCGCCTTCCACCAGGTATTGTCAATTGTTCAGGGCTGCGGGGAGATTTGGGCCATAGTCCATCGGTCATGCGACGGGCGCCAGGAATAGACAACACGGGCCGTGCGCGGAATAGGCAGCCTGGCGCTCGCTGTTCGGTGATTGGGAACTGTCGCAGTGGTCCCAGGAAGCACTGAATTGCCAGAGTGACGGTCCAAAAGTGTTGCATATCAGAAACTGAAAGTACGGAAAGTTACAAGAACCTGGCAATATTTCGCATGAAGCTGGAAGAACCTTTTCCAAAGCAGGCCGTCTTTCGTTGTCGGACCAGCACAGTAACGAGGCGGGAACAAATACGCGTGAAGGGTTGCTTCTTCTCCTGCCCCCGTCTTCGTAGGTCATCCACTGTGCATCTAGAGGGTCTTGGCGTCTGCAGTGCAGTGTAATATTCGGTCCGAATGTGTAGCGGATTGCCTCAGCTGAGATTGGTGGATCGAAGCAAATCTCCATCTCGGGGATCGCATGTCAGGATACTGGGGGCTGCAGATCGGGCGCCACAATTCTGGGAGAACACTGCTGCCACTTCGAACGGGCATTGACGAACGACAGGGGGGGCCTTCCTCTTTTGCACTCGCCGGAGCTTCCGGGAGTTCAAATGCACCTGGTGTGGCCGCAACTGGCACCCCTCACAGGAGAGACGGTAACGTAGCGATAGTCAAAACCTGATCCAGGGCCGAGCCAATCGCACGCAGTCCGGGTGATTCTTTTGACACTGCCGATCTTCGGGAATATTGCATTCCCAGTGATTCTGTCGGAGAATTGCTCCCCCTTGCTGGAATAGGTCCAAAGGACGAGATCCATGGTCTGCTGCCTGCGAAAGTGTTCACAACACATCTTCTCAATCTGTGGCAACTTGTCTTTCCTAGCACAGCTATTGACCGCCCATTGAGCACGTGTACCTGCCATACACGTCACGATTGAATAAGGAATTGCCAACAAACGGAGAACTCGGGTCGGAGTCTGAATATCTTCCGTATCAATCACTGATGTTGATATAGAGCCACAAGGCTGGGCTTGAGGCTGCCAGATTTCGATCCCTTCCCGGTTGTTCTCTCTACACGGCCCTGAGGGTGAGCTGACAGTCGAACGGAACGAAAAGGATGCGATGCGGACCGATGTCACGATACGCCGAGTGTGACCAACCGAGTAGAGAATTCCATCAGTCCTCTATCACACCTTAATACTGAAGCATTGATGATCGCAAGCGGGGTGTACCGCCGTGGGGATGATAACCCTGAGAATGATGGAGTTTTGTCACTGCCGTGCGCATAGCATTCTCTAACCGAAATATTCATGTGGCACTCGTAAACTGCTCGGGGGAGTAAACGTTGGCCGACAGTTTCACTCCCAAGCAATTTCGAGGCCAGAGCAGTAATCCACGTCTCCTGACCCCTATTGACCCTCGGGCGTTTCACGGTACCAACGATAGTGAGCTGATCTTCTCATCGGTAAATAATCGGTTTCGGAAATTTCATGGGTCGTCGTCCCATACAATGTCTCGGAAAAGCGGGGATCAACCCAAGGGGAAACACGAATGACCAACTTGACACCCGGAGGTTCGTGTACCGTGCGGTTACCTTCGGCATCCGCAGGAAGAAGCGGAGCCCAAAAGTGTCGTGGGTTCACAGCGCTCGGTCTCCCAGTTCCATGGCGTTAAATGATCCGCGGTCTCCGCATGCTCAGGGAGTGATAAGATGAGAAGCCAAAGGTTTGGCGGAGGTGCTGCGCGCCTTATACGCCCAATATTCGCCCTGATCGCCCCGATCGCCCGTTCTCCTATACCTGGCAAACGCTCGTCATAGAGTGAATACAATGCTGTTCCCCGATGTCGGAGTTTGCCGCTCGGTTGGTCGATAGTCTCAGTCGAGGATCATGCCTGAGTTTTGCACAAAGTTCAGACCCAGACGTTGGACCGGGATCGTATAATCAAGTTGTAAGCGCAGGAGACCAATACACGAGGGAAGGTTGCACCTCCCATCGATAGCGTGGAAGAAGACTGCGCCAAATCGCATCACCTGTTCCAGCTGGCCTATGAACGTGTTCGTCACCCGCATGGCTGGGGGGAGGTGGGCGAAGAATCCCCCCCAGAAACCGGCTTCAATCTCGCTCGCATTCGGGTATAGCGTGTACTTGCCCCCAGTCAAGAGAGCTCGGAAGTCGCCCAGTAGCCACTGGAGGAAACACAGATCGAACCCCAGCGGCGCTTGGTGCAGCTCGTCTTCCCAGTCTACGAGACCCGTGACTTGCCCAGTCTCGTCAACGAGGATATTCGAGAACTGCAGGTCGCCATTGCCGATCGCCATAGGCAAGCAGTCAAGCACTTGCTTCGTATCGAGCAACTCGCGGAAATCGTCGATGTAAGACGCGAGCAGAGGGTCGGAGGACTTGACGGCTTTCTCTAGTCTGTTCCGCACTGCGCGGGTGAACTCCGCCGGTGCTACTCGTCCGGGCATACAGCACTTGCCGAGCATCGACCCCAGGCTGTGGGCAGTCACGGGCAAGCAGTCGACATACTCCTTCCTCCCGGTGAACTCGGAGAGACACATCCCGGGAATACGGGACATCTCGTATGCGAGCAGCTTGTTCTCACCACGGTCGTACTCCATCAATAATCGCGCCGCGGGAACGAGCTCTCCGAGCACCTCTCGAGCAGCCTCGAGGACGGAGACGTTGAGGTAGTGCTCTGGCCTCCGCAGCTGGAGCACCATCTCGCTCACCCCTTCCTCCTCGGTAAAGGTGACGAAGTACGTCGTGCTGCTGTACCCCTGAACAGCGCACTCGCTGACACTCGTGAGGTAGGCCGTCTTCTCCGGGTAGGCGGTACGCAAGATCTCCACAGCTTCGAGGAAGAAGTGGCCTAACATCGTCTGCTATCTCGTCGTGCGTCTTGTGCACATCGTCGATCAACAATCAGCTTGCTAATATCTCAAAGCGGGTTGGCTCCTCCGCCTCTGGGACGCACTGTATGATGTGCGCCATAAGCGGGTACTATAGGTGATCGTGTGACGCCTAGTCGCGTGATTGGGGAATGTACCGCCTCATGTGACGAACCTTGAGTTAGACACCTGGAGGTATGTATGAGGGGTTATTGTCATTTGATCATGACTAGACATGAGTTATTGTCTGGTGGAGGGAGGATGTAGATGTAGGGAGTTAAGCAGTGGGAATGTACAACCCCAGGCGGGCCGACAACGATAACGGCATACATACATATATACAGTGCCGTATTCATTCCCCGCATAACTAGACCACTTTCATATTAAGGCAGCTTCTCATCCCAATATCCACACTATCGCTCGCATCAATGTGGCCTAATGAGTCATTGGAAAATCTGGCAGTGTTACCTCATTTTCGGGTCATCTTCTGATGTACTCCATTGCCAGCGCAAAAGTGTAGTAAGCGCTCTACTGCATCTTCCTTTCCCTGCAACTTGTACATCAATGGTCAACCTCAAGCGTATTCCGCGCAAGCGCCCTCCTCCCCCTTCAGACCGCTCCCCACCCCCATCACCCACCTCCCTCCCCCCAAGCGTGCTAGCCCAAGCCTCTCCAGGAGGACGCATTGCCGGCCGCTCCCGCGCTCACACAAGGTGGCTCATCGCAAGAGCTAACAAAGCCCATGCGGAGGCGGAAAGGGAGGTCATGAGAGCTGAGCTGGAAATGTTGAAAGCGGAGGAAGAGCGGTTGATTTTCGAAAAAGAGGGATTGGTGGATGAGCTCCTTAGACGGGAATTGGGGTGAGTGTGCCTTGAGAGGATGCGGAAGGCGCTGATGGGATCGTACCCAGGGAGGAAGGAGAGAGATTGATTGGAGATCCGGTGCTTCCCAGAGGGCGAGACGCGCCTTGGCTTGATAAACACGGTGACTGAATTATGTGTGCTGCGCTGTCATATGGTTGCTTCTCGTTTTCCTGCTAAGGTGTTGGCGGTTGCATCCCGTCATCTTGCAACAGACATGGGCCGGTTCTTCAGCAGTTCATGTAAATATCGCAATACAATACTGTACAACACACAGTCCATATCTTCATCTCATGTCCCATCAACTATGCTGAGACTGACCCTTCTCCTTTGTCTGTCCCTCCTTCACCTCTTGCTCCTGCGCCTTCGGCTCCTCACCCGCCTGCGCCTCCCCTTTCTCCCCCTCTTGCTCCTCTCCTCCCTCCCGTAACTTCCCCGCAAGCGGATGTTCCTTCCCCGTATTCCGGTAAAACGCCTCCATAGTCATCCTATACTTCCTATTCCCCAAGTCAGCATTCAGAAATCGGAAAGGGGTAGGACGAACGCTTCGGTTTTTTCTCTGAGGTTCTGAAGTTTGGCAGGATTTACCGGTTGGAGGGGCTTGGTCTCTTGGGATGACATGGTAGGAGGGGCTTTCCGGCGATCAGATAAGAGTGACGATTGGGTTGGGATTAGATGAAGTGCTGCGGGTTTGATGTTTTCAGGTAGGAATCGACCAGCTATGTACGTCATACTCCACGGGCACGTGACATTGTACCCGGCGGCGACTCAACACATTACAATTAAAGATAATAAAGAAATTGCACCTAACACACAGCACGGGCAACACTCACACGTCTTGAACAACATTCTCATGAGGATGTACGCAAGTACGAGGCCCAGCAATTCGCGGATGTCATACCCATGTCTACCTGAAACCACATCCATAAATAGTTCTTCATCCACTCCCAAGCTTTATCCAGCTATCCAAGCCGGGCCCAATCAAAGTCGCACGTTCCTTGAGCTTCACCTCGTAAAGCATCCTCCTTCCATTTTGGATCGACTTCGTCCACGATGGGGCTAGAACGTCGTTCCCCGTGACATCTGCATGACCTCACCTCTGTCATACACCTTGTTCCTAAACTTGGTCCAGGAAGGCATATATATGACCCTCCAATTTCGGCCCTTCCCCCTTCCAGCCCCCTCGCACCAACCCCAACTCTAGCAACAACCACCCACATTACCTGAATACAAGAAATGGCCGGCCTGTTCAACAGAAATAAGGATAAGAGCGAGAACAAGAGGGGTGGCAACAGCGGTACCACTGGCATGGCAGGTGATTCTGGTTATGGGAACCAGGGCGACTCGGGGTACGGCAGTGGCGGTACGGGCTCTGATACAGGTGGCTTGGGCGGTGGAGGAATGGGCGGCCAGGGCGGGACGGGCCAGGGCGGCTTCCAGGGGGCAGTGGGATGGGTAACACCGGGAGGAACAACTACTGATTGTTCTGTCTGTGCCATGTGCATCGTGAATTCTGTACAATAGCCCGGACTGTATGTAACTGCCAGATGAATGCAGCTCAAAGTTGATCCGTGTCTTCATATCCTGGGCATATCCTCAGTCACCTTCGCGAGGATAAACAGCTGTAGCTCACCCAATTCTTTCTGCGCGAGGAGGACGTCACCCGGAAACTCTCGTCGCAGATCCGCACCCATGATGAACTTCCCCACTCCGTTCTTCCCCACTTCAGCTCGGTCAAAATGCATCTCTATATTCTTCGCGTTCATAAGCAGCTCCCGGATCGTACCCCACGTATCGCTCGGGAGAGTGTGAACCTCCACGTTCTCCTCTGCCACGTCTACTCGGGTCAGCGACGGTGCACATTGAAGGGCGAGGGACTCACATCGCACAGTACCGTCCATAGCAAATACGGTATAGAACGGCTGGTTCCGGCCTCGAGAGAGCATATCTACCCCCATCTCACGCATCCACTGTTCAGGCTGGTGACATTTCGTCTATTTCCTGCTCAGTTAGAACACCAGTCCAGCAGTGATCTTGCTCACATTCCAGTCGGCGATGACGCCTATGTATGCAAACTTGGCATGGCGCATGAGTGTCCCCACGTGGAATTCGACATTCGTGCCGTCTACGGCCAGGGGCATACTGTCGGCATCTCGTTTCGCCTGAAGCTCGTTCGTCTCCTGAAGCTCGTACATGTGGATGAGCTGGTCCCGAACTTGCACCGCTCCTACATCGTTCGTGTGATGGCCAACGTCGTTCGGGAAGACCTCGTATTGCATGAGACACCAGTCAAGCCTATGTGCGTCTTCGACATAGTTCAGCATGTGCATTAGCATGGTCGTAGCTCCCCTCGTGCCTGGAGTGGAGAGCATGACGAATGCGCTCATAGCTGCATGCACGCAATCCCTGCGCTCCCTAATTAGACTCAATACATGAGCAATTCGAAGTCTCGTACCGTATGTACGAGTATCTCGGGCCGTTGGGATTAGCAAGTGCTTCCAGTTCGGTATGGAAGGAATGTTGGACGTTGCTCCCGGCTCGCCCACACATATCCCGAACGTTCGCAGGCTGGAGCAACTGCCCCTGCTGGACCGAGTTTGTGACGCCCATACCCTCCAGTATACTAATCAAGTGCGATCGGGGGAGGACCAGCCGCTCGTCAGACTTAGCAATGTCGAGATGGATGTACTCCTCGCCTCGTTCGGGGAAACCAGGGAAGAAGAATCGACTTGTGGACGGTACATGTCCGCGCACAAGGACGTGCACGTGTTGAGGAAAGCCGACTGGATGAGCTTCGACACCGAGATGCCTAGCGAGAGAGACGAAAATGACGACTAGCGAGAGGGGTAGCGTATCTCGGTGTGTGGTGATCACACAGTCAAGGAAGTGGTTCTCCATCCGGTGATAGTCGACGCCTGAGCTAGGTGAGACGATGTATGCGTGTCACTGCAGACTCACACACCTGCGGCAAGCCGAAAACCCTCTTCACGCATCCACAAACATATCTCGTTGGAGATATTCACCACATCATAGTCCTCCAGTCCACTCTCAAGACTGACGCCCTTCGCTCGCAAGTGTGATTCGCAACGTTTACATAGCGCATTGAGGTCTTTGATTACCTGGAGCATTTTCTTAGCTCAAGTCACACAGAGAAGCCCCGTTCACATACCTGTTGTGGACTAACACCCCTAAACCCACTGAAAGCCGCAAACCCCTCCGCAAAACTCACATACTGCGGTTGTACAACCACCTTCCTCCAGAGCCGCAACGCCTCCAACTTCGTAATAACCGTCATCGCCTCTCTTGCCCAATACGGCCTGGCAATCCAGTCCAGCGTCAAGGAATCGAGCGCCGGCTCGTCAGTTTTGGCTATATTTCTTGGCCATCGCATTACCGATTGGGTACGGAGCACGTCATGGACGTCTATCCCAAGATCGTAGGCGAATAGGCGTCCCGTGGTACATCGGCCTTGCTTCCGGTAGATAGCATCCTGGAGGGTATCCAGCGCCCTCCTATCGAGCAGCCGTCGCATCCGGTAAAGCTTGAAGTAGCTGCCATTGCAGGCTGCAATCCTCTCCGTTTCTTTGATCGGATTGCTCGCGAGGTAGCGCACTTGATAGTGCGCCATCCACACCAGGTTCGCAGTAGCGATGGACCGCATGAACGAGCTTGTTGCTGCACATTGTGCCAGAGCAAAGACGTCGGCATCTTCTGTTGGCGATGGTACAAGGAGTTGAAATATGTGCTCATAAATCTCGATAGGCAACGCGAGATGGGCCATAATGCCGAGATTTGAAATTAATTGTGGAGGTAGGAGAAAGAGATGGTCGTCCAAGTCGCGTCATATCTCGCGCTAAAATATATATCATACCATCAGTTTCATAACGTGACCAATTCAAGTCATGGCAGTGCGCTCATACTAGACAACTACCTCATATCTGGAGTAGAAAGAATAGCAATGGTATACCTCTTGATAACCATGGTGGAAATTAGGGGAGAGCAGCAGCTGGACGAACGGCCGGGCACGTGACGCAGGTACATATTCAGTTTAGTCTAACCAGTCCCATTCTTCGCTCAGTACGGGTACCTCTCTATTCCATCTTTCCATCTGCAAGGAAGAAAGGCTCCCTGAAATCGTATAGGATGCGGCAAATGTAAGCATGCAGCATGGCCGGCAACGTCGACTCGTCCATCAACTAGTAGTTTAAGTTGCCAGAGGTTAGGGCCTCCGGCTGCGTTATCAGACGGGAGATTTTGTCATCACGCTGTCAGATCGTCGTCAAAAGAGGAAGCTCAAGAGGAGAGACTTAATGGTCCTTAGTGATCGGACTGGAAGCTGTGTAGATGTTGGTGGGTGATCTCCTGTGCTAGGCCAAAACAAGACTTAGGTGTTTGGCAACACCCAATTTACTGAACGAGTGTATTTCGAATGACCCTCCAGACTAGTATACAGAATTATCTACCTAATCACTCTACCCAGGTTTGCATTCCACCGAGGAATGCAAACCTGGCTCGAGAGCCCGTAGGGAATGGTGGTGGTGGTCAGAGGTGTTACAAAATATTAGGAAAGGGTCTTAGTGCAGGTCGAGGGTTCATCCTCCCACATCATCCTCGAAGGAGAAGGATCCCCTCTCTCCTCTATACCTGCTACAGCTGCATGCACTTCGGCCCTTGATGGAATGATCCACTGAGGGGGGGGCTTGATCGGGTTGACTTTGCGATGTGAGGGGGGTGGAGAGGGACGGGGTGAATGAGATGGACTTGGCGCAGCGGAGGATGTTGTTGGAACGGCAGTGCGAGTATAGGGGGGTGGATGACGATACACAGGTAAGGGCTCATCATCATGCCTGCTCTCTTGTTCATCCTCCTCGTCCTGCTCTTGATCTTCGTGCTCGTGTGAATCTCCACTGTTCCAGTCAGAGTGAGTAGATTCAGTATCAGAGTTGTCCAATCGCGTGTGGTACGAAGGAGCAGGTGAGCTAGAAGGGTTGAGAGTGCCTGTACGGAGGGTAGAGACCATGAGAGACGAGCGAGTGGTGGTCGCAGAGGCCGCGTCCTGGCTTTCCCGGAGCAAGGTAGCAAGGGCCGATACGGCGAGTGGAGGCAAGACGATGTTCAAGACGCCCAAGTCTGCAGGATCTGGCACCAGTAACGACAGCCGGACTACCCTCAAACAGGGAGGTGTTGATTTGATGTGTTGGTGCTGGATGAGGGTGGAGTCGTTCGAGTCTGCAGGATCGGCAGACTGGGTGTTGATCGCAGTGTTGGCGACCAGGCTACCCGCATTACCAACCATGGATGCAAGTTGCGATAGGTACTAGGTTCAGCTATGACCTCAAATATGACAATCCAGACACACACACAAGTGACTTTGAGGTTTTCAGTGCGTTTGAGATAGGGATATGGTTGTTTGGATGACAGTGAGGACCTTGCTGCGGACGACGAGCTCGAGTCTCAAGAGGCTTGAGCAGTTGCAAGTTTGGCCCCCATGTCTGTACAACTCCTTGCTAGAATACTATGCGTCTTACTCTACTCTACTATACATATTCTCTAAAGTGCCATCGACGAAGCGTATCCGGACACATTCGGATCCGACACCGTTACAATGTCAGCACATGTACATCGAGCAAGATTGTTTCGCCATTCACCATGGAGCCGCTGAGTAGTTAGAGGTGCCAAGGTGGTCAATATATTTTCTTTATCCAGAGAACAACATATACCCAGTGGCAATGCTACAAATTGAATCGTTAATCTGCAAGAAAGCCACTAGAGCCAGTACTTCTTCAACTCCTTTTCCAGCCATGCCCAGAGCTGCTTCCCGGCCTCCGGGTCATTCGCCTGACCATGCCTTGCCCAAGGGATATAGTACTGCCCGTTAACCTCACCCGCCTCCGCAGCCGTTCCCGCATATAATTGGGTCAAAGCCCCAAGTGGATCCAGTTCGAAGAGCAGCATGTCGGCGATCCTCTTCGACAGACCTGAGCCGTGCCTCTGCAACTCAGTCCGCAAATGACCGGGATTCAGAGCGTGAGAGATGACGCCTTGAGATCCGTATCGTCGTGCGAGCTCCTTTGAGAAGACGACATTGCCCCATTTGGACATGCCATACATTGCCGTTGTTGCCATCTTACGACGTTCGGGAGAATCGGAGAGGACGTCATAGTTGATGCCTTCCTTTGGACTGAAGAGGATGTGCCCACTGGAAGTAATCATCAGCTCCTATGCTTGCCAAGAAAGACAGGCGACACATACTCAGAGCTCGTGTTGATCACGCGAACTTTATTGCCCGACTCCTGAGCTGTAGACAGCAAGATTGGCAGGAGGAGTACGGTCAGATAACAGTGACCAATGACGTTAGTTCCGAACTGCAAATCGAAGTTCTGCTTTGTGACTTGCTCAATAGGAGGGAACATGACACCCCTGCTCAGCTGGTTAGAAAGTCTGACAAAGGACTATCTTCTCAAGAGAACGCACGCAGAGTTGAAAAGGACATCTAGTCTCTGTTCCTTACTCGTAAATTCTTGCACGCATCGTTTCACGCTCGGGAGGTCGGCAAGATCACACTGGATGAACTTGGCTTCTTTCCCACCGGTGACATCCTGGAGCTGGTGTATTGCATCTTGCGCTTTGTTTGGAGACCGGCAAAGCATATATACGGTCGCGTTGTGCAAGAGTAGATACTTGCAGGTGATAAACCCGATGCCGGTGTTTCCACCCTGTGCAACTGTAAGACGACGGAATAATCGAAGCCGTAGGGACACACCGTGACGATGATCACCTTTCCAGCAAGATCTGGCATGTCGCCAACGGTCCACTTCGGCGCGGGAGGACACATCTCAGTAAATGCTTGATACATGTTGCTTTCAAGTGCTGATAGCAAAGAAAGAGAAGATCGGGTTTGGAGGGTTTTGCCTGTTCGTTGTTGGTGTCTCTGACATTTTCGATGCCCACTCGCAGGCCTTTTATCCACCGTTCGTTTCGACATTGAGGTCGTCCACCCCCCTCATTCTCGAGCTAAGTGAACACACTTGAATGGGAATAGCCATGGCAATATTCAAGCTAGACAGAACTCAAGGGATTCTCAGAATTCTGGACCCATACAAAACCCCGCCATACCTCACAGCACCCTGCAACTTGTACCCACGGTGTACGTAAGCAGAATTGTCAGGTGACAAATTAGGCGTACAGACATTGAATGAAAATCCACGCCGGTGTACCATCGCATTGTCTAGCAACTTCGACCTTGCAAAACCCCGCATACTAACCCTGCCTATATGTGCACACAAGTTGCTCACCAGCACGCATATCAATATTCGGGAACATTGATGGAGATTGTGTCAACTTCACAAACCCCGTCTGGGGCACACACTATGAACCCATATATTCACCGGAAAGGAGTGACTATCTCGTAGCGAGGGAACCCAGCAATTGTACACCGACAGGGTGACGGATAACAGAAGGGCTATACGAGGAAGGAAATAAAACAAGCGTTAGAACGGGTATCACAGAATTTCTGGGTGTATGAGTACCAAGGAGACAGAGCAACGGGCCAAGGAAGCGTTCAACGCCGCTGAGAGCCACGGGAATAGCCCATCTGGAGGTTGTCCAACTCCGCCTCGAGTGCCTTGATAGAGCTGTGGGCGTGCTCGAGATCCTTGTTGAGCCGATCGCGCTCGGCGATGAGGTGCTGCTCCCACTGCCTGAACCGGGACTCCTCGTTCTTGACCTGCTCGGTGAAGCGCTTCCGGAGTGCTTCCTCCTCCTCCTTGAACTTGGGGTTGTCGGTCTTCTTGACCTTGCCCTCCCCGAATTTCCGCGTTTCCATCTGGGTCTGGCGGTAGGACTCGTAGTGGCTGTCCTCGGTGGTGCTGATGAGGTCTAGCATGTGCGTGCGGATAAGGAGGTAGCGCAGCTTGCGGAAATCGCAGTGTTGTTCATTCTCCACTGTGCAGGGGATCAATGAATAAATTCGGACGTAATAGGCTGCTGGTCAACGCACCCTCGGCAACACCCCATGGGTATTGCCTGCCCTTGACCGTCCTGCCATCAGCAGTTTGCACATCTTGCGTAGATCCGATGATAGCGAACGGCATGGCAGCCATGAGGATTTTGGCATGCTCCATGCTCTGCTCATCGTCGGGCTCCATGGGAGGTTGGTAGATGCGGATGCCCTGAGCAGCGATCACATCGCGGATGCGTTGCTTGAAAATAATGAGATCCTTCTGTGTGAGGGTGTCGGCCCTCGCAATCACAGGAATCAAGTTCACACGCGTCCCTAAGCGCTTCATGATTTCGATGTCGAGAGGCTTAAGTCTGTTGATCATTTGAGCATCCAAAAGCGGGCACACCGGAGATGAACTCACGTATGGCCCGTCGGACGAACGAAGTACAGGCAGGCGTGCACCCTCAAATCAATCTTCTCATTGCGCTGGGGCTGCTGCTCTTGACGCATATAGGCCTCATGCTGATCGTCGATGAAGTCAATGATCGGTCCCCAGCTGTCGCGGTTGTTAACGTAGTCACCGAAGCCAGGGGTGTCGATGACTGTCAGCTTAATTTTGAACGCCTTCTCCTCCAGCTCAGCCTTTATTATCTCAACCTCGGTCGTCTTGTCTAGCGCCTTGACATGACGGTTCTTGTAGTTCTTGGGAGGAGAGAGTTCGGTGGAAAAGAGGGTGTTGATCAGGGTTGTCTTGCCGAGACCAGATTCGCCTGATGGATATCTACGTCAGCAAATATGTGAAGTTTGCAGCAGTTTGTCTCATACCAACAACCATGATCGTGAAGTGCCCGCCCCGCTTCGCAACAATTTTGTGCCTCTGTGGCGCATATATTCAGCAAGTCGCCCCCATGCCCCGTAATGTGCGGATGCTCACCTGGTTGGGCAAGTTGGCGATGCCAATACCGGTGGATCCCGGGGTGACAGGTGCAGCGTAGCCGTTCTGGGCCATTTTGGTTATGGAGAAGGAAAGTGTAGAACGAGGGGGACGGCGAGGACGCGTTGAAGAACGACGAAAGAGCAACGGGTGTCGTCGACGTGCAAAACGGAGGCAGAACCGTTCCAGGGAGGAAGAAAGAAGCACGCGAAGCCCTGACGCCAGCACGTCGCGTGTCGGACATCCCCCCCACGCCTTGCAACACGCTCACACCTCAGTTTGCCACTGATGTGGGACAGAATGGACATCTTTTACACTGCCTCTAGCTTTTGGACAGCTTGCCTTCGGGTGAACGTCCACTTCCCCGGATGACACCTGATATATGCGTCTGTTGCTGAATTAACTCGGATCCATCAGCGACCCGGTCAAAGGCAGCGCATCCCATAGCCGTGACAACCTAATCGGCCCCTCATCGGAGGCATGCAACCATTGATCGCGTTGATTCTCCTGTGCTCTACTGCTGTCTTCTGTCGCGGAAAGTATATAACGACGCTTCCCTGGTGATTCGTGCTTGGCTTTGTCTTTCCCAGTACAACTCGAGCATGCTCCTCTGTTCGAATCGAACACCAGTTACGGTGACCTACGTCCATCGTGCCAAACCAAAAAAAAACAAGCTGACATGTAACAGGGTAGTCCGTCAACATGTACACTCGATGTCGTGGTCATTCCTCTAGCATCATGGATATTGATGGCGTCTCTTCCCCTGACAGTTATTGTTTGCTCGAAACGAAGACAGGCTCTTCCCTTATCCCGCACTCGTCTTCAGAAAAAGATATGGATATTATACTTGGTTCTGATCGTGGCGGATATCGCCATGACTGTACTCGAGATAGCTCGGCTAGCTGTTGCTCAGCTGGGGGTCGGCTTATTGCCGTTTAACACTGTTGGCCTGATAATCGCGGTGGTGCTCGTCGGTATCAGGGGAAGCACATTTATGCCGGTAAGGCTTACTTATTCCAGTGATGGTTTTTGGTGACCTTGAAGCAGCTATTCTTCTTCTGGCTTCTGCTGGTTATCTTCCAAGCCATCAAAGTTCATCAACTGATGTATCTCCCGTCCAAAACACCCGACCAATATCCTGGCTCAGACCAGTTACTCGACAACGCCATCATGGTAGAAACCTTCCTTTTACGTCGTACTGAATCTGACTGCCGTTTCCTAGCTCGGTTTGGAATCATCATTCGTTCTGCTCGACACATACGACAGTATCGTGCATTGGAAACACCGCCTACGAACACACGATGCTTTGGTTATGCATCCTGCTCTATCCGAAGGAAATCTTCCCCTTCAGCCTACAAGTGAAGTCACGGATACTACAACGACAAAGTGATTCGCTGAATAGAGGAGGGTCATGCCAGTCAAGCGGCCTCGTGCTAGCACGAGGCTCAGCGCTGAGCCTCTACTGTGTCAATACTTTCTACACTACCTGCATTATTAGGGAGCAATCTTTCCAGCTTTTCTCCCTGCACCTCCCGCAAGCAATTTGATGGGATCGGTGATCGAGAGATTCGCTGACAAGAGTTGTCATTCATATCTCGAACTTATCTTTATCCCGACAAATACATATCATTCTGAGATCAGGGTCCGACCTGAATGGGAAGAGCATCTCTCCCCACATCTATTCTAAGTAGCTCTACTCTCATAGTGATCCCCGCATCCAGCTACTTGTAATGTCGGCCTATGGCACCATTCCCCGTCCTGCTGGTGTCATCCCGCAACTCAATCCTCTCACATTCGCAGTCACCCGAAAGGGGAGCCAATCGCCCATGGGGTTTGTGACTGTCGTACCAGTGAAGCGGTCCACAGTTCCCGACGCCTTGTTTGAGCATCTGCACATGTTATTTAACGGGGTGGTAGAGGAGGGGAGGACATATCCGCAGGAGTTTGAGCTGACGGAGCAGTCATTCGAGGACTACTACTTCTGTATGGCCTATACTTTGTGCAACCATTAAAGTTGCTAACGGCGATTTGCAGCGTACGACTGCTTCATCGGTGTCCTGGACAAGGGTTTTGCACCCACAAGAACAGATGGTAGTTATTGGGACCCCAAGGCGGAAGCTTGGATTCGAACAGATGCGGAGACGATAGATGATATCGTAGGCAAGGACGTGAAGGACTATAAGGAGCTTGTGGTGGGGATGTACTACGTGAAGCCGAATTACCCGGGGCGGTCTAGCCATGTACGTTGTTCACCTTTATGTGCCCAAAATAGTACTGATGTCGCATTACAGTGCTGCAATGGTGGGTTTATCGTCGATCCGTATCATCGGGGTGCGGGATATGGGTACCTTCTCGGGATGTCGTACCTCTACTTTGCCCCGCGCCTTGGTTTGTGTTCTTTGGGACTGTGCGGACCACATGACTGACGTCTTGAAAGGCTATCTGGCCTCTGTTTTCAACCTCGTCTATTCCAACAATGTCGCTTCGCTCAAAATCTGGGACAAGCTCGGGTTCACTCGCGCGGGCTTAATTCCCAAGGCAGGCAGGCTTCGGAAGAATGGCGACGATGGCGAGGAGTTTGTCGACGCGGTCGTCTTCTGGAAGAGCTTGGTGGAGGATGATGTGTGGACGAAGAGGTTAGCAAGAACGGAAGGGGCACAGGCATAGTGGCGTGGTATGAACGTGAAGGAAATGGAACAACTAGACTTTCCAGATGCCGATATGTTCGCCTTTGCAAGAGAGTCGGCCGAGCGTCTTGAAGTGCCCATCGCCCATGAACTTCCACATCGTCGAGGATCCAGCAAAGCTGCTCCCTGTGAACGTCTGAGTGTCCTTCCTGTTGGATTGCAAGGGGAACACACCATGCTCTGTCCCTGTTCTGTTGCAGATGACCACAAACCTCTCCGTTTCGTCGTCTTCGAATAGTATACCACGGAGTCGATAGAGCCAATAGAAAACATTCTGGCTATCCGGCTGGTTCTTGGCGTCCTGCTCGTTTTGTGGTTTGCTGCCTTCGCGCTCTTCCGTGACTTCCATTTCCTGCGCACCATCAGACAACTCCGTCTCTGTGTGCTCATCGACTGATTCGCTCGCCTCCGAGGCGAGCCATGCGCAAAGAATGATCAAGAGCTGCACATCCTTCTTCACGCACCACTCTCCCAGTTCCGTGGGTGGGTTGAGATCATTGCATATTGCGATCGCGGTGCGTAGGCCAGCGATCTGTTCAGACATAACAGTAAAGCTCTGCCCTGCGGCGCGCATCAATGGAAGTTATATAAGTTTCAAATGAAATTGTACCTGGGGATGCCCAAGGCAAGTCCATCTCGAACAGATTGTGCTTCCTGTAGTTGTGAACCAATCCATGGGGGGACCATACCATAGCGCTGTTGTAGCCGATCTTGCCAGATTCTTCCTTCCCATCTGGAAGCTCAGGATATCCAGCAACGACATGACATCCCATCCTATGTGCTACTTGAGCGCAGAATGAAGCCGTGAGGCCTTCCTTGGGAGACTCGAGGAGGGGTGCGAGACGGGAGGGGTCGGAGAAAACGTAGCCTTGACATGTCACCATATGTGGTAAGGTGCGAAATTGAACAGAGCGAACCTGTGAAGCACATCTCAGGAAAACAGATCAAATCAACTGATCCTGGCTCTAATCGTGCCGTTGCTGCTTCGATGCGCTTGATATTGCGCTCTACGTCTGCCCACTGGTTACGTCTATCAGTCCACCGGCGAGAAAGTACGGCGAGAACGTACAATAGGCGTGTATTGGAAAACTGCTATTCGCAGACTCGTTTGAGCAGACATGGCGAAAGTTCGGACGGGTATTCGACGTCAACAGTGTGATAGCATGCACAATATGCTAGGATCAGTGCATGGTGGATTATTGGCGCAGTGGGAACAACATGAGGTTGTAGTGCCGAGCCGGAGTAGGCACAACCAGCAAGTCAAAAGACTGAAATACAATTATCATTGAATCATTATGGAAAGAATATGATATGCACAGAATGAACAATAAAATATTCATATATTCACATTATCAGTCCTAGTCAAAGTGCAAGTCATTGATACAGTTCGCTGGACCCTTCAAGTTGCCATCATCAAGCGCTCAACGACCATCCTGCATACTGACCATCCTACTGCTCTGAGGTGTCCAACTTAACGAAAAGCCATTGCAATATGGATGTGAACTTCTCATCGTCGTTCTCCCCTCCCCGGTCGGACGTCAAGACGGAGCCCACCGCTCCTTCGCTCTTCCTCGACACATACATGCCCGGATCATCGAAACGTCTGTGTACTTTCCATATTTCTACCATCTCGTCTGACAGATGAGCACGTAGGATCAAGGCCAACAACTGCTTCTCCAGGAAAACAATATCCTGGATCTTCGTCTACCAAAGTAATGCCCGCTGCGGCTCAACGTTCATCTCAACCTCCGGCCGCACAACGCTCCTCAGTCCCTCCTGGTCAAGGTGAACGCTTCAGCTCAGTGGCGCCGTCTGTTCCACGCGTGGAAGATACAAAGGCAGAGGTAGAGGAAGACGAGGGGGAAGAGGACGAGCAGGCGCGCTTAGAGGAAGAGGTATTTAGGATGCAAGAAGCGAAGCAAGCCCGAGCCAAGGCTAATCTCAAGTACGTACATGTTTTGCCTAAGCCCACTCGGTACCCTTTCCTCTCCTGATCATTTCGGTGCCCACGGAGGGTATTGATGAAGGAGGTAATAATGTTGATTGGACACGTTCGTAGGGTGCTCATGGACAACTTCTCGCAAGAACAACAAACCCGATATGACTGGTACCGCCGATCCACACTAAACAAGGCCAACGTCCGCAAAGTATGCGTCTTCTACATACCTGCTCTGCCATCTCTCGCCCGTTTCTATCTGCTCACTGGTTCATAGCTCATACAAAGTACTGGGGTACTTGTCACGCCCCAAGTCGCGCAGATGGTCGCAGGTGTTGGGAAGGTCTTCGTCGGCGAGGTCGTTGAGCGAGGTAGGTCAATCCTGTCCTCTTCTCTATCCTCACTCCTCCGCTCTCTTCACAGCTCATCATCGTGCACAGCGCTCGAAATTCAGGCTGTGCGAGGAGAACGTGGTCCGCTCACCCCAGAGGATCTGAGGCAGGCTTATCAGATGTACAAGGACGAGAAGGGGGTAATCGGTGCCGCACGGCCATTAAAGGGCAAGCGGATGGCCCTCTAGCTCTGCCTACCGATCTATGCCCTCTCCATAGCATGTAGGAGGACTGTCATACGCATTGTAGCATTAGATGTAGCATAATTGTCCGGTATCAGAATTATCATTGGGTATCTGTCTAACCTGCATCGACTACAGGCAACGCGGTACTGTCGTTCCCAGTGGTCGAATCGGCTTGCTCTCCTCGAGCCTGAGCGCATATACCAAGCACTCCCGTTCTCTTTCCCTCCTACCCAGTTTTTCGCATGCCTTGGCCAGGAAATACCAGGCTTCGGCGACGTCCCAACCCGAGCCTTGGGTAATAGCCATGAGCAGACCCGAGGCAAGGTCAGCGCTGTTGATCCCGAGGTATTGTTGGGCTAGGTGAACAGAGGCCGGAACATGGTCAGGGTCTATGACCAACGCTTTATGGAAGGATTCGATGGCCAGCCGTGTGTTTTCCACGGCCGCGAAGTAGAGACCCAGCTGGTGTGTATCAGTCATGCAACCTGGATCCTGCATTATTAGACATACCTGAACCCAGACATTCGGGTTCTCAGGATCTATCACCTCCGCCTCCTGGATCGCCCCATGCGCCTGCTCGATCTGCCCCATTCGGCGGAACGTCGCAGCGGACATCAGCCATAACTCTGACAGGATCCGCGTCTCGTGCTGCGTCCGACCAGGATGCCCAGATGGTTCTGAAGGGACGAGTGAAGGCGACGGTGGTTCTAGCCTTCCTGGAGATATCGTGCCCCGCATAGAACCATGCACAGATCCTCGCATAGAGCCAGGTGATGGGTACCGCCGGACTCGAGAATGGATAGACGAAGCCTGGTAAACAGACGCGGACGGTGGCGGCTTGTTGAAATCTGCTCTCTGTTGAGTGTGCTTCCTGACGATGGGAAGCTCACTTACCTGGAACGGATCTTGACCGAGGGATTCTGTGCCCCTGCCCATCACGATGTATGATTTTCCTCGAGAGGGTTTGAAGCTGTTTCTGACCGCCTTGAAGCAACTTCTGCGACTTCATACGCAGTTCATCCAGGTTGACTCGTTTCTCGTCCCGGCCATCACGACGCTGCCGATGATTTACCTTCAGAGGGAACGGTTTCGGCTGTAAGAACTTCGCTTGTTCGCTTGAGGGGCGAGGCGTATTTCCATTGGACTGTTCTGGGGGTGGCTCGGAGGGTTCGTGTGTGATCACCTCAGGAACTTGCATCGCAGATACTTCCTGGACGGTGGAGAGTGTCTCTACTGTCCGGATAGGTTCAGAAAGCGCTAATGGCAGAGGAGTCGGCACAGAATCTGTACAAGATCAGACATAACTTCGAAGAGACACTGGGATCCGTACCCAGAGAATGGCGCCTTGACTGCGTTCGATCCAAGGGTATAGGGCATTGTTCCGAGAAATACGCAAAGATATCCACCCAATTAGAGTTCGCACTATCTGGACCCTCCAGGAGCTCCACAATAGTGTTCCTCGTAATCAACAGCTGGAGCGCGCATTCGAACCGTTCCGTTTTCGAAGGCTTCCGGTCGATCAAGGGCTTGAGCATCGTATACCCACGCGGGACCGAATCTGAGTCCAAGAGCGACTGTCCAGGGGATTGCACCACAGCAAGACGATCACCTGTTTCGGGCAGCCCGGTAACAGTAGGGGAAAGCCTACTCTTTGTATCGTTGCCTGCGAAGTCTCGAGAGCTGATACCCTCTGCTTGCGGCGAGGCAGGGTTCAACGCGACGTCTTTTATCAATTCAAGTTCCTGCTGCGTGGCTACCTCCTCCAGGCCAAGCTTGATCACCGCCAGAGCACCATTAGAATCCCCCTGAGCGGTAAGCAGTAGACTGAGCAGATGCCACGCCCGGATCTCGCGATGGTCTTTTTCCACCGCTTGCTTCGCCGTAAGAACTGCAGCGTCGATATCGCGCAGCTCGGCTTGTAGATAGGCGAGGTGGTATAGCGTGTCTGCGGTTGCTTCTAGCTTAAGAGAGGTGGTAAGCAGCTCCTGGGCCGCAGCCTGATGCGCCGGCCGTGTCTCGGGCTCCATCTCTGCTCCATGATCAACCGCCATCCTCACACTCAAACCGCGGTACATACCAGTAGCAGCCTGTACGTTCCTCGTTATTCCCGCCGCTGCCTTCAGCCTAGCCTGCAACCTCCTATCCCGCGGGCTGCCCAACTCTCCTAATATACCCTCCCCCAGCTGGGCCATCTTCCACGCCTCCTTTGCATCATCTTCGCTCTTCGCCCACCGGCTCAACATCCGTATTCCGAAGACAAGAGCAGCGACAAACGTCCGATCGCCGTCCGAGTCGCTCCCTGCGCCGAGCTCTTCCATCTCCCCTTCCTCTAGGGCGATTTCCTCCGGCGCTGCGGCTTCCTCTGCGGTAGGCCGCCGTTTCAGCTGGAGGGAGACATCACCTGCTGAGGTCTCGCGGGCTTTGGTCACGAGCTGCACGTAGAGGCGGAAGACTCGCTTCGCTTCGTCGATGTCGCCGGTGGAGACGAGCAGCCGAGTAAGGTGACGCAGGATTCGATGGGAGTGGAAAGTGAGCGTAGTGCCCCACCACATGAGCTATCATTTCCGTTTTAGTATCAGGCCCCCTAGAAAGTTGAAGACGTACATCACTTATCCACGGTGCCTCGTCCTCGCTTTCTCCTCCTCCCTCCCATACCGCCATACACAGATCGGCAAAATCGACCACCTTGGTGTTCACTTGCCCCGCCCTGGGGAACACCGTCGTAGCCTGAAGGATGTTCCTGTACTCGAGCAGCGCCTCCTTCGCCTCCGCCATCCAGGCAGAAAGGGACTGTTTTGCTGAGGATCGTATTGTGTTGGATTGAGTGTCGAGGGGTGCGGAAAAGCATAGAGCGCGGATGAAGAGCGAGTAGGCTGGAGAACGGTGGAATGGACGAAAGGCGGCTCCCCACCATTGGCTACACAAATGATACGAGCGCAAGATTTGCAAGGAGTGGGACATCGAACTGGGCGTTCCATCAGCCAAAAATCAGAAAATATCAAACTGAGCGCACCTTGTCCGTGAAGAGACGACAGACGCTCGCCAGAGGAGTCTCTCTGCCCACCGCCAAAGCTCGCGGTACTGCGAGAACGCCTCATTCTTCTGCGCCGCATTGTCGGGTTTTCTGAAACCCAAATCTTCCAGTAGGCTGATACCAGCCTCATAAGCTCTCAGCGCAGTAGAAACGTTCTTCAGTTCCTCGCAGGCCATCCCTTCTAGGCATCTTGTACGTATGCGCTCGACGATCCACCAAGCCCTTTTCGGGTCTACAAGTGCTCGGCGAGCAAGTATAGATCCGGGGGGGGAAAGGTTGCCCGCGCTGCTTACATGAGTGATGGACTCTATACGCTCCGTCAGTGTCAGCTTGACACCATGGTGGCTCCTGCTTCCGCCCGAAGTGCGCGTCTGACTGCGTTCCGGCGGAACAGGGTTATCAAGGTTGATCATGCCTATGAGCTCTAGGCAGCGGTCAAATTCCCCTCGTGCATAGGCATAAAAAACCTCGACCATCTTGACTGACTCGGTTCCTTGGGACTTTTCAGCTGAACCACGGAGTTCTTCTACGTTCCCGTCTGTTTCCTGCTTGCTCGAAGGGTCGAGCTTACACTCCCTACCCACGTCAAGGCTGCCAGTGATACCTTCCAAGTCACCGTCCATATCAAGCTGTTTGCGTCCGATGGAAGTAGGGATATTCTCCAACAGTTCAGCCGGGGGATCAGGGTGATGCCGAGCGATGAGGAGTGACAGAGCCTGAGTCTGCACCGCAACCGTAGCCAACGCTATCCAAAACAATCAGATCTCCTCCCACTTCCTCCCAAAAGAAAGACGCACTCGAATCCGGATTATGTTTTTTGTATTTCCTCAACAGCTCGTTCCACGTGAGCCAGACCGCCTTGGGCGACTTGCCGGGCTCGAGGTCCGCCCATGCGCCCCGACACAGAGCAGCGACCAGCTGCTGCTCGTAGTGCGCCTGCTTGGGGTTGAGTGACATCTTTCTCCAGCGACTTGCACCTCGCGGGGATATGTCGACTATTGGGTGGTGGTAAGGAGCATTCGCGGTGGTTGAGTCGAGCGCAGACAGAGGCAAAGTCTCCTTTGGGCCTGGAACGAGTCCCTGGGGAACAGACAGAGCCGATGACGCGCCTCGGTGGCGGTGCACTCGCAGTCTGCACGTGCACAACAGCTCCGAGGTCGGATTAACAGAAGCTAGAAGAAGCAATGAGGAAATTGATGGAAGACAAGAGTCTGGGAAGCTGATTCTCAGAGGTGTGAGACGCTTCTTCAGATGTTGCCAAGAACAAAGGCCAGAAGCACTCTCTGCTACCCGAATCATCCAACAGCTTCTGTTTGAAGACGGATCGGATTCCCTTCCCTTCCATCTCTGCTTCTAACGTACATGACGCGCTATCTACTATCTACAGGCATCGCCCACCAAGCTTGGACGACTACGTACATACATCGGCCAACCCCGCGTTGCTGTATGTAGGGTGAGGATATACGATTGATGAGGAACGAAAAGGATACGAGAGAGAGAGAGAGCGGAGAGGATGTGTGGTATGTACCTCATGTGGGTAATAGGATAGTAAGACAGTACCGCGAGGGGAATCAGGAAGCACGCGGAAAGAACAAGGAATGACGTGCACATAGCAGAACATATGTTAAGAAGAAACGAATGCAGACTAGAGGCCCAATAAGAAAAAGAGAACGAGAACAGAACGAATGTGATAGCCAAGATAGCAGAATGTGGGGAAAGGAAAGGCTGACGAAGCCGAGACTGTCGGTATTTTGGAGCTGGATCGAGTGGATCCTGCTGTACAGTATCAAAGGATCACGGGTCGAGTGACTCGGGGAGCATATCGATCTTCTTTTTCAGTTCCTGGAGCCAATCATGATCCGCAATATTGAAGATATTGTTGCACTGATGGTATCCGATCCTGTCAAAGCTTCGACGAACCTGCTCGACATCAAAGCTCTTCGTCACGAAGCTCAGGCCGAAGATGGTATCGCTGACTGGGCGACGGCAGACTTCTTCCAGGGCGAGACGGAGCCAGTTGGACGCCCATGCGATCTTACACTGTTCGCATGGGCTGGGGGGAGCACGCTCGGTCAGGATAGCAGTGATCTGTGCTGCCCGGGTGTCGCGGAACTGGAGCAGGCGGAGGAAGGAGATTGCCGAAAGGCCGAAGACGGACTCTTCTGCTGTCTGCTCGAGGTCGGACCGGAGCGTGAAGCTCGAGGATAGTCGGGCGAGTTCAGGCAGGTCGTACCGACACGCAAGTGCATACACGCGCACAGGATCGAGTTGTATGAAATGGGCTTCGCGTAGGATACCGGCCAGGTGCTGGAGCGCGGCGTCCATCTCGAACTTGTGTGCTGCTTCCAGCACAGGCTCGATCTGCGCAAAAGTGCGGAATTTTGGCTTGGGAACGGGGTAGATGAGTTGCAGCAGAAGTTTGAGTGTTCGACCACGCTCGGTGCAGTCCACGATGGGCACTGCGCTTTCCGGGTCAGCGGGGTCTACATCTGGCTGGGACTGGGGGAGGGAGAAGAGGTGCTTCCAGAACATGGACGCTTCTATGAGTATGCGTCTGTACACCCGGATGTCCTGCGAGTCGATAGAGCGCAGTATGCAGTCCCCTTCGGAGAAGATATTTTCCAGCTGGGGGGTGGAGGGGATCGGGGTGATGGGGGCGATAGTAGACACGGTACTCTGAACGGACTTGCGGGAGTAGGCTATACGCGCGTCAGTTTGTGTGTAATTGAATGATGAGCTACTCACATGGCGATTGTCGCCGCATACTGTGCGCCGCGGCTTGCTTCAGGTCCTTTAACCTCTGGCTCAGTACGAAGTAGTTGTCGCACTCCGGACAGTTGCTCTTGCCCGTCTCCTGGTTAATGAACTCTTCGCTGAAGATGACGTCCGTCGCAGGGTGCTTCTTGACCTCGTCCACCGCACGGACATAGTACCGCATGCTCCAGCTGTCCCCAGGCATGCTCTGGCATGTCTTGCATAAGCTCGACTTCCACCCCTTGAGCGCCTCCAGAATATCACTCTTCCTCCTCACATGGCGCCCCATAAGCTTGACGAGGTCGGTCGCGCTGATGTTTCCCACTTCCTTCTCGCTGGCCCGCGCTAGATCCAGCCTCCCCGTCGCTTCAGCGGCGATCTCCGCCTCCGCTGTGAACCTCCAACGCGTTGCAGCAGCGTAGATGCGGATCGGGAACTGAGTAAGCATTTCCGGCGTAACTAGCATCTTGCGCAGGATCTGCATCACGTGCCCCACTTGGTACACGACCGCAAGCTGGAGCACCGCAAGGAACGCGTCGAAGTCGGAGCCGACTTCGGGTCTGCAGTCAGGATAGATGTACTGCAATAGCATATCAATCGTCCGTCCCTCGGCATCAATATGGATCAGGGGAATCTCAGCCGTAAGCTCGCTCAGGCTGCTCGCGAACACGGGTGATGCCCGTTTGAGCATGATCGCGTGCGCGTACAAGTCCGCTCCCTCTCTGCTCCTGAGTATGACGTCCGCGTCTTCCGCTGCGGTACCGAAGAGCGGGGGAGGTAGCGGAAATTCCTCAGCGACGACATCCAGTCTGCTGCCTGGTCGCGTGGTCGCTACACTTGAAGCGTCGTTTACGGGGTTGTAGGGCACAGCAGGGAAGGAGGAGTAAGTGGGGGAGGAGAGTGCCAGCCCATGGACCTGCAAGTCTTCCAGGGATGCCATTGGCGGGAGACCGGAGAGAGCGAGCGTCCAGTGTTGGTGCGGGAGTGCCGCAGGCCGGTGAGAGGGAGAGGCGTTGAGGATGCGCAGATTGGCGGCTTTGCCCCTGGAGATCGGGGAGGGGTCAAGGGACGAGAGGAGAAGAGCGGAGGCGAGGAGGGGCACGAAGAGCGGAGCAGGAACGACAGTGGAGATGGTGGTGGAAGAGTGACAAGAGAGGGGAGATGAGCGACGTATCTGACCAGATCCCCGGGGCACTTACCTTGCTTCCTCTCTCTCTTGACCTCGTCGACCCCCATCCCTTTGGGCGGAAAATTCACCAGATTTGCGTCTTCTGCTTCTTAACTTCTTTTTCTATCCGAATCAGAAGACCCCTCTTATTATTTCCTTTCATACACCCAATTCATCCAGTTCCCACACTCTTCTGTTCCCTGTCCGCATCTCCCCGTCCACATCTTGCGTACTCCCCATTCCAGTTGTGGCTTCTGAGCAGGTGGCAGTGTCCGTCTCCAGACAACAGACCTCTGAAATACCCTTGGACCCGTAATCAAGCCCGTCTCAATATCATTCCACCCGCTCATCCCTAATCCAATAGCGTCATGCCACCACACTGCCGATCTGGACCGCGCGCGTCAATATATCAGACGTTGTAAGAGGATGACAGCATCAACACAAGGTTGGCACGAAAAGAGCGCGGACACCGGGCCTTCTGTGGCTGAGTCGTTTGAGGCCCTTGCCAACGCCTGCTCCCGTTTACACAACGCGCTCCACGCGCCCGATCTTACTGCTGGACCACTAGGTCAATTTTGTTATTGAGATTGTCACAACAATATTGTTGTGATAATACACCCCAAATTCTCGCGGGTCTGTGGCTCTAGGCCACAAAGTTGCGCTAGTCTGACTTGGGAAACTAGTGGCGCCATCGCACGAACGAGGATCTGTGGTTCTAATTGCCGACAACTTCGACCCTTAGGCATCCGGGGATTGAGTCATCACCTGTTCAAGACGACATTTTGACTGTCTGTCTGTCAACATCCGACGTATTTGCCATCATTCCTGGCCAGTGGCAGCTACCAGGCACCATCTATCGGTTGTTATGCCGCCTACTGTTGGGAATCAAGGCACAGGGCCAGGTACGTCCCTTTCATCGTCATCCTGCGGACCACGCTAACCCTTTTCGTCCATTGTTCCTTCCTGTCATCTCCGTGTACCTGCCTTCTATCGACCCCCGTCTCCCTTGGATCGGATAGGCAGCACTCTCGACCGCACATCCGACGGCGGCCTCCTGCTCACCTCTTCTCAACACTTCGCCTCCCTTTGCTTGCAAGACCAACGACGGCATCTCCCCATCTACAGGCACCGAACCCCCCTGCTGTACGCACTCGAAGCGCATGGCGTGCTCATTGTCGTCGGTCAGACAGGATGCGGGAAGACGACGCAGCTTCCGCAGTATCTGTTCGAGACGGGCTGGGCGGGTGACAGCAAGGTCATCGCATGCACTCAGCCTAGACGGGTCGCAGCGACGAGTGTTGCGATGAGGGTAGCAGAGGAAGTAGGATGCGTACTGGGGGAGGAGGTCGGGTACACGATCCGATTCGAAGATATGAGCGACCCGGAGAAAACACGTATCAAGTATGTGACAGATGGGATGCTCTTTCGCGAGTGTATGCGTGATCCGTTGCTCAGCAAGTACTCGGTGATCATGGTGCGCCGGCCCCCACTCTCGACACGCAACGCACTAGTTGACACCGAAATAGATCGACGAGGCGCATGAGCGGAGTGCATATACTGATCTATTATTAGGTGTATTGAAGAAGTATGAGTTCGTTTCTGTTTCAAGTGCTAATGGTGACCCCGATCTTGTAGGATCCGCCGCAAACGCCCCTCACTGCGGCTCATCATCTCCTCCGCAACTCTTGATGCACAATATTTCTATGACTACTTCACCTCCATGCCCGGAGACACCCCATCTACTACCGCTCAACCAGACGAAGCAGTCATCATCTCGCTGGAAGGCAGGATGTATCCCGTCGAAGTCGGCTACCTGCGCGAACCAGTGAGCGACTATGTGAGAGAAGCAGCAGAGACAGTCAAGCGTGTGCATGTGAGGGAGGGAGCCGGCGACGTTCTCGTTTTCTTGACCGGGCGGGAGGAGATCGACAGGTGCTTGGATATGATCGGCGAGTGGATCCCTACGTGCGCCCTTTCTTCTATGGCCTGACATACCATGCTCACACGCTCTCCAGAATGCCGGATAGCGCACTCCGCTTGACTCCGCTTCCGCTACACGCCGGCCTTCCTTTCGAAGAGCAACAACGCATATTCGACTCCCCCCTTCCCGGTACGCGCAAAGTCATTATCAGTACCAACATCGCCGAAGCTAGTGTGACGATTGACGGGATCCGGTTCGTCGTCGACAGCGGGTTCGTCAAGCTGCGGTCGTATGATGCACGTTCGGGCATCTCGAGGCTCGTCACAACCCCAGTGAGCAGGGCAAGCGCCCTTCAACGAGCGGGAAGGGCGGGGAGGACAAGCAAGGGCGTGTGTTATCGCTTGTATACAGAGGAGGCGTACAACGGTTTAAGGAAGACTACCCCGCCTGAGCTGGTGAGGACGGACTTAGCTCTGCCGGTTCTTCAGCTCAAGAGTCTGGGTATCGACAACCTCAACAAGTACGTCTCTTCAATCGCAACTTCTCTCCATCCTTGAGTGGCACGAGAGTGACGGCAGGTGAACTGAATGCTGACTCATATCGGCCGTAGATTCGAGTGGCCTACCCCTCCGCCAGCTGAGAATCTCGTGCGCGCACTCGAGTGGCTCGTCATGTGCGGGGCCATCGATAACGAGGGGCGAATGACTCAGGAAGGGGATCGAATGGGGGAGATCGCACTAGATCTGAGGATGGCGAAATGTGTGAGTTGTATTTCGAGAAAACGGCCTATCAGTCATGTGTGCTCATTTGAGACGTCACGGAACAGCTACTCGCCTCAGGAGAATTCAAGTGTGGAGAGGAAATGCTCACTATTGCTGCTGTCACTTCTGTCCAGGTAAGCATGACTCGTCCACTTACGCCTTGATCGTTGCTTGCTGTCATCCGGGAAAAGACCACTGATGATGTCTCATCATTATAATAGGATTTGTTCATCATTCCCGAGGGCCAGGCAGGCGCACTTGCCGAACTCGAAAGGAGAAAATTCACCGCGCAAGAAGGGGTGAGTTGCTTTCCCGGTTGACGCTGGCATGGTGTTCACTGATATTGGGATAGGATCATTTGACAATGTTGAACGGCACGTGTTTTCCCCGTACTCCTATCAGGCACTGCTCTGATCTTTATTTTCTCATTATTTTCTCACAGCATACAATGCCTTCATCAAACAGGGGCGGTCGTCTTCTTCTTTCTGTCGTGCTCATGCTCTTAACTTCCGTGCTCTCTCCCGAGCAATGTCGATCCGCGCCCAGCTCAAAAAGTACTTTTTACGCTGGAAGATCCCGCTCGTCTCATGCGAAGGGGACAGCGCGCGTCTCCGCAAATGTCTCATTGCGGGTTACTGGCGAAACGCTGCTCGCATCATGCCGGACGGCACATGGCGTGGGGTAAGACAGGACACAGTGCTGCAATGTCATCCCTCGTCGGTGCTGTTCACCCGCCGACCGCCAAGTGGCTGGGTCATTTACCACGAGGTGGAAGAGACGCGAACGACAAAGTACGTGACTCCGTCTTGCTTTCTTTCGGTTCTGTACTTAACGCGGTCCGTCTAGCATTCGTGTCCTGACAGAAATCGACCCTGACTGGTATGCTGGCGCCCTCACTACTTTGTTGTACAACTCACACTAACGTACCACCAGGCTACTCGAATATGGCTACACGCTTGTTGATAAGCGCCAGCGATGACACATGCCTCCCTACCCCGGATCTCCACCGAGGGCAAGTTGCTGAGTGACTCGATGACATGTCCCGTCTTTCGACCCAAATCCATGGAAACCCAACAATCTCAGCGCCTGAAGATTTCAAGTCTTTGTTCTGGATTCCCTCGGGATAGTCTGATGCTACCGGGTTTCAGCAAGGTTGGAGCGTGGACCCGAGGAAGCCGTCTGGATGCCTGATTCTGGGGAGATCATCTTGGGTATGCTTGGAATGATAAACGAGCTCTAGATCTGGGAGAAAGGTAACGAGCAATTTTATCTCAGCCGGAATTGCTGTCTTTTATTATCCTGCTTTGTGAAAGATTTTCCCATTTCGGAATTTGTGCAGCTCCGATGCTTCCAGTGGCGGTGCTTCGTGCAAACCCGAAGGCAGGGCGCAGCAACTGCGGTCATCCAACTCCTGTCCTGGTTTTGACTGCCGATCGCTCGGCGCTATGCGAACGAACAGAATTCCGAGTTCGATCTATTTGATATCCGGTGATCCCAGAACGGCTACCCTGGCAGTCCGCTTGACTCAATGTGCAAATGTGTGGAGCTTCAGGAGCTTCAACGATGTCGGGCTGTGGGGGTGCTAAGTCTCGACCTTCCGGCTCCATGGAACCCAGCACTGAGTTCTTCCGCAGCCACTATGGCATACCTGTCCCGCAATCCCGACATCTAAACTATTTTCTATAAAGCATACCTCGCGTGCAGCACATTTCATGCCTCTAACTCAGGCCTCCGCCTCCACTTTCCTATTTAGCTCTAAGGTCCTTCCGTCCTCTCTCCCTACTTTCCCGGTATCAGAGACATCTGCAAATGAAGTCAAGTCTCAGAAGAGCACTGAGTACGCAACAAATATAATCCTCTTGAGTATATATGTTGGGACTGACGAGTGACGCAGATGTCATCCTGTTTTGCTGCAGGTGTCGTTGCGATAGAGATCGACACATGCACATGCACACCTCCGCCCCCTCTTTCCAAAGATCGGCAGAGAGCAGTCCTACGAGGACGTTAGTGGACCCGGAGCATCTTCACGACGAGAAGAAAGTATGCTTCACATCTTATGAACCAAATCTATCGACGGCATTGGCGAGGGTGGAAAGTCTCCAAGACGAGCTGACAAGACTCAGCGCGAAGGTGGAGTCTATTGTCCCTCGTGTAGTCGCCCTCCCTCCGTCGAGACCTTCAACGCCCTCCCCAAGAAGAAACTACGCACGTCATATCCCTACGACTAGAAGCAGTCTGATGGAGATCATCAAGTCCAGTCGTACGTCAAAATTACCTTTCGACTAGCTTTGTCCCTAACTTCAGCACATTAGCATTGAACATTCTCCTCCTATTCATTCCGGTTGGATGGGCCCTATATTTCGCCAAACAATCCGGTGTTGTGATCTTTGTCAGTAAGCTCAAGCCACTGTGCTATACATGCCATAGACCAACCTGCTTGTGTGTAGCAACTTTCATATCCGTCATCCCTCTGGCTCAACTCATTGGGTATGGGACGGAAGAGCTCACGATGCGGGTTGGGTAAGACACTTCCCTGGGAAATCAAGCAGTGCATCTGACGATGCGATTAGGCCTACTGTGGGCGGTCTTTTGAATGCAACGCTCGGTAACACGGGTTCGTGTTCACCAAAGCACACCGAGCTTGAGCTGATGTCTTGCGCAGTCGAGCTTATCGTGTCCATAATCGCTTTGTCGCAATGCAAGTTGACCATTGTACAATCAAGCCGTGAGTGAGCAATACTGTGAACGCTGCACATTTGAACGTACTCCTATAGTCATGGGATCTATTCTGAGCAATCTGCTCCTGGTGCTCGGCATGTGCTTTTTTTGCGGCGGAACGAAGTTCGCCGACCAGGCGTTCAAGCAAATGCAGTCGCAATTACACAGCACGCTGTTGGTCCTCAGTGTCATCGCGGTACTCCTTCCTGGCGCATACCACTTTTCGGTCCAATGGCGAAACCAGGCTGACAACATATCCTCGGATGACGTGTCGGCTGCTGTTCAGGCATCGGCAATAATGAAAATGAGCCGTGGCGTACGTCTTCCGGTTCTATGTACTGAAAACTTCTCATCATGATCTAGGTGGCCATAATATTGCTGTTCATCTACGGATGCTACCTGTTTTTCACTCTCTACTCCCACGAGCCTTTCCTACAACTCCAGGACGATGAGCAGTCTACCCCTTATATCGGAGGAAAAACGAAGCACATACAATGGCCACGTCCACTTCACTGGCCACGGAAGCAGCAAGTTCCAAACTTAGGCTCGAATCAAGAGCAAGGCCAGGTGATGTCCAATGTTTCTCTTCGGGAAGAAGAGGAGGAGGAGCAGCCGAAGTTAACTCTTCCTGTCACGATAGGCTTACTGGTTATTGTCTCGGTGGTAAGCCGGTTAACTACTCATGAAATATGCAGTTTGATAAGTGATTCTCTAGCTTGTAGGCGTCACTTCAGAATTCCTGGTCGATTCGATCGACTCTGTGGTACAAACTGGTGCTCTCAGCGAGGAGTGGGTTGGTCTGATTCTGATCCCCATCATCGGCAACGCTGCCGAGCACGTATCAGCCGTGACTGTAGCTGTCAAGGACAAAGTTGACTTGGCGATAAACATCGCCGTGGGCTCGAGTATTCAAATCGCTGTCTTCGTGATTCCTTTCGTGACCGTTCTCGCGTGGATCATGGGAAAAAACTTGACTATGCTATTTGATCCGTTCGAGAGTCTCTCCTTGTTCTTGGCCGTCATGGTCGTGAGCTATACTGTCCAGGATGGAAGGAGTAACTGGCTCGAAGGGATGATTCTGATGTGCGTCTACGTAATACTGGCTCTTTGCTTCTTTTTCTATGTGAGTGTGCATATCTTCCAGTTTCCGGCTTGATCTAAAAACTGTCGCGCAGCCTGGTTATGATCCGACTACATATTTGGGTATTACCTGCACCTGATCCGGTTGTATCACCACTCATTTTGGCCAATGAGAGCCCTGCTCACTATATGACGTGTATCCATACATGCCTTGTGAACACGAGGTCCGCCCCTCAGTCTCGTTGTTTTCGTCAGTCTCCATTTCAAGTAGGCTTTCGAGGTTCATAGTTGTGTATGTTCTAATAGGTTGTGTACGTTAAATTAAACCAGTGGAGATATTACTTCGGCGGACGATTCGAGTCGTATTTCACCCATGAACACGCTGTAAAGTGAGACTTGTATTTATTGTAGCAAAAGAACGTGGTTACAATGCTTCCTTGTATGAGACCCTATCATCTATCTGGCTTTCGCAAATCCTACCTTTGGTCCATCAAAGTTATAAACGCTGTACCAGCTCTTCAAGAACTCATCCCCAATGATTGCCAACGGCTCTCCGTTAGTATCTTTCATATCCATAGCGATGACACCCCCGACACACATGCCCTGTTCCTCCGAGGGCCCAAGGTTGAAGTCGCGGAGATCGATTGTATATTCATTCGAAGAGCCGGCGAAAGTGAATGCCACAGTCGGGTTCGAGTTGCACGGGTACGCATACATACCCGTCCCTTGTTGAGAATCCTCGCGTGATCCGGGAATAGCCTTGTAAAGGGCAGCAGTAGCTGCGCTGGGAAGGTAGATGAGCGTCGTGCCCGTGTCTATGGCGGCCTTGAAGCTAGGTTGGACAGCCTTCCCGTTTACGACGGAGCCTGTGGATTGAACTTCCCAATATGTCTGGGTGGTAACAGGTGTATAGGTGATGCCGCCAGTATAGTGGGTCGAATCGGTGTTGCCGATGCTCAACACTGCACCTTGCTCTTGACGACTCAAGAAAAATGCGAATAGCGGTTCGTCCAGAACCTGAATACCTTCCAGATGAGCCGAACAATACATAATAAGTGACAGGTATACATACACCAGCGTTATAGAGCTGTTGCATGAATGGTGGTTGCTTGGTTTGTGCAATTTGAGGGAATGCTAACCCCAGAATCCCACTGGCGGGGTCGTTCAAAAATTGTGGAGACATAACATTGACGGCACCAAAATATCTGCACGTCTATCAGATATAGTTTTATACCTATGTGAACAAAGACTCACTGGGATTTTACCCGAAAGCCGGACAACATAGCGGTGTCGCTAGCGATGGTACCAACCACCTCTCCACTGCCATATGCAATCTGGAAGGGCTCGATCGTTTGTTCATAGCTACTGGACTTGGAAGAGTTGAATGCTGGTTTGAGAACGTCCGTCGTGCTGTCTACGCATAGAGTCGGTACCCACTGCAGGAAACTGATCACTATATGCGCATATACACGCGTGGGAATGCTTACAAGATCTGAGCTTCCGGTGTCGAAGTCCACCGTAACTTGCTGAAAAGGGGTGCCGAGGTTCAAGGTACCATAATACTCCAAATCAAGCCCGGACTGTATGTAATCGACCAGCGGAACTGATACTGAGGCTCGACGATTTACTGTGAGCGTGTTGGGCAGTACAGCAGCCTTGCTTGCTATGGCTGCAGTGTGTTGATACTTCGCCCTCACTAGCTGGGACTGAGAATGCGCCCAGTCATAATCAAAGATCCCATCAGCACGGAGATGGGAAAACGACCTGGGGGGACCGCGGAGTTGGAGTGGACGAGGTGTCCGGGAGAGAGGACCGGCTGAGGCTGGCTCAAGCAGGAGAATCAAGAGAGCGACGATAGAAGGAGTGAACATTGCTGTAGATGTAGGTGGTGAATGGGAAAAAGAATGTAAGCTGTGCTTCATCACTGCCCTCCATGATCGCGCTTATAAGTCATGAGCGCTGCATACAGAGACACCAAGCATGCCGATCGACTGTCAAAGTTTGACCTAGTGTCTCGCGTCTTGAGCTCTTGAACGCAGCTTAAGGTCATTGCAAGACGGCAAGCAAGTTCATCAAATCGCCATCAGATACGATTCATAGTAAAGCATTTTTTGTATATTTAGAGGCATTTACTTCGAATTGACCACGAAAGTATCTCGCTTCGATGTATGAGTGATGATAAAGTTGAACGAGTGAAGGACTCAACCTTCGAACATTCCCTGAAAAGGCTCAATTTTGATCCCGAAGCGCCCACCCAATCGTTCGTCAACTCATACGACCATGGCCACTACTGCAGAAGGACAGCTACCCCCTCTTTCCGGCCTCTTAGCTTCATCTTCACGACGTACAGCCGCCATATTCGCTTCATCTTTTGCCCCGTCACTATCCGATGAGCTGAGGTGAGCGGTGAATGTTTCTAGTGCGAGGATTTGAGGGCTGAGGGTCGCGTAGCTCACGCGCCAAGTTGGCTGTCAAGATTTCAAATGAGTACGAGGCGGTGAGGGAACTTCCAATAGGGATGCGAGAACAGCAGGGGCCGCATGCACCCAAGCAGCGAAAAGCCATCGAAGGCCGTGAGTGGTATGCTCAGGGAGAAAATGCACGGGGGACTGACGGCTCTTTTGTAGCGCCACCAGAGACAACCAGGCTCATCGAGGCTGCTGCAGGGACGACAGCACCTCAGGCTGCGTTAACCCTGGCCCCTACTTCAGTGCGTGCTGGGTTATCAGAGTTGTGAGAGGCCTACTGAGTGACATCCCTTAGAACCAAACACCTCTCCACCGTGCACTCTCCCTTCGGAAACAGCAGCGCGAAGTCAAGCCAGATTACCATCCACAATGGCGTCTCTCACGGGTCATATCTGGACATCTTGGTTGGGTACGAAGTGTTGCTGTCGAGCCGGGGAACAAGTGGTTTGCGACCGGCGCAGGTGATAGGGTGATCAAGATCTGGGACCTGGCAAGCGGGGAACTCAAGATCTCCCTCACCGGCCACATCTCCACCGTGCGTGGTTTGGCAGTCTCGCCTAGACATCCGTATCTGTTCTCCTGTGGAGAGGACAAGATGGTCAAGTGCTGGGATTTAGAGGCGAATAAGGTTATTAGGCACTATCATGGACATTTATCAGGTATATATGCACTTGCGTGAGTCTCTTCTTATTTATCTGTCTCGAATTCACCCTAACCTCTATCTCAGCCTTCATCCAACACTAGACTTACTGGTCACCAGTGGTCGTGATGCATCTGCGCGAGTATGGGATATGCGCACAAAAGCTCAAATCCACGTTCTGGCTGGGCATAGCGCCACTGTCGGGGCACTTCTAACTGCACCTGTCGATCCTCAAGTCATTACTGGCTCGATGGATTCAACAATTCGGTGAGTGGCCCTTCTCGGCTCTGTCTTGTATGTTGACTTATGCAATGCACAGGCTATGGGATATTACAGCTGGTAAAACAATGATGACGCTGACACACCACAAAAAGTCAGTGCGCGCTCTCGCGTTATCCCCCTCCGAGTTCTCGTTCGTTTCCGGCTCTGCTGGTGGCAACAACATCAAAAAGTTCAAACTTCCGGGAGGCGAACTAGTGTACACCTGTAAGGGACACGAAGCCATCATCAACTGCATGTCTGTGAACGGGGACGGTGTGCAGTTCTCCGGCGGGGATAACGGCAGTTTGACCTTCTGGGATTACAAGACCGGTCTGCCATTCCAGCATATGGACGACATTCCGCAACCAGGAAGTCTGGATGCTGAGGCAGGTGTATTCTGCTCGACGTTTGACATGACAGGGACGAGGTTAATCACCGGTGGTGCGGACAAGACAATTAAAGTACGTATCCATATCTCTGATGGCAGCGTTAGCCTGACTGGTTTTGTGTAGATCTACGCTGAACGGACTGAATGAGGCACGTAATACTTTGCTCCGTGTTTTAATTGTAGCCTAGACAGCGTGTACGATAATGCATGGTGATCAACTACATTCTGTTTACAACCATGAGATAAATGCAAGTAGAAAAGCGGCTGTACTGTATGTATCAAAGGTGACACTCCGGCGCAGCCGAAGCAGCAGGAGACCATCAGTGCCACAAGGGCCTGTCATCGCATCGGCCATCCATCTTCTCCTCCATCCCTACCTCAACGCCCTCTCTTCGTCTTTCCCTTCGACCTCTTTCATTTGATAATCTGCGCAACAGTCATGTCTGTGTCGAGGAATCCTTTTGCACAACCCGGCACACAATATGTACATCCCGAGGTCCAGGCAGCGGCATACCAATACCCAGACATCTCCGGTGGATCATATGGTTCACAGAACGGGTATCAGCAACAGCAATTTTCTGGTCAGCAGCAGCAATATCCGCAATCGGCAGGCTCCGTCTCGGGCATGTATGGTCAGCAACAACCTCAGTACCAACAACAGCCGCAACAGCAACAGCAGTGGAGCTACGGTTCGGGCTCCGGCGTAGGGATGGGCGGCATGCCAAGCAGTCAGCAGGGACTGCCTTCCCAAAACAGCAATATCTACGGCCAGCAGTACTCCATGCCCTCCCAGTCGTATGGTGCCGGTGGGGGCGTGGACATGGGTGGGATGGGAACGCAAATGGGTTACACGGGGTACCAGAACGGCGGATATGGGTACGGTCCTTCTGCTGCTGGCACTGCTGCTGGCGGTGGACGTGTGCCTAATCCTGCCGTGTCTGCTTTCGATCCGCTCTCCCAGCAGCCTCAGCAGCCAACCCAGCAGCAGCAGCAAGCATATCAGCAACCCCGGCCCCAGCAGGAACAGGTGAAGATGCAGCCTGGATTGATGCCTACTATCTCGAACTACGGAGCTCCGGACTCAAAGTACAACGAACACCCCCGGCAGCTAGTGATTCGCACGAAACGGGAACTCGAGGCGTGGAACGAGGGTGCATGGAACAAGCTCATCGAATGTGTGGAGGCACTCAGGGAAGCGTGGCAAGCCAGAAAGGCGTACTTGGATCAGTTGCCGAAGCAGTGGCCAGGGATAAATATCGATGTCCCTGCAAAGATGAAAGAAGCGAGTGACCATATTGGCAAGTGATTTCTTGTTTATCCTGTTGATATTCCTTGCTGACTACCACTTAGAGGATATCACTGCCGTCCGCTGGCAGCTCGCTGAGATCAAGAACAGCTACAGGCACTCCCACGACTCTGCCTCCCGTAACAGGGTCAAGGAGCAACTCAATGCTGGCTTGAGCCGGCTGCCTGACTGGCCCGAGCGCACAGATGAGCTGCGTAATTCTCTTCCCGAGCTGCTGGCTCGGCAGCGCATACCGCCAAATGCTCTCAGCCCGCCGCCGCCTCAGTCTCCCCTCGGCCTGCCCCAGATTCAGCAGCCGCAGTACTCCCCACAGCAGTATGCTGCTGTTCAGCCGCCAATGCAGACGCAGCAGGCTCAGGGACCGCAGATGTGGACGCCCCAGGGGCAGCTGACGGTGCAACAATATCAGCAGATGAACATGCAACAGCAGCAGCAGCAGCAACAACAACACATGATGGGACAGTACAGTGTTCAGGCTGCCCCGAGTGGCATGCAGTATGGCTGGCGATGAGTATATGACTGCTGGTTTGATCACTTCCAGACTGTGGATAGCGAATCTCCCGCTCCATTCTCTGTTTTCTCCGCTTCACACGGCAAATCTGTTGTTGTACAAGATACCTTCACATGCCTTTTCAAGACGGTATCATAACGTGTTGTAACGAATATACCAAGTGCTTTCCTTTGCTCTGCCACCCCATGTATGATGCGGTCGCTGGGGATGAGTGCTCTAACCGAACTTCGGCCCGATGAACATCCGAGGCCCTGTCCCTATCAGCTCCGCTTAGCTGCTCTCTGATCACAACCACCATTTCGAAGTAGCAGTAAACCACTCACTACTCATCTTTCGCTGCTTATACGCTCCCTATAATCTTATGCATATCCTCGACGGCTAGCATGGATATCTCTGATCTGCTGTGCGACCCCACTCCTCCGACGAGCAGGAGGTCCTCAATGGCCGAGGTGCGTACGCACTGCTGTCCTAGTGATGTCTCCTCAGCCTTTACAGATCATCCCCCGCCCCACTCAGCCACGCATACCATCTTCCGTGCATTCACCAATTCCGGATCTGCGATCAGAGAGGGACAATCTCCTTGCCGATGCGATCGAGTTAGCAGACACGCTCACCACGATGCTGGAGCATATTGAGCCACGGCGATCGATCATCAGCCCCTCAGGCGGGGAACTCAAGGCCGGCACTTCGCTGCACACAACACGCACTCTGGAATCGAAGCTGCATCAGCGAATACAGTGGATCAACGAACGAAGGAACGAAGCGTTGTCCGCTTTCTCTCGCCTCCCAGACGATGTGGTGCGGTACATCTTCAGCATACCGTCGGCAGAGGGCTGGACCAAATGGGGACAGTTCTCGGTGCTCGTCTCTCATGTGTGTCGAAGGTGGAGAGTTATAGCACTCGATACACCATGCATGTGGGCTTCTGTGCGGTATTCGAGCAGGCTCACCGACCCATTCGCATCCATCTACAACGAATCGTATACTGGCCACTCCGTGATAGGTGCAGCATCAAACCGTGATGTCACTCACCCATTCTGGGACCAGAGAGGGCATGACGCTACATTACATAAGGATGCGACCTTCCTGGGACGATCGAAGTCAGCGAGGTTGGATGTCGAGTTGCATATATTCGAATACCCGGATTTGGAAGCCGGCACCGTGGAGAACTATCTACGCCGGCACGGGAACCGATCGGGAGACGTCACTCTCAGCGTAGCCAAATATTCCACCGGATCGTTGAAGAAAGTTATGACAAGGCTTGCGGAGGATGGTGCATCGCTGGAGCTACGAAAGCTTCGAATATCATCTCGCCCGTTGCTTTCTCAAATCTTCGAAACGAGCATTACGGACCTTTTCTTTTACTCTCTCCCAAGACTACACGAAGTCCACCTGTCGAACATGCCTCTCCCCGCAACATTCGATCCGAACTACAAGCTGCTTGCATCATGCAAGAAGCTCACTCTGCATGCATCACAAGAATCTGGTTTTGATTCCGATAAAATGCTTGTTATGCTCTCTGGTTGTCCAGACCTGATAGAGTTCCGCCTCGTTCTAGACAGGCCGATTATCGATTCATCCCAAGCAGCGCCTGCTCGAGAGCGATTCGTCCTACCGAAGCTCAGATTCTACAGCGCCTGTACAGCCAGATGGGGCGCAGACATCGCCTTTTCTTTCCTTCGTACCCCCCTCCTAACACACCTCGCAGTTCAGCGGGACACCATCAACACGAACGTTGAGCGAGAAGACTACGTTGGATACTTGAAGCAATTCATCAGAGCATCTTCGGCCGCACTGGAGTATCTCTCGGTCAAAGGCCTAGAACCAGCCTCTTTCGAAGAAATCCTGAAGGACGTACCATCGATCAAATATTTGTCATTTAACAAACGCATGTCGCTCTGGGAACCAACAAACAGTTACCAAACACTGTTTCGCGTCTTACTCGAGTCTGTCGTGAAGGTCGTTCCCGGAGAGAAGCCAACCTGCATCTGTCCAAATTTGGAAGCAATTTCGTGCGATTTGCTTGCCGTGCCGTCGTTGGTGAAAACAATGTCCGAGTTTGCCCGCGTCCGAGCGGCAGCAGCGGTTGCGGGGAAGCCTGGCATTTCACCAATCCGAAGGATCGAGCTCGGAGACTGGCCACCGTCAGGCATGCCTGCTACTCCGGCACAGGCATATATCAATGAAGACGAATTGGCTCGTCATGTCGAAGAACTGACGATAGGAAAGCACCGATACGACAAGGCGAGCAGGATGTGGCTTCTCGGCGCATGCCCGTTCAAGAATTTCCTGCCTTTCGGACAGCCCGCGTTGGAAGAATCGCCTATTGGGCTGCGCAGGTATACCTGAACGACCACGCCAAAGCTCGGCTCACGCCTGTTTAGGTCGGATGAGTTGTCTATGTTTGAGTTACCTCCATTCCTGCCACCTACGCCCGTAGATGAAGAAGAAGAGGAGGAGGAGGAGGAAGACACAGAGGAAGAAGACATTCCCCCAGAGAAGCGGACCTCGTCGTGGTGGGCGTGGTACTGGATCTGTATTTTGTTGCTTATCTCCACTTTATTATCACTCGATACCACCGGAAGACGCTTGCTCTTGTAGATTACACATGCATTCAATTGAAATCCAAAACAAATGGTAACTGATAGCGCAAGGTAGCAAGTAGAGGAGGATATATACATGAAGCGTGACAAGTGACCGGAAATGACCATAGTGAACCACAATACCCATAAATAATGAGACAACAAATGCAATGACAGGTAAACAAATCGGCCTCCTACATGGTATTCAAATTGAAGGTGCTGAGCTGATCTATGTAGCTTGCTGCATCAGGGACAGGGAGCTGTTCTTCCGGTCCATGCGCAAACCATCCATCCATTGGTTCGTCCGCCGGCCAGGTCCAACCAGGCAACAACATGTTGGATGCCCAGTTCGCGTTGTTCAAGGCTCGCATAGAAGCAAGATAATCGTCGTCGTTCTCCATATCATCGAGATTAAACAGGCTGCCACCATACGTGGATGGAGGTACTTCGGTCTCGTCGCCTACAGTGCTGACAGCGCCAGAGACCGAGCCCTCGACGTACAAGGTAGGAGGGGTTGGCAGGGCAGCTTGTGCCGGTAACTGCTGCGGAATTGGCGCAGGCATCTGGACCTCTGTGGTAACCGCGACGGCGGGCGCAAGCACTGGAGCAGGGATCCCCGAGTTTTGCGGTGCAGAACCATTGATTCGTGGCATCGGTTCCTTCGACACGTTCTCTGGCTCGGGAGGTACTTGGGTTGGGGCCGGTTCTTCCAGAGTATGCCGCTTCTCCAGAAGCGTCTGAAGGAAGCGAGCATACAAGCGAGGGGTGTGCATATTATCGATCGCGACGCTGTTGAACACCTCGACGACGGAGGTGATCATACTGACGATATGTGCCTGTTGGGTGTCCGCAAGCAGCGGCAAGAATTCGGGGCGAAGCAACTGTCCTCGCTCGTGAGTCCACATTCCTGAGGAAGAACTGATATTCTCACCTTCAGCAGGAAAGCAGAAGCAAACGCCACGAAAAGGAAGTGGCCATCGGGTGCGAAACTGAAGTATTCAGTCTTCGACAGTCGGGTAACCACGATCCGAACGACCTCGGTCGCAGCACCGTAGGCATTCTTGAAGAAATTGGACAGTGCTTTAGGGTCAAGCTTTTTCTCGAAGGCTTGTTGGAAGCCAAAGGACCACAGAACAAGACGGGAATACTGGAACAAGCTGAGGAAGAATGAGTATTTTTGCTTTTCCAAGGCAGGAACACCTACAAAGGAAGGAGCTCGACACGATAGCGACATGCCGGATCTCTTTTATTCGACTCGACGGCGAAGCGCGCTTCGGTATCCTTCTTATACTTCTGCAGCTCTTCTTCAAACTTGGTCGTAACGCCAAGCCAGTCAATGTTCTTGTTCAACCCCGTAGGAGCGTTCGGATCCGAGTACACAGCCTCAAGGAAACGCGCCATTATCCTGAGCAGACTCGTGTATGCGCACAGATGTATATCGTACGGGTGATTATACTTTGAGCGTTTGTAGAAGTTAGCCGAATGACGGATGATGTAGTCTTCACGGATGGCGGTGGGCCGGCCGAGCTGGGTGGCGGCGGATCGATCGAGGTTGAAGCAGATCTGCCAGGTACGGTAGCGGTTCAGGATCTCGCGTTCCGTCACTTCATCCGGTGCTTTGGTCGTTACTGGCACATGCAGATTCAGATCCGTCGCCATGCGGATAGCGAGACCGAGGTAGAGCCAGCTGCGATCTTCCTCCCACCGCTTGGCAGGAAGGGAGTACACACTCATAAGGATATACGCTTGGCAGATCTCAAGGCTCTTCCATCGGTTGATGAGTGAGGTAGCTGCCGACGTCCGGGCAAGGTGCATTGCGATCTGGTACAGCTCGGGTCGGTCTCGGTAGTAGCGGGAGGCGATGGCGCAGACAACGGTGAAGAGGAAGGGACAACGACCGTATACATGTGCTGGGGTATGGATTGCAGGATCGAAGATAGCCAGCACGGGGTTCAGGCGGTCGTAGAATCTATAATTGAATATGAGCATACATCTTACATCCGATAGACAGGACACTCACATGCTGAACAGCTTCCTGACCTCATCCGGGCTGACGATCCCTCGTTCGGTGATCTCGGGCGGTGTCTGCCACTCGATGATCCTTCGGCGAAGACCGGCATTAACCGTTGGACCAGGCGCAAAGAACTTCTGGTTGGCGAAACCGACCGCCTCTTCCTCATCAGGCGCGTCGCCGCCGCCATCGCTGGCCGAGCTCTCCGCGCCCTTGCCCTTCCCGTCGCGGTCCTTGTTGACGCGCATGCTGCTGTCTGCCAAGAGACCGAATGGCGTGTCAGGCATGGGGATCAACTCGGCCGGTGACCGGCCACGCTTTATCCCTGCACCGTCCAGTTCACCAGACTCGTCCGCCTCGCCGTCCGAGTCGGCTTCACCCTCACTCAGCAGCTGCGCACGGATGCTTTGTGGCTGGCTCTTTGCCGACGCGGGGGAGAGGTGGTCCGCCCCGCCCGATCCGTTGGCGGAAGTTGCTGCAGTCGCATCTGCCACCCATGCCTGGATGTCAGATGGGGATCGCTGCGTCGGCGGCAGCTTGCTCGCGTTGTACGCCCCGGTAACACTAGCGCCTTGTAGCGCGATATTGGACGTGGCGTGAAAGGGCACCGTCGTCCAAGGGTTGTTCAGTTGCTTTAGGAGATATTGGATCGTCTTGTCTTTCTCCTGTAGCTTTTTGTTCAGCACGTCACGCCAACTATATGCGCTGTCAGCCGCGCATATATGTGCATATCCAAGCAGGAAACCCACTTAGACTTGACACGCGGCTTCCTTCCAAGAAACTCGCACTCCTGGTTCCTATGCAAGCAGCGTTCGCACTTTGCCTGCCCCTCCTCTCGCACGCATTTCATCTTTCGGAACATCAACAAGTTATCGTACAAATTAAGCGCATATACCCACCTTAAGCCGCTTGCAGTGAGAGCACGCCTGAGGCGTCTTCTTCTGCTCTTTCTCCTTCTGCTGCGCCCCGTTCACCGGCCCTGCAGCATCACTATCCTCGTCGTCGTCGTCCGCGTCACCTTCTTGTTTCAGCACGATCTTTCGCTTCTTGCTTGCCGGGTTTGATGCTGGGGAACTACTCGGGGCGGTTGCCACGCTGGCGCGGGCGGTATATGGATTTTGCAACCGACAAGAGGATTCGGGGGAGGCGCCGTTACCTGTGAGGGAGAGTGAAGAGCTGGGGGTGGATTGCTGGGGTGCAAGCTGTACAGCTGAGGGCCGAGCCGGCGCAGGAGGAGGCGCATATTGGTTATCACCCGACATGTACTCGTCGTTCCACGGTGATGGGGAGATGCTGGCATACGGTTGCTGAGCATTCAGACCACTAGGGAATGGTGGCTCCGGTTGATGTGGTGCGTGCTGCGGAGGGTACTGCACGTGCATCAGACGAAGGCTGATGGATAAGTGGGATGGCTCACATCCGGGAAACCGTTGGGCTGAGGGTAGTACATGTCCTGTTGCTCCGGGATCGCCTGTGAGAGATCTGCAAACCCATGATCATGATGTTGCTGGTGGAAGGCATTTCCATTCTGATGCTGCAGCTGCGGATACGGTGGCAAGCCAGTGTTATCAAAGCTGAAGCTCGAGTAGATAGCGCTTGGATGAATGTTGCCCCCTAGATTGTTGGTGTCTAGACCATCCATGTTCGGGTACGTATGCGTACTCGCAGCGCTGATGTACTGCTGTCTCCGGCCCAATTCTTCAAACGCCGCATTCGAAACATCGGTCATGTACTGCGATACGTTGCCCGTTTGGAAGGGTGCTGGCTGGGGTGGGACGGAGCCGATCATGCCAGACGGAAGGGGAAGTGCGAGTGGGTCGTAATGCGATGTGGAGGAAGTAGAAGAGAGAGCGCCTGGGGAGAGGGCGGAATTGGTGGTGGACACGGCTGGGGTTTGGGCGTTTCCTGGGCCTCGGTGTTGACCGGATAGGAGGAATTCGTAGGAATTCTGGCTGGCGGGTAATGTCGGCCCTGTAGAGGAGGCACTGGGTGAAGTACTGGTCGGGTGGGAATATGTAAGGACGGAAGACGTATCTTGCTGGGCTGGGTATGTGTGCAGGTGGTGCTGTGGATTAGGATGGTGACTAGGATGATGATGCTGGTGACCGTGGATATTTGGGTGCGGGTTGTGAATGTGGTGGTGGGCGGAAGGAGGAAGGCGCCGTTCATCTGCCATGCTTTGCTTCCTGTCTCTGGTAAGCAAGGGCTGTGGGGGAGGGATGGAAAGACAGCGTGGGGGAGGGAGGGAAGTGACGCACTGAGGTGCCTACGGGGATTGTTGAATCGCCGGTTCAGTATGCGGCCGTGTATGCGTATATGGAAGAGCCTGGGTTTGCGTCACGCTGAAGTAAGCCCTATACTTGATCGCCTATAATACCCCTTTTCGCTTGTCTGCACGTGTTTGTGGCTAGAAGAATGAAAACTACTTTGGTCGTCGTCGTCGATGCTGGGAGGGGAAAGAGGAGAGACAGTTTACCGGCCAAGCTGGAAGGGGACGATATATTTAAAGCAGGCCCGTTCAGTGGGTGGGTGGGTGAGCCCGCCCCCCCGCCAGTCACCTCACTGTTGGCAGAATGGGCCTTTTGGTGCCTCGCCTTTCTCGACTGTGCCGTGTGTTGTCAGCAACCCACTCTCTTACACAATCCGGGCCCAGCTCAAAGCATTCCTTCTCACAGGGCTCCACCGAATTGAACAGAGCACTCAAATATCTTACCACGCACACAGGGGCCCCGGACACTCCGAGCGCATTTAGGGAAGCGAATAAGGTCTCTCTCCTCTTCCTATTGGCTCACTGCTTCCATCGGCCACTATCTCGCTCTTTTGACCTTGCCCGATCCGCCAAAATAACCAGATGCCGCCGCCTCGGCAGGGACGATGCACATACAGTCGGACCCGCAACTAAGCATGGGCTCGGGGGACACTATAAGCCATGCTTAAGGACGGGCCATGCTTAAGCATGGCTGCGTCGGAGCCGAAATATTTACCCGGGCCAATCATTAAGCCCAAATATTTGCTTCCGCTTGAGTTTAAAGGACAAATAGGAGCCGCCCAGGAGGGATTTCCACCAAAATTGGAGTCCGTGGAGCCCAAACTGTTAAGCATATATATGGGAAACTAGTCCCCTGAGCTATGCATTATGCTTAAGCCAAGGTATGCCTAATGGCCCATATCATTTCCTGACTCCCACGTCGGTGGACCTGCAAAGCTATGCCTACAGAGGGGCTATGCCTAATATGGTGTATGTGTAATCGCGGGTCCGACTGTACATGTGTTTAGGGGTCCGCGAAATGGGGACCCGAACAGAAATCGCGTTCCATCCAGAGCTGATTGCCATCTATTCAGAACGCGTGTGTCCACAACACTTTGTAGCACAACTCGACCGCCGTTCGCCCTAGCGCCCGCATATCTGATTATGGACCTGCTCAATACCGTCGAACGTGTGGTACGCCGTACGCTCGAGGGCAAAATCGTATGCCATCTTCACCGGTTTCCGCATAGGTGCTGACCTCCACGTCACAGGACTTCGTCGCACAAACGCAGGTCGAAATCATCACCTACGTCGTGCTATCAATCGCGACCGTCGTCGCCTTTCTCGCGGGGTACATCGCAGCCGATCTACGCATCTCCCTTGCCATATTCGGCGTCGCCGTACTCGGACTTCTCGTCGTAAGTGCCAACATCAGACGCGCGCCCAGCAACAATCTCACGCCATACTGGCAGTTGTTCGTCCCTCCTTGGCCGTACCTGAACCTGCACCCAGTTCCATGGCGCGCACCCGTAGCTCCCTCACTCGAGTTCTCAAAAGCCGAGTGAACCAGCCGAGCCAATCGCATCAACGTTCTTTCTCCCCCTTCTGTATGTCTCTGCTCAGCCAAGGAGAGTGCGGCTGAGCAGCATGCCCAGTCCTCTTGGGGCTGAAAACGGACGATCAGAGCATCGTAATCCAGATTGACTCACGATCCGCATCTCTGGATATTACTTACCCTTACCTCCCACCTCCACCGCGCCTGCCCGCCAACACATGTACAACATCCGCCAATCTACTTGTTCAATCTATCCATCGGTCCAATCGCGGCTTAATGCCCTCGCGTCAGCTGCTTCCCCTTGGTCCTCGGACATGTCAAGGGGTTGAGATACTGGTTGTCCCCCACGTGGACCAACTATGACAAGATGGAAAGTAAGAAAACGTGGCTGTGGGTTCCACGATGCCCTTTGTCAGTGCCTGGACCACCAATACCGTTTTGCCTATGCCACGTACGATCATGTTTGTAAGCTCAGTCACCAGGCACCCCATCATGATTTTTAGTGCATGGCATGAACAACCCAGATCACTGGAACAAATGGGCCTCAACAACTAGAGTCAATCTGCGTTTACAAGTTCCGATTCTGGACAGCGGTCCGAATCCCTGAAAGCCCTGAGAATCATTGCATACATTCAAAGGATTCGAATGAAATGGACAGCCACTGGTGCCTGGCAGGTAATCTTCTTGCTGTTGCTGAGCTGCTCTTTGTTCTGCTTCGGGCAGGTTCGGCTTCCTGCCATCTATGTCTGGTCAACAGTACCGACCCTGGGGTAACGTTCCAGCCCTTCCAGTCAAGAAGGTACATATATTCCAGCTTGGAAAAGCATGGGACAAGACATGTACACGTTCTGATGCAACAAGTTCCACGTTGGTCCTGGTTTATCAACTCAGACGCGCGGAGAAATCCTTGGCACATCAATCCGCCGCCTTAGAGGAAGAGCGGGAGGCGCCCGTGCCTGGGAGGCCCTCTGGCGCGCTGTTGACACCGGGGATCGACGTTTGCCTGCGGCAAACCTGAAGGTCAACGGCGAGCCCAACGTGTGCTGTCACACTGCCTTCCGGGTGACAACGGGAGTTGCGGAGTTGGGGGATTGTCGGAGCGCCAACTGTGTCCAAAAGAAAACGCGGAACAAGAGATGAAGATGGGTTGAAGTCTGTAAGTTCTTGGTCTATCTACATACAACACGAGTAATCAAGTAATCCTCCTTTGTCAATCTCCAAATGAAAGAAACCACTTAAATCCTTTTTTATCTCCCTATCCCCTGATTCCTTCCCGGATCAGGTATCATATCATACCTAGGTGGGATTTCCTGCATTTCTGCACCTGTCTCTTGCCCTGCAACAAGCACAGGTCCTCCATCCATGGGCTGCAAAACCCCGCCAATCGACGCTCTTCTTCCCAGACCGAGGGGCGAATTCACTTCTCTCGTAAGGTGATATCGTTCAAATGCCTCTCGCGCCTTTGCCTGAATCGATATGCTGGGGTTTCTCTGTGTCGCCGCACCGTCTGCAGCACTCAGCGTCCGATGTTCCCCAACGAGCGCCCCGTTCGCACTGGGGGTACGATACAAGAACATAGCGCTAGGTGGAACATGGGATTCGCTGCCCACGCTATCCGGAGAGAGTGGCTCGGCATCACCTTCGTGTCCGTCCGAGGACCGGGCGTACGCACTGCTGGCGCGGGGTGTGTGCAAGGGCTGGCTGGTACTTGTGCTCGAGGAGCGAACTGGGCCAGCCGGGGCAGGACGGGGGCCCAATGGTCGCGAGGAGGGCGTTGGGGGAGTAAATACGGTGACGTTGTATGGATCGACGAGAGCGATGGATGAAGATTCGACTGGTTGCATATCGTGGTCAGCGTCCTTGGGTTCGGGGAACGGTCGACCGCTCCAGGCGGCTTCAGGGACGATGTGCGATAATCCCCTCTGCTCATGCGCGTATGGATCGAATGGGCTATCCCAATCCAGATCCAATCTTGTTCCTGGGTATCTTTGCTGTCTTCTCCGACGAGAATACCAAAAGCCGCCCAGCGCGAGAAGAACCAGCAGTAGAAGGCCGCCAATAACACCTCCGACAATGCCACCTATTTTAGCTGGGGGCAGGGCTGCATTGGAGGATGTATGCACATCGAGAGTAGAAGATGCTGCGGCTGCCGCGAGGGAGACGGAAGCCAAGGAAACGATTGATTGGCTGGACAGCATGGCGAGAGACGATGCTGAGGCTGAGGCCACGGAAGACATGGATGCCACACTGCTCATCGATTCGAGGGATGGTGACGCAGATTTGGCGTATTCTGACGAGGTGGAAAACACGCTCTCAACACTTCTTGTCGAGAACACGGAGAGCGTCCCACTCGCAGCAGTGGGGTTGGCAGTCAACTCGTCTAGCAAAGTCAGAGCACCAGTGTAAGGTTTACAGACGGCATCCGCCAGGGAGACGGCGAGACTTCGATCAGCCAAAGAGCAGTTTGATTGTAGGCAGGAGGCAGCGGAAGTTTGGAACGTTGGTCTGTTGCCAAGAATGTATCAGAATGTGTAGGATAGGGCATCCGACCAGACGTACGAAGGACACACGCAGGCGACGCTCGTATAAGACTCACAACCGGCGGCAGTTGCTGCCTCACTCAAGCAAGTGGTGACGCATAGTGGAATGCCTACATGCGTGATAAGCGTTGTCGTCCTAAAATGGAAAGCGAACGGCACGTACTGTTCGTAGGTTCTGCCAACGACGCGGCCATCGCATACAACGGACTACCGAGCGCATAAAGTCATAAGATGAGCATTGGCGGACACCAGACGAGCAAGGATACTGGAGGGGAGACAAGCAAGCAGCTCAACTTTGATGTCTGGCGAGCAGGGGACCTGATAATAATTCATATCCTGTATCTTGACGACGTAGACTCCAGCTGCGCTTCTTGGCTCACAGGTTGGACAGGATTGAACACCGCCTAGCGCCTCCATTTCGTGGCTCCTTTCGAATTCTGATTCAACATCTGAATGAGTAGAGTAACGGGAAATTGTGTGTCTTTTCTCGGAATTCATTCCTGAACGTAAGAGAGAGAGTAGCGGTGGAGCGCAGTCCGAGTTGCTTTCCCGGTCCCTGGAGCATCACGTGATAAATGAGAGCGGTGGTATTTCATCTCATTGTTGCTTCATAGAATTACCTAATAAACACAAAGTACTGCCTTTAGAAGTCCTGATTCCGGATTCACGCAGCGTTTTCCTCGGGGATAGCGATAGCGAACGCGTTCGCGAAGTCAGCAATGATATCGCTGATGGCTTCGATCCCGACAGAGACCTGTGCACATCAGTTAATGAACAATGATAGGAGATTGTAGAGGTACTAACTCGAATCAGATCAGGTGTAACACCGCTCGCGAACTGCTCGTCTGTCGTGAGCTGCTGATGTGTCGTCGTGGCAGGGTGGATGACAAGCGTCTTCGCGTCTCCCACATTTGCGAGATTGCTTGCCAGCTTGAGCTTGTCCACCACTAAACTGCCGACCTTCGCATCCCCACGCACACCAAACGAGAGCACACCGCCATAAGTATTAGGGCGGAGCAGGCGCCTTGCTACTGCATGGCTCGGGTGACTCTCTAGACCAGGATAGGACACCCACGCGACCTTGGGATGATGCTCGAGCCACTGCGCCAGGAGGAGGGCGTTATCGCAGTGCCTTTGCACACGGAGGGAGAGGGTCTCAAGTCCTTGAAGGAGAAGGAAGGCGGCGAATGGGTTGAGGCAGGAGCCTAGGTCACGAAGGATCTCCACACGGCACTTGATCGCAAATGCGATGGGCCCGAATGTTTCGCTGAATTTCAGCCCATGGTAGCCTTCCGAAGGCTCGGTGAATCCGGGGAATTTGCCAGACTTGGTCCAATCGAACTTGCCGGAATCGATGACGACACCTCCGATAGTCGTCCTGAAAATAAGTGAGCAGATGCCATCTAGCATAAGATAGAGGTTGCCACACACCCATGGCCACCAATCCATTTCGTAGCGGAGTGAACGACAATATCGGCTCCATGCTCAATAGGACGTACGATGTAACCTGAATAAACGTTTGAGGCCAGGAACTGCCAGATTCTGGGGATTATGCACCTCCTGCACCAAACGTGTTATCCACAATGAGAGGGATGCCAGCCTCATGCGCGATCAACGCAATTGCTGGAAGATCCGCGACATTATACTATTCGGATACATCAGCCTGTGGCACGTAGCATGATGCATCAGCATTGTCACCTTGGGATTCCCAATGCTTTCCACATATAACGCCTTTGTGTTCTGATCGATGGCTGCCTTGAACCCTTCTGGCGAGTCCCCTTCAACGAATTTCACTGCGATCCCGAACTTCTTCATCAGCACTTTGAGCTGATTGTAGGTCTAGATGACGCAATGCGAGTCAACCATGTGCTCATCATGTCGAGATATGCAACCCACCCCACCATAGAGATACGAACTGCGGATAGACTTAGGATATCGCTGCCAGAGTGTGATGAGGCGGACTCACGTAGACACAATGTTATCCCCAGCCTGCGCTATGGTCGCAATGGCCATGAATTGAGCCGACTGGCCAGAGCTGGCTGCAACAGCAGCAGCACCTCCCTCTAGAGCCGCAATACGCTTCTCGAAGACATCAACAGTTGGGTTGCCAATGCGCGAGTAAATGTTGCCAAAGGCGCGCAGACCAAACAAATCGGCTCCATGCTGTCATGTTGTACCCGATCAGCGGATATGGATAGCAATTGCCTCCCAGACGCACTGCAGAGTCGTTGAAGACAAAGGAAGTGGTTGCATAGATAGGTACAGCGCGGGCGTTGGTGGTGGGATCGGGCACCTGACCCGCATGGAGCTGGAGAGTATCAAACTCTGGTTCCCTGGAGCGGTATTAGGGTGCAGATAACAGAACAACAGAATGAACTATACTTGTAGAACTGGCCCTCGGACATAATGAACAGAGATGAAGCAGTTCAAAGCGGTAAGACTGGCGGAAAGTCGAATGGGGATGATTGTGCCCGCCATCCTTGTTCGTGTCGTCCTACTCATATCCCTCCAAGAATCGTAAAATGCGGGGTCGATGGCGCAATGTGTCTCGCGAGAACACACCAGGTTCGCGTGCTACACGGTCCCGTGCCCGGCCCCGAGAAAAGGCGCTTGGCGGGTTGGGGGCTTCCATTGGCAGGTGTAACCACAGTGGGGGTTCAACTCTTTCGAGGAGATACATGTAACAATGTGGTTGTTGGAAAGTTCGCTGGCATTGGAAGGTGTGGGAAATATCTCAACCCTTGGAGTTCCAGCGGAGGCTATTGTGTTGATATGTATACCATCCTTAGAAAGCCTTGCCGGGCGTAACAATTATGTTAATACTAGTGTACATACATTCATACTGGTCGTAGGTAGGATGTACTGGGTGCACAGCGCAAGATGAGCCGGAGGGAACAGGAGGTCACTACAAGATACTCTGCCCAACTAATAAAGAGCACCACACTGGCTGATATAGCCCCAGAACCCCATCGCGATGTTCTCGACAACATCCGCAGGGGCGATCGCGACACGGTAAAGCAAGTACGCGATCTGTGCACCAGCTTCCATGCATTCTTCGTGCCGCTTCTGATCTTCGGAGAGTTGAAGGTGATTGGCGATAGCAGAGGACTTGACTGCCTGAGTGGGCTTGGAGACTTGAAGGTGATTGGCGCTCGCAGATTCGTCTACCGCGGTCGCAACGGGATACTCGACAAGGGCCGATACGAGAGGCTCATCGTCTTCAGCCCAACCACCCATGCCGTTGAAGTGTTCAAACAGATCCACAATTGCTCCCCTGATGGCTTCCAGCGGAGCCACATCGACCAAATTGCGAGTTACGTGAGCCCCGGACGAGTATGTCAATGTAACGAGCATTTGGAATACTCAGCAATGGTGGATGTTGAGGTGTGAGGAGGACCTCGAGCAGGAGTGACGCTTGGTTTATACACAAGGGCCTGCTGAAGCCTGAAACGAACCTGGACAACACGTGCCTGTTTCCGAAACAAGCCTGACCTCACCTTCCTTCTTGATTAGTCTGGTCGCGCGTGTAAAGTTCGAGACAGCATCCGCTACTGATCAGTATTCCTCTCTCTGCACCCCTCCTTGGACTCTCTTCCCCATCCACTGCTTGGTATCTTACGAACTGTCCCTTCCCCTTGCATTCTTGGCCTTGGGTGCACATCATAGTGCACAAACCTTTCTCTGGACTTGTGATCGCGCGTGTCCCCGTGATCATGCCACGTAAAAACAGGCCGGCTCGGAGAGCAAGAGGTCTTTGTGGAGTTCTCTGGATGTCCATAGCCTATCCGGAGCGTTCATGAATGAAATGCTGCTTCAAGAACCCCAATAAGGAGGGATGCGACCAGAGACCGATGCCTCACGCGAAAAGCCGTTGAGGTGCTGCATGTGCCCCGGATATGCTCTGATTGGCTTGCGTACCTAAGATCTGCGTAAGTGGACCATAAAAGTCTGTTGCCAATAATGACGACTGCAATTGCAGGCGCATGAAGAGAAATCAATTGATCGCTGATTCACGTGTCATCATCGACGTGACGCGTCTGTGACAAACAGAGTAATTTCCTCCGATGCCCCCTCTTCGGAGACAAACTTCCTACAATGCCCCTCCGGAGGCAATTGCCCTAAATGCCCCTCTGTTCTTCACATGTGCTGCGTATTCGCGTCGGCATTGTGGCAGTGAGAAAAAAAATCATAGTTAAAGGTCCCACAAGTTTTGGATGTTATAGTACAGGAAAAAATTGCATAATCAAAGAGCAAAATCGATCTCAGTCATTTTGGTACATTGCTGTTATTACAACCCTCAAATGACACCTCTACTTAGGAGTATATATTCTAATTTCTTGATAACACCATATGTAATTATTACTGGAAGACCCCTAAACTCTCTCATTTATGAGTTTCTTGTCACTGGACGCACAAATACGCAGAACAGAGGGGCATTTAGGGCAATTGCCTCCGGAGGGGCATTGTAGGAAGTTTGTCTCCGAACAGGGGGCATCGGAGGAAATTACTCGTCACAAACATGAAGACGCGATCCCTACTAGGTACCGGTGTTGCTTCATCCCGCGTCCTTCTCCCTTCTGCCCATCGACATGGAGTGGGAACTAAAGAACGGGTCTTGGGTCCCGATTCCAAAGCCGGTCTGGTGGACAAAAAGCTCAAGTGGCAGTTTTCCCTGGACAGACTCTATGGAGCAGTCCCCAGATGCAAGGCAGCCCTGGAGAAAGAGACAAAGGAGCTGATAGCCGAGCGTGCTGCCCTACGCCAAGATCACCCACTAGTCGTCACTCTCACCGAGCGGATGGCAAAGATTCCTAGCAATACCCGATCGTTGGCTCCACCGCCCCTCACTCCCACTCCCCCAACGGCAAATACCAGCAGCGCTCAGTCCTCCCCTCCTCCCATCACTCCCCTCCATCCGACGACAGATACTCACAGACCTCACTTAATCCCTCCGGCAGAGCCAACCAAGAATGGCGTGACGAACCAGCTACAAGAAGCGATCAAGACGGTCTCTGAGAAGCGACTGCGAGAGATTGTTGTCGAGCTTGTTCAGACGGAACCGGTCGTGGAGAGGGCGCTCACAAAGCTCCTAGCGTCGAGCGGCAAGCGGAAGAGTCGGTTAACGACGTGTCCACGCTGCCAGGTGGAGTACGAGATTGGCGAGAATGGGGAGTACGGCCAGTGCCTGTACCATCCTGGCAAGTCATGTCATTCCAAGCGATGATCGTGTGGCTAACATGTCGCTAGGCGAACTAATTCCGGATTGGACGGCGTTGGAAGGCTATGATTATGATGAGACGACAATTGAATTGGACAAGATGAAGCGGGATTTCCCAGAACTTTACAAATGGGCTTGTTGTGGGGATGATGGATCTGCAGAGGGGTGCCAGAGCGGGACACATGTCCATGGTCGGGCGTTGAAAAGGATTAAGGTATGACCTTTGGGAGGGGGCATTTATTAGTTGCCGATAATGATGAGGGCTACCGTTGCAGAGAAATAAATCAAGTTTCCCTGACGCAACACGTCCGCCTCGGTCGCGTCTTTTGCTTCATTTTTTTTTCCTGAACGCCCATCGACACATGTCTGAAACCCCTGGAACATACAGTACTATTGCTCTGGATACCCCAAAGGCTTCGGCTTCGAATCTCCTTGACCAAACCCGCTTCATGAGCCGCCAAGTGTAAGGTGGCCTACGCAGTTACACAACAATCTATAACGGGACGGGGCATTGGCAAAAGACTCTCCAGAACATCCCCTTCGTTAAGAAGTGATGCCAACACAAACTCGCGATGCTGTTGATACCGCTCCGGCTGAACTGCTCACAGATGAAGTCAAGAGCCAGTTGCAAGAAGCGATCAAGACCGTGTCTGAAAAGCAACTACGCGAATTTGTCGCTGAACTCGCCCGCAAGGAGCCTGCAGCGGAGAGGGAACTGGTGAAGATGCTGTTGGTGCCGCGTAGCAAGCGGAAGAGGGCGGACGAGGTGCAGAGTCGTTGGATGGCATGTGCGAACTGCAGGGTCGAGTACGATGTTGGTGAGGATAGGAAGGCTGGCGAGTGCCAGTATCATCCCGGTGTGCAATCTCGTACTGCTCGCTATGTATGTGATCATGACTGACGTTTTTCTAGGCGAACTAGAACCGGATTATGAGGCGTTTGTGGATGATGATTATGATGAGACGACGATCGAATCTGAGGAGTTGATGCAGGAATTTCCAGAAAATTATAACTGGACTTGCTGTGGGGAAGATGGCACTGTGGAAGGTTGCATAGCGGGGAAGCATGTGCATGGCGGAGAGTCGAAGAAGCGTAAGAGATGAACTGCAATCGTTTGAGGTGTTGTTGTGGGCATGCGTTCGTAATCATGTCTGAATGCTCTTCGATGATGTGTCGCCTATGTTGGAAGACTTTCAGAGCGCATTTCTGGTCTAGATGTCGACCTTTCATAAAGGCGTCTAACTTGAAGATAGTTCAACATCAGACGAAGTAAAAGAGTACAAGCAGATGCCAATGAACGAATGTATGTAATCGGCCTCCCTGTAGTCAGCGGCTTCCGTCCCCCACCAAGGTCACGTTCCGCCCCACCCCTGCAAAATCGGAATATGCCGTGAGTCCGCGGAGTAAAGAGAAGACCGAAAAAGGATACGGAGCCTTATCGGGTAACCCGCTGCATTACAGCAAGGGATCAGCACGTGCCATTGCCCCAACCGCTTGCCTTTGCTGGTTGCCTCTTAATCCTCTTTCTCCTCCTACCTCTTCCTTCCTCGTCCCCCCCCTCCATCCTCCATATCTCTCTGCTCGATTTCTTTCTCGCTCTTGGTATTCCTTTCGCTTTTATTGGAGAGAACCAGCTATGAACTCGACACTTGCCGCTCCGCTCTCGGAGATAGCGCACTACTACCTCACCCAGGTAGACGTCTCCTCGCTCAACATCTTCGAAAAGGCATGGATGAGCTGGTATATGTGGTGGGACAACCCCGTGCTTGCCACGGGCTTGATGAGCTTTATCATGCATGAGGTGCGCTGCTTGCTGGGGGTACTGGAGAAGAGCTGAAGGGGAAATAGGTCGTTTACTTCGGACGCTGCGTTCCCTGGATCATCATTGATGCGATGCCTTACTTCCGGAGGTGGAAGCTGCAACCCGTGCGTGCTCTCTCTGCTGCTTCCAAGTTGGATCCTCCCTCATACCCGTGCAGACTAAGGTACCAACAGCAAAGGATCAATGGGAGTGCACCAAGCTCGTTCTTTTCTCCCACTTCACGGTCGAGCTCCCCCAGATTTGGCTGTTCCACCCCATCGCCGAGTACCTGGGTATGGCCACGTACCAGCTCCCCTTCCCGGGATGGAAGACAATGGCGTGGCAGATTGCGCTCTTCTTCATGTTCGAGGATGCATTCCACTTCGTTGCCCACCAGGCGCTGCACTACGGCCCACTGTACCGGAACATCCACAAGATCCACCACAAGTACAGCGCACCCTTCGGCTTGGCGGCAGAGTACGCCCACCCCGCGGAAGTCCTAATCCTCGGCACGGGCACGATCGGCGGTCCCCTCTTGTACTGCTGGTTCACTCGCGATCTTCACATCTTCACCATGTACGCGTGGATCGTCCTCCGGCTCTTCCAGGCCGTCGACTCGCACAGCGGATACGACTTCCCCTGGAGTCTGAACAAGTTCTTCCCCCTCTGGTCCGGTGCAGACCACCACGATTTCCACCATATGGCATTCACGAACAACTACTCGACCAGCTTTAGGTACCTTGACCACATTTTCGGCACGGACAAGAAATACCATGCGTACAAGGCCCGCCTACGTGCTGCCGCTGCCAAGGACAGGGAGGCACTGAACCAGAAGCTGATGGCGGAGACGGAGAAGGAAGGCCAGGAAGCAGAACGCATCGCCGAGCAATCAGGCTACTTTGGGTCCAAGATCGCTGCCAAGGTCCAGTAGACGGCTTGTTTGCAGAACATGGGAACATGGGTCAGTAAATACAATTGGGTCTCGCGGGCTGGCACGAACTTTGCTCCTCTCCGTTTTCATTCGTTATGCTAGCTTCGGATACCAGAGCGTAAAATGATGTCCTCAACGAGGTTAGATCTATCCTAATGACATGCGCTCAGTTATTTAAATCAACTCATAGGGCTGCGCCGAATATTGTACAACTTGTTTTGTCGAGATTCCGGGAATACGTTGACAAAAACAGCTTGTATGATAATAGATCTGTAAGGCACTTTGTTGACAATGACCTCAGCGTCAAAACGTTTGCGAACATGACTGACGGAAGAATGGGCCCTTATTCGAGCACGCCGTCCATCCATCCCTCCTGTTCATTTACATTCTCCGTCCAATGTGCTGACCATCACTCTAATACCGCCATCTCCTTCTCTCACTTACCTGCATATACCCCACTATACTCTGCACTGTCTGTCTACCAGAACTGAGCTCAAGCTGACGCACGTGGTTGGCTTTTCATCTCAGAAAACGTCAAATACCTTCATTATTACCCAACCAACGTTAACCACCGCCATCAACGTCTGTCCATGGATCCCCAATCAGCAACTCCTGCGTCGCCCACCGCGCTCTCCTCCTCATCATCGAGCACAAACTTCTCTTCCCCTTCTCATCCCTCCCAACCCCCGACGAACGCGACCACCCCCGAGCCCCTCCCACAGCGCATCATCTTCCCCTCCGACGGGAGACCGCAGCATCTCTCCCAGCCCCCACCGCCGAGGAGGAAAGCGAGCATTTACCCGCTTTCTCTCGCTGGAAAGCAGACGAAGCCGTTTAGCAGGAGCGCGGCTAAGAGGGAGAGCGTGATGATGCTGGGGAGTATCGAACATCTCCAGCACTATTTTACAAAGCAGGGGATTGTCGCTAAACAAAGGTGCGCTCTCGCATCATCCCTCTCTAGCTGTAATGAGCTAAGCCTCTGTAGACCGAGCAAAGTCTTATCTCGTCTCGTGCCCGCCATTGGTCCAGCAGACGGCCGTCGCATGTCAAACCCCTTCGACCCGCTCACCCCGTCCTCCTCCCAGTCACTAGTCGACCTCCCCCCTTCACCTGTTGCTCCACCCCCAAGACCGTCTCTCGTTCTCCCTGCTCTGGACGTGAGGGAAAGACACGATCCACTGCTGTTACGCCCGCAGGTGCTTGGCGCGCTAGAGGAAGTCGAGGTGCTTTGGGCTGTAGACCCAGTTTCGATCAGCTCCCTACCTGCTTCCAGCTCAGGAGTAAGCGATGCCGAAGGCGAGAAGGACGCTGCGTCAGAGGGAGACGTACTGAAGCGTGACCCGACTGACGCAGTCGACGTACTCCACTCCCTCCTGCGGACGACGCACCTCATCCGCTCCGTGCGCAACTACCTTGTCTCTCTGCCCTCGTCATCCAACTCCCCGCCTCCGCCTGCACAGCTCTCCACGTTCAGACCTAATAACCTCGCTCCCCAGCCGGTGCCAAGGGGGCGCATGTCATCAGGTTCGACCATCACTTCTACTACATCTGTCTCTGCTGTTACTGGTGCGACTGGGTCCACGAGCACGGCTCCAGCAGAGCCATCAGCACGCATCAGGCGTGCGGCGCTGGACCTGCTCGCCCAGCTCAGGCTGTTCGAAGAGTCCTGCCGACTCGGGCCCACCCCCGACCTAATGGACGACGACGAGCCTGATGGGCACGACAATTCCTCTGACGTGTCCTCTCTCGGTCCGCCGCGCGCTCTGAGCCCGTTCCACGGCAGTGGTGGCCCTTCGCGTGGACCGTCGCCTCTTCCCCCCTATGACGGACAGGATGAGGATGAAGATGGGGAGAAGAAACGCGAAGCGTGGGACGAGCGGCTCGTTCTTGGCGGAGGCTTCCTCTACCGCCAGGATCTGACGTTAAAGGACTGCACACTGGAGCGCAGAGCCGTAGGGCTGTATCTCGCTACAGTGGACCAGGTGCTCTTCCGCGGACCTCCTCCAGGGCAGGAAGGGAAGGACGGACGGGGATGGCGCTGCCCTGCAGAGGCCGATACACCCCAGAGCAAGAGGAGGGTGTCAGGCTCGCATCTTTCGGGAAGGAGACCCGCTTCGAGCCCCGCGGGTAAGAGGAGGGTCGTGAGTGCCCAGGGACTGCTCGAGTCTTCTCTGGCTCTGGGCGGGATGCTCTCTGAAGAACCAGAGGAGATCAACGCTGCTGCGGAAGGTATCGACAGGCTCGAACTGGGTGGGATCGCCGAGCACGACGAAGAGGTGATATTAGAAGAGGATGAGGATGAGGACGACGCGGGAGACATCTCCCTTTTGTCACAGGACGAAGCCTCTCTCCCTGACTGGGCACAAACAGAGAGGTTCACCACCCTGGCCGAACGCACACACGCCCTACTGGCATTCTATCTACCCTCAGCGCTGCAGCCCCGCCTGCCCCTTCCTACACCCGAGGAAGACTTCTGGCTCGCTCTCCAGTCAGGACAGCTTATTTGCGTGGCGTACAACGCTGCTGTCCGCCGATCCTCTAAGCCTTGGGGGTATATCGAGCCCCGTGCAATACACGACATCATCGCGCTTGATCTTGCTGCTTCCCAGCCCCCTCCGCCCCCTGTGCCGGAGGCGCCAGTCCTGCATCCGCTGCATCATGCTCTCGGCCCGCAGTTCACCGGCAAGAAAGGCCAGCAACAGCGTCCAGAGCCTGTAGAGCCTCTTCGCCCGCAGATGACAGGTTCGGCACGAAAGGAAGGCGGGTGGACGTTCAGACGCACTGAGAATTTGCGCTTGTTCGCCGCTGCATGCAGGCTGAGGTACCTTATCCCGTTCGTCGATGTCCTTCCGCCGCACGCGAAGGCGGGGAAGGCGAGTGACGCGGTGGTGTTTGACCCCAAGGTCGTGGCCGCGAAAGCAGAAGGATGGGAAGCCATGCTTGCCGTTGCTGTAGAGGAGTGGGTGGGGAGAGTCGTGAGAGAGAGGAGGGAGGAGGGAGACAGGGGTAGGCGGTAACACTCCGTACCCCGAACGGGCATTCTCCAAGAACAAGTGGGCGTCAACCCTTCGAATAGGCGACCGCTCGCCCTCCCCGTCAGGAAGTTCTTCGCTCGAGCGCTCAAAAAGCTCTGTAGCTGCCGCCTTCTCTTTTCTGCTGATTCTTTCTCCTTTCGATCTTATCATCTCCTTCGTGGCTCGAGCAAAACCGCGTCCTTTCGTTCTTCTGTTAATTCTCTTCGCAAACCAAACACGGCTCAAGGTGTGCCATCCGATTCTCCAACTTCGTGATACCCATATGCAATGATACATCGATCGCTCTTATACAGTACCTACCCCTTATATGATGTTCCGCCCCTTCGTTCTAGCTTTTCCATATCGGTATCGTATGACTATATCCGTCCCGGTCGAGATGCCGATGCAGTTGTAAACCATCCTTCACCGCCGTGCTCTAGCGTATTCTTACACCCAAGTCCATACGACATGAAGCGAATTGTACCTAATTGAAGTGGATGGATTGCTCAACAGCTTGCATTTCATCCGCTTTTGGGCGAGGTACCTAATAGTAGAAGAAACCCATCGAACAGGGTGCAAGGGCATAAGCGCGTCCATGTCCACTAGGACCTTGCGAACATCCTCTCCGTCTCCGGAAGGAACGGCGACGGTGCTTACTGTGGAAGCTCCCACGGCCGGCGGCGGAGATGCGGAGTAGAGAAGAAGCAAGGGCTTCCGAGCTCACTAACTTCCTCCCTTGCTTTTGTTCATCAAACACGTACGCCTAATTGGAAAGGGTTGTAAGGGCGTAAGGGTACTGGTCTCGGATCACAAGACTACTGCAGAGGTTGATGAAATGACGGTGGGGACCCTTTGTAATAACACCAGGTGTGGTCGATGGAACATATTGTAAAGCGGAAGTGGATTGATGTTGAGGAACATGAGCGGAGATTCGGAAGAGAACGTTGAACGTTGTCTAGACCGTCCGGCGGATCGAGCCGACCTCCAAGTACGCACAGAGCTTCTCCGAAAGGGAATCGGACTTGATTTGCGGTCGACAAGTACTTTCAGGAACAGCTCAGAGAGTGATTCACTCGCTATCTGCATACGCTCCCGTTTGCTTGGTGCGACCTTTTCCTAAGTTATCAAGGCGGCGCTCAAGAAGTTAGCACAGCCCGCTAAATCACCTTCAACCTCTGAACCCTTCAACGACATTTACACTCAAGTTGATGGACAGAAGCACAAGCCCCCGAACTTGTGGACCCATTGATCGGCGGCGAGTCTGAAGCCTGACGAAGAACTTTCTGACTCGATAAACCTGACAGAGGCCGAAAGCGCTTGGAGTACCGGGTCTGGGCCTATTAGACACGGGTGTCACAAGGACTGGATGTAGACGCACAGGGTGGTAAGGGTGCCCAAAACAAGCAAACATAACCCGTATGTCTCCGAGCACAGACGGATGACGACATTTCCAACAGACCCCAGCGCCTACTAAAGAACCCCGGTTGAGGCATCCAATCAGTCTTCTGCACCAAGGCGCCCAGCCGTTTAGATGGGATAGATCGCATGATAGGGAGGCGTAGCAGAAGTGAGGCGAGAGCGCATGCATGAGAACCGTTGACAGCATGGACACGTCTTCATTGGACAAACGCCCAACTCCACCATGGCGGGATGTATGGGTGCCTGAGCACAAGTATACCCGATGACATCGCGCGTCAACGGCAGAATGGCAAACGGGTGTAAGAAGCAGATTGTCATCTCCGGCGGCAGCGCAGATCCACCGGATATCGTGAGAAGCAATATCTGATCATATGTAGAAGGCAGCATGAATGGGTTCATTGATCATTGGAGGCACCAATCATCATGGTAGATACTGGTTAAATCGATGTTTGGAGCGGCCGCCGGCAAGAACTTAATGAGCGCTAGCAGCGGACGGTGGAGGGTTTATCGCAGCAGTCCGAATCGACCCATTACGGCACCATATTGTGGCTGTATCAGCACCGTCACGATGCCAAGTCATGGTGGAGCATATCATCGGTACGAAAATGTCGAAGTGCCCGATGACAACGACGATAACCAACAGCCGCCCACAGTCACGCGACAAAGGCTAACGTTAACAATGGCTGGCTGAGTTGTTGTAACATGAAAGTGGTGAGAATGACGAGAAGAAGGACGTTTCCGTGGAACGGGCCGGGGACAACGTGACCTGGCATCCTTTGGGACGAAAGCGGAACTTCAGGAGCCTCGCGCACCAAGGTTTGGGGGACCATTCGTGCCCTGCGTGCGGCTGCGCACCGGCGCTCAATGTTGGCGTTATCCGCCTCCCACTTTCAGGACATCAAAGATGCCGTTCAACAACACTAATGACGACAGTGGTTGTACCACAAGCCGGAAGCAATGATCATCAGAAATTTGCATTTGGGCGCCTCGTCATACCTTGTCAGCTGGTCCTCGAGCGATCGGTATGCCGAGTGAGTTTTCAGCGTCCTCTCTACGACGTCGGTCGCCCGACCGAACATGATCGGCCTGCGGAGATTAGGAGGACAATGTCGATGTGCACACCCTAGTGTCTCAGGGTTGGACGGCGTGTGCAGAGGACAAGCCAGACGGAAGTGATACAAGCTCCGGAATGTTGCGTCTCTAAGGGACAGCGCCACAACCAAAAAAGAAAACTAAAAATGAAAAAGATGGAGTCCGAGGAAGCTGTTATGGAACCGGGGTCCGTGTGTCCGCGGTCCGTGTGTCCATTCTAGTCCAGTACTAATCAAGCTGTGACAGAAGACAAATCTCTCGACTACATGGATTGACTACGATACCGAGTAACCTTTGCGACAAGAAACAGAATAATGAGCGTGTGCTTGCAAGGGAAAATGCCGCGATAACGGCGGGACTACCTAATGTGATACAATGCGAATAGGCAAGATATATACTAATGCTAGATTACATGCGAAGTTCGAAATCGATCTAGAAACCGGAGGCTTGCTCCAAGGGGATCATCGAATGGTGGTGAGAATCAGCCATGTCATGAGAGGAGAATGCGCTGGCGTGGTGAGGCAGGTGCTCGTCTTGCAGGACAATGTTCGCGAATGCGCTGCTCCAGTCCGGGGGCACGTCTGCTCTGGAAGCAGACGGGGTAGTAAGGTCTTCCATGAAATTCTGGAGGAGAATGTCAGAGCTGAATTTTCGCTTGGCCATAGGGCGCTTACTTCGAAATCAACTGTTTCCTGGGGCAGTGACATAGTCATAGGCAGCTCAGGAAGACCAAAGGCAGGTTCCTCAAGGGGAGGCAACTGTTTTGAAATGAGGTGAGGAAGGTAGTCTGGTTTGGAGAGACATACCAGAGTCTGATCGAATGCCATCTCGTCGTCGAACAAGAATGCCGAGCCGAAGGGTTGCGATGGAATGGTGTTAACGGGAGACGTAGTTGAGCTGCCTGTGCTCGTGGGTGAAAATGCTGCGTAGTGACTCATGGGTACAGTGGGGAGTTGCAAGGGCGTGTGCGGCAAGGGGAGATTCGGCATTGAACTGCGTCTCTTCAGCCAGTGAATAACTCGGTCATCATTTCACGTACCTTGCTTGCAGATTGGTGAAATCAAAGTCGCCAGAGAATGAGCTCACAGAGCTCCACTCTGAAGGCGCAGGACTGGGCCCTTCAGATCCGACGGGGGAAGGCAGGCCCTTGTGGGCAAACATGTCGAATACCGGAGGTGACTGCTTCGTCAGGGTCAATCGGTTTGGCACACCACGAATTGCAATAGGGGATGCCAAGCTTGACGAACAGACTGTGGCCGGAGGCGTGTCTGGTTCAGCCCCAGGTGCGATCGTGATCAGCCCAGCGCTAGTGAGAGGGCGATTGTCTTCCAGTATTTGCGCGGCACTCGCCAATTCGAGGACTGGGAACCCAGAACTCGTCGCTGGGCGTACATCCGGTGCTGACATCGGTGCTGACAATCGATATTCAGGATTGAATGATTCGAAGGATAGCATCGGGGGTCGGAGTGGACGTAACCCCTGCTGCAACAGACCAGACGTCGCGGTGCGCCTCGGAGCCGGACGTGCGGTTGGTAGAGACATTGGAGCGGGCATAGAATTCGTGCGATGCAGGGATTCGGTTGGCGATACCGTTCCCCCAACTGGTGCCGGGGTCGCAGGCATGGCACCGGGACCGAAGGCTGGCGTGGAAGGTCCATATGTGGGTGACGTTCCCGGGAAGGGCTGCAGGCTAGCTAAGACATCCTCGGAGACAGTTTCCGACACAACCCCCTCTTGCGACACCAAGTCTGCAGGTGGGAGTAGGGGAAAGTTTGAGTATGGCGTTGGAATGGCTGAGCCAGTCTTGGCTGGAGAAGCAGGCAAGTTCATGTTCGGTCTCGTGGAGGATGAGGATGATAGAGTGCGGAGTGACCTCTCCGTATGGGATCGCTGAAACGAAGAGGAGGACGAAGATGAAATCGGTGTGACCGGCAGTCGCGCGCTGCTGTTCCGTCGGCGTGAAGGAACAGGGAGGCCAGCTGCAGCGGCCTCCAATTTATCCTTGGACCGACGATTCTGGAACCAGATCTATAATAAGAGTTAACGACATACACGTTGATGGAGGCAAGATCGGACTTACTTGAACTTGCTTATTAGTCAAATGTAGGAGACCCGCGAGCTCGCGCTTGAAGGTCGTGCTGGGATACATATCCCCATTGTAAACATCTTCAAGAACGTCACGCTGATCACCGGTATACTTAGTTCGTCTTGACTTTCTGTCTTGCAAGTCGGAAAACGTCTCGCAGACGACCGGGAGCGACCCGCGGCGTACGGCGGTAGGACGTTCAGAACGGATGACGGTCATGCTCCTCGAACTCGACAGAGACGAGGATTGAGTAGCAGATACAGAAGGTACGCGTAGAAGAGTAAGGGGTACAACAGCAAGGGTGTTGAAAGAGTAGACGAGGCCCGGGGGTATGGTACAAGAGAGAGATGCGTAGGCTCGTGCAACAGCCCAGCAGGGGGAAGATGTGCTCAGGCGAACAGGGAGGTCATGGGAGAGCGTGCGGTCTAGGGCCCTTGCTTGATGTCACTCACCCCTTTATCTCGAGTCAAGGAGGAGGAGAATGGGTCGGAAAGAAAACGAGCTTGACCATATGTGACCTAAAAGTCTGGGAGGTCCACCGTGTCAGAATCACCATCCGGGGGTTAATCGAAGAAGGGAGGCTCTCTGCCTTCTCAGAAGACCTTGATGCCCATGACGCGTGCCAGGCGGACCGTCTCTGTGTGTTTGCCCTTGGGTGAGGCCCCCATACTCACCTCAACCTTGGCCCCGAACAGAGCAGAGGGGTGTCGCCCATCAATCCGAAAAGGTTTGTTTCGGCAAATGGAGTGAACCCAAATGGATCCAAATTCCATCCCTTCACCGATCGGGCCATGCGCAACCACCCGCTGTTGCTTTTTAGTTCGCTTCCGCTTCTCCTCCTCCTTAGCTCATTTGTCTGCGGCAGGGTCGCGGCACCTCTTAACTCACTTATCACGAGAACATGCACAGTATGGTGTGGCTTGACCAGAAATCTAGGCGAATTCCCCGCACGCAGATTCCGACAACGCTTTGCCAGCCATCCCCCTCTGACCCTCCCATCCAAGTACTTGACATTCGTCGGAGGGACCGGCACATGTCACTTAGGCTTCCGAACCCCAAAAAGCACCTCTTTGCCTAAGAGTCCAGCTCTCCCGCCAGTTTAGAGTTGCGCAGAGCACTGAACATTACGTGAGCGGCACAGCCAGAAAGTGCCTGGCACCCTGGTCGATGCGCTCTCACAATGACAGCTGTGGCAACTCGTCCTTGTCTGGCTCTGGGGTCATCTCGCAAGCAGCCAGCTCACGGGGTTGATCTTGATAGTCTCGGTTGTACCTCGTGTCCTCAAGACAACACGTAGCCATCGTCGATGTCAACATCCATGGTCGACCTTGGAATGCTCAGTGTCCCACATAACAGGGGTATCACTCCTTTTACCCCACCTACTGATGGGTTCCGGAGATTCGAAAAGGGGCAAATTTCTGTCTCCGCTTGGGGAAACCCAGCGGCTGTTCGTCGGTCCGTCAATGTTCGCCTAGCAACCTTTACCGATGCCTATTCGCGTATCTGATCCTTGTGCCTCTGCCGTAGGAGGCGCAGATGCGGCCGAGCAAGCCCCCGTGATCAATATCACCCATCGATGAGCTCGTGTCACAACACTGTGCACCACAGAGATTTGACGTACTGACGTGATCAACAGAGTGGCATGCAAATTCAGTATGAAACAAATCGCGCTACCAGCTTTTCCTAAGCACGGGTTGTCATGTTGGCATTTTTTTTTCTTCTATTCGGAATTTGTGGACCCACACGCGACGCGCGAGCCGATCGAACGATATGGCTGAGTTTCCCAAGCTATATACCTACTCCTTTCGACTTGGAGGGAACCGGCTTGTTACCCACTGCGAGGTTGATACACAACGGGAAGGAATCTGCCAAGTGTCATCAACGAAGGGGCGATCTTTCCGAGACAAGGTCTTCTTTCCTCAGAGCCTAGGCAAGAATGACTCTTGTCTTCTCCCCGGTAGAAAATGGGGCCACCTGAGAGAAAACAGTGGTAGAATGAAGGGTAGGTGCGTGCAAGGTAAAGATTTGGAGTCATTCCGGTTACTCCCGTCGGTAACCGGACCACAAGTGCCATTTCGATGCCGAAAATTGTCATCACATGTCGCTGTATTGTCACTCCGATGAACGCCTTCGGGAAATGAAGTTCTAAGATCAGGGACTCGCGGATAAAGAAGGTCCAGCACATCGTGCGTGTGGTTCGATTGCGGCCGGCAAAGCGTGGCTAAAGTTGTCACTCTTCGGCGTCGGTACACGGAGAACAAGGCGCGACACGTCGACGTCCTTCCGCCGGCGCCATCTCGGGGTGAACGGAGAACCGAGGAGAAGAAGGCAACCTCCGGACTGCAATTCCATTCACCGAACAGATTTCATATGCAAATAGTCTACCTGGTGATGAATATATTTGGATCGTCGCACTTCCCCAAGAGCTTGTTTACACGTGTAAGTTGAGAGGCGCTCATTCAATTCTGTGGTTTTATCCTAGTGCCTCTATTTTCGTAGACCAAAACTTCTCTTCTGCGGAGGTCAACTACCGAAGAAAAGTTGAGAAGTCGAAGTGACAAGGTCTGGCCCAGCTACGTGTCGCTTTCCAATTCAGATCGCAGGTGATATCAAAAGTATCTCGATTAGGATAACAAACAGATTGTAGAGTGCATTGTATGTTCTCCACTTCTTTCGGTGATTGAAACCTCTCCATATGTGCACCGGAAGACGTTCCGACTCGCATAACGGGACTGGACCTGTTCTTATGATGACCAGTGGGTGGGTAGTCCGAAGCATGCCGAATAGCGGCCCAGGCAATTATGACAATCTCTACACTTTCCGTTGTGGAGGTGGACCCACATTAGGCGTGCGCGGCGACGGGACCCCGCCTGGGTTTGGTTGAGTTATTGCCAAGACTATGTTGTGGGAAACCGGCGGCACCGCTGGCTTGGTGGCAAGTTGCAATATCCGCGGTTCAGATCACTTTGCACCACTGAGATGCGTTGGCCCTGGCGGTGCGTGAAAATCGATATATTGCGGTGGCACTTCCGAAGAAGGTGGAATCGGTGAGGGTCAGGGACAAGGGCATAACTCCCTCAGTGCCGTACGTCCATTTCCACCGCGAAGCTCAAATTCTGCACTCTTTTGAAGATGCCTGCTCCGGTGGCTGCTTCTCACGGCAGGAACAAGCCATCTCATACACCTCCTCCAAATTGGCCCGTCACCGTCCCATATCTTCCCCATCCAATACCGCATGCGAGTTTGTCGTCACAACTCGTCGGGCGGTATTGTACACCAGCACCACTTCCCGTGACACACCAGGGCCCGATCACCAAGATAACAAAGATAACCGATCCGGCACATCCGGCCTTCGGTCAGTACGGACTCTTTGCTGCCAAGAAGATTCCGCCGAAGACGTGGATACTGGACTATACGGGTGTTGTACATGATCAGTCTGGAACAGATCTCACCTCGAACTATGATCTCTGTCTGGAGCTCCTTCCGAGAGCACCGGGCCTGATCGGAGCTTGTCAGCTGGCATCTAAACGTGGGCAGGGTGAGGCACCGGATGAGTCTGACACACCTGCCTATTGGGATATTGCTGTAGACGCAGCCAAGTCGGGCAATGCGGCAAGATTCATCAACGACTTCCGAGGCGTCCCTTCGAAGGTGAAGCCAAATGTGGAATTCCAGTCGAGAAAGATCGACGTGTCGACGACAAAAGGCAGGATAGAGGTCGTTAGAATTGGTGTTTGGTCTGGCAAGGATGGGGTTGCAAAGGGAGAAGAGTTGTTGCTCAGCTATGGAAGGGCCTTTTGGCGAGCAAGACGAAAGGAGGAGGAAGAGGCTAGTCAAGAGGAATCATGAGCTGCAGCGTATGACACTTGTTAGCAGACACCTTGAAGGGATGGGGTATACAATGTTAGGAGTGGGGCATTTGTTCCATTGGTTGTTTATACCCATAACATTTATACCTGATCACGATACAGTGTTTAATCTTTGTTACACAGATCCACCAAAAATCAAGGTCATCAAATCACGTCATCTTCTCAACTCAACGGACCACCATATTGGCTCTGTCGTCTTGATCCATATCTCGGCAGCTTCCACCCAGTTGGAGGTTGAAACAAGACCACTAAAGCTGGACTCGGTTCCATCTGAGCAATAGTCAATAGTGCACATTGCTCAACACGAGAACGGCGAACCAAGGTTCCACTTCAATCCCTTGGTCGTCAATATGGTCGATCCAACCCCAACTGGCAATAGTCCGCAGGTCGGGCCAAGCAGCGATCTGTCAATACGGATGCGATGTTCACCCTGCCGGATGTCAGTTGCAAGATCCGGATCTCAGGAGAGTGATGCTAACAGCGTCCAGTACCCATGCAATGTTTGCCTCGGTCACGACAAACGTCCTCGGTCTCTCATGGCGCAGCTTATGTAATTGGCTGAGGGTGTGAATCGTCTGGTCTAATCGACCTGATAGACCGCCGAGGATGACAAGGTCGTACTGTCTCGATATGAGCCCAGGAAAAGGCGTAACACAAGCTGTCTCACCTTTGTTCCAACCGCCAGCTCATGCTCTTTTAGCGCAAGTATACACTTGATGAGATCAGTAGCGTATAGGTCCGCATCTTTCACGATGGGTACACCCTGCACAAGATAAGAAACCATGACTCGCACCAAGTTGAGCATGTACCTTGGCTGCATAGAAGGATTTGACGTCCGGTCTGATGGAATCGAGGTCGCCTTTGATAAGGTCGGGTATATAGCTGTAGTACACTGAGAATGATCAACGCCAACGGGTTCTGTGATCGACATACACACACGCACTCCTTTCCTCTTCTTGCAAAGCATCAAATAATCGATTGGAGCCGCCATCAGCGCACGCTCGCCATTGGCCTATGCCAGTTCGGTCAACTCGAACCCACAGAACGGACATTACGTACAGGTCGGCCATATCTTCTTGACAAGAAAATGCTCAAGCGGGGTATTAAGAATGACTAGAGCGCACGGTGATGTAGGCGATGAACATCCTGATTGCGAAATAATATGGTCTACCGACCAGTCGGTGGTCGTCGACGACATTTAAGCTGTCAGGAACGCGCGCCGGAACCGATCAATTTTCCGCCTCCCATTTGTGAATGTTAACCAGGGAACGTCTTCAAGTTGATGGCGTAGTGATGACTACTATTCAGTCCCTCCTGGAACCCCCAGATCAGTCTCTAAGTAGACACAGGGCAGTGGATTATGTTTCCTCCAAGTTTCCGACGTGGGAATCCCTAAATCTTGACACGTTGCAAGCCGCTGTTGATCAGGCTCGCGCTGAGAGTGACCAGTTAAACCAGGAAGTTCGTCGCCGCGATTGAATCATTAATTATCATGCCTAACACATTTCACAGGCTGAAGAGTCGTCCAAAGTACGAGACATCGTTCTTCAAGAGACGCTCGAGAAAGCATATGCCGCTCTCTCCTCAGCGAAGGAGCTGTCCCTCTCCAGACGCACAATTGGGGACGAGCTAGCCGCTTTGAACAATGAAATATACCCACCACCAGGTGAGGAAAGAGAGGCAACGCTACTGGAGCTGGATCGATTGCATGCCCAATTGGAAGAGTTGAGCAAAGCACGGGGGTATGCTGGAGTGGTCTTGACAATGGTTGAGCTTGGGTACGTACGCTTGACCATGAATTCGAGGAATGTACCAAGGCTGATTGTTACACAGCGAGGTTGCGCAGACCGACATACCAGCCGTGATATCTCCGGCGTCTCTGACTGCATACAAAGCACTGCAGTCTTTTGTCGCATCCCTTGTGCAATCTTTGCCAACTGGTCCGATTCATTCTTCGCCATCACTGTCCTTCGTTGCTCGGGCGATTCAAAGGCGCACCTGGAACAGCATACGCAACGCGCTGTCATCGTGAGTAGTTCGCTTGTGGTGCAAGTGATGAGCTGCTGAATCTGTTCTTCCGATGGCACAGCAAGCTCATTGATGCGTCTGAGAAGCTACGTTGGCCCCTTGCAGTAGACCTCAGCACGCTCAGTCGGCCGGATCTAGACGCCTTCTCGAAAGCATTCTTAGACCTTATGCAGCTGCAGAAAGCGTGAGTCAGATTGGCAATGATTCTCATGATCTCAGTAACGGTTCTGCAGTGGGGTATCGATCCACGCCTCTGAATCGCAATATCCCGGGGAGGAGCCTCGAGATGTCGGCTTGTATCCGTTGCAAGCGCTGGTCCGACCAATCGCACAGCGTTTTAAATTCCATTTTGAAGGATCAAGACCAACCAACCGATTAGACAAGGTGCGTGCTTTGTCACATTCCTGTACATCTAACGTACAGTTCTTCTAGCCTGAATGGTACTTCCAGCATATGTTAGGGGTGATACGTGATACTTTACCTGCTGTCCATCGCATCTTTCAGCCGTTAATAGACAATGGTGGGTACAAGCAGATCATTGCCCGAGTAGGTAACATTTTCCTCCCCGTTTGGTGCGATGCTGACACCTTGTGAAGAACGAATTTATTCGCCTTCTGCTCCCGATTCTTTCTCGGCACTTGTTATTATCGGTGTCCCAGATTTTGCATGACCCGTCCCTTCTTGCCCATACAATCTATCAGACTCTGGAGTTCGATGGAACGTTCAAGGATGAGGGTTTCTCTTTAGATGGAACTTGGGAGTCCAATCCAACCCAGCAGAAGGAATGGGATGGTCTCACAGAAGAGATCCTCGGTGACGGTGAAGTGTTCAAGGCGTGGCTTGAAGGCGAACACAAATGTGTGTGCCGTCTGGGGTCGACATTGCTTCGAATATTGACCGTCTCCCAGTCACACAGACACGCTATGATGAGCTGATCGCTGCTTCCGACGCTTGGGTCATAGTAGATGATCAAGGCACCAGGATTGATGAAGACGCCCTTCGTAGTACTAACTCCGCTCGTCGTTTATGCGCCTTGGTCGAACAAGTGACTGGTAAGCACGCTTTCCTACCAGCAACCGGGGCTAACGCTTCGTCGACAGACCGATATGCACCGCTCCCGTCTTTTTCCCAACGAACATCATTCCTGACGTCTGTTCAATTGCCGTTGTTGGAGGCCTATCATTCTCGAGTCTCCGCTTCCCTCGATGCGTTTGAAGCATTATCAACAACATTTGCCAGAGTTGTTCCTGGTGCTCTTGCCGGTCAGTTGGGGGCCCCAAAAGACCCTACCTTCGGGGTAGAGGGCAGTGACAGGCTGATCAAGGCTTGGGCAAGTTCTGAGGGTGTCATCACAGGCATGGAGAGATGGGGTGAAGATGTGGTACGTGATGCGACTTATCGTCTTGCGTCCAGGAATTGAAGTCCCACTAGTTTTTCTTGGAGCTCTGGAACGAAATCAATAGTCGGGCCTCTCTACGCAGCCGAGCTGCTGCGACAGCTTCTTTGCCCGATCCCAAGTCGGGAGAAGACAGTGTTGCCGAAGGGACCTTATTCGATGAGATCATCGCGCAGTACCGCAAGTTAAGCCAGCGGGCTGAAACGATGATTGTCAAACAGACAACGGGAGAAGTTGAGGCGCAACTGAGGGAATACTTCGTTGCGTAGGTGATTTTTCTGCGCGGTGAAAGCCCAAACTGACATCGTACGTAGCCGCTGGAACGCGCCAGTGTCTGACTCTCTCGGTCTGCCACCAAGCCTAGTACCGGGGCTAACATCTCTGACGTCGCACCTCACCCTCCTGTCACGCCCTCTGCCAACCTCATTCCTCACAACGTTGTACCGCCAAATCACCAGCAGACTCTGCTCGCATATCCTCTCCCGTGCCGTTTTACATACTGGGCGGGGCCGATACACTCCAGAATCGGGGGTGATGTTCACGCGCGAATCTCTAGCCTGGGTAGAGGTGTGTCAGGGCGCTGTAGGCAGCAGAGTCCCACGAGTGGGAAGGACTTGGGAGCGCCTGGTAGACGCCGGCGTGATCTTAGGCCTCGATGCTGCTGAGTTTGGCGCGGCGATGCGCCTCGTGTGGGGTGGATCGGATAAGGAGTTCAGTGAGTGGAAGGTGAAGTTGGGAGTGAATGCCATGAGTCGGGAAGAAGTGATGGAGGTGATGCGTGCTAGATCAGACTGCGGACGCTAGTAGACACGAGCACGACCTTGGTATACCCTATAATCTAATACTACAACTACTCCGCATGGAGTTACAGATCCTGCCAGAGATACACTATGCGGCCGAGTCGGTCAACCGGGTCTCTTCTACCTTGTTGACGAGCTCCGCCTCTGGCGCCTTACTCATCCCATTCTGAGCCTCTGGTTCCCCATCCACCTTGGGCAGGACCGCCCGCTGTTTCTTCTCCTACAACCTATCAGTTCCCTGCCTGCTCGATCTAAGACCAACGCACCTTCTTAGCCTTCTTAACCTGTTCCGGAGGTGGGTACGCCCTCCTCTCCGCCTCCCTAAACTCCGGATCCTCCGCAAAAAGCTTATGCAGCGGCATAAGCAAGTTTCCAATCGCCTCCTGCACACCGGCCTTCAAGTCCCCCGGGTGCAGTTTCCGGTCGGCAAAGTCCCGTTCCAAGTCTTCGTACGTCTGGTAATGGAGCGGGCCTCCCCATTCCTGCTTGCGCGAAATACTGAATACGGTCCCTTCCGGCGCGTCCTCCAGCACAAAGGGCTTCACACCGCCGTCTTCGACCCCGCTAGCCTGGATAGACAGCCTCAAGCGTGAGATGGGGAAGAGGACCGCTTGGGCAAACGCGAGGATTCCATTATCCTCCACGTTCCCCTCTTCACAAAACGCCGCTTTGATCTTCTTCTTCACCTCTGCGGCCGAATCGAGGAAATCGATCTTGCTGTTCGGATCGGAGGAACTCATCTTCCCCCCTGCGAGCCCGGGCACCATCCGGTTCATCAGATGTGCGCGTTTACGATATCCGAGCTTGGGGAGTACTTCTTCCGCTAGGACGAATATCTTGCGCTGATCTACTCCTCCAAATTGGAAGTCCACACCGAGATACTCCTCGTCCAGCGCCTGCAGGCCAGGGTATAACAAGCCGGACAACAACGGGCTCTCGACTTGTTTCACCACTTCCGCCCCAGCACGCTTGGCATCATGTTCCGAAACACTGGCGCAGAGCCGGTAGTTGTCCATCGTATACTTGGCCGTGAGCTGGTAGGAACTGCCGACGACGAACTTGAGCTTGTGCAGGGGGACGCCGATGGTGCGGAAGACACAGGTGAGAATGTACCGGTAGTATTCGACTCGGTAGGCGACGAGCTCCACGGGCGCTTTGAGGTTGTCGAGGATCGCGTGGATGTCCGCGAGGAGGATCGTCACCTAGGAGCGGGCGGCGGTTAGCACTTGACACTTGACGAGTGGAGGCTGACGCTGGGGATGTGCGCACCTCGACACCGGCATTTAGGAAATCGGCAATCTTGGTAAGAGGTACAAAGTAGCCGATATGCGCTGTCAACCCTCAGCACCTATCCACCTACGCACCGCCCAACAGAACAGGAAAGACTCACGTCGTCCAGTCGGGGCCGTCCCTACCATCAGCATCAGCATCAGCGCTCAACCCCCCCCAAACACCAAACACCAAGCAAAAACGAGCACGCACCCCAGTAACATCTCACAACCTCCTGAGCCTCTAGTTTTGCCCGAAGGAGGCCAGCACCGATCACTTCCTGCAGGTTGCGAGTTATGAGCTCTAGTTTTTCTGTGGGGGTTTCGGGGAGGTGGGACATGGTTGGCTTGATAGGGATATGCGTGGGTTTACTAGGGGGAGGGGAGGAGGGGAGGAGAGCAGTGAGTGCCGGTGGGGGATGTGGGGTGAGCGGTCGTGCAGGCAGAAGGATGACTTGGACAACTTCAGATGATGGAAATCCCTGACAATCGAAATTTCAGCGGGAACAAACCTGTTATTCCCTTTTATAGTAACCGTTTCTCACTTCCCTATTCCTATGCGTATACTGCGGTCGATCAGCTGTATGCATGCATGTCTAGTTCGTTACCCTCGTACTCTAACCAACATGACCCAAACGTAACCGAGCTGGCATAGCCTAAACTCTGCAAACCCATTAAACCCAGTAAACAGCATCTATATTCTACAGATTCGGGGGGACGTCACTTATAGCCGCCTCGTCCCCTCTTTCAATCAGGGCCTCCCTTCCCCCTCCCTCTTCCGCCTCCGCCTCTGCCTCTGCCTCTGCTCCTTCCCTTCCCAGCTGCGCAGGCTCTGTGAAAGAGGTAGGGATGGGAGGTTGATCTGTTGACTCGGGTTGGGTAGGTTCTGCGGCTAGCGCGGGAGCTGAGGCTGGGGCTGGTGTGTGTGCGGGTGAGGGTGGTGTATGCGAAGGTGAGGCGGGTATTGCTAGCGCCGAAGATGCTGAAGGTGCTACCGGGACTGTCGGTTCTATTGGCACTGCTGGCGCTGGCGTTGAAGCAGGCACAGTCTGCATCCCAGCTGCAGACCCGACCTGTATCGTCTCCCTCCCCCCAGTCGCTCCACCACCACCAGCAGCAGCCGCCGCCTGCGCCAGCTCCTCCCTCTCCCTCTGGGCACAAACCGGGCACACACTCACCACCCTGCCAATCTCTCTCCCCCCCTCCTCCCCCTCTCCCTCTCCCCGTTCCAGCCTGCCCACTTTCCCCCTGCCAACCGCGTCCTCACTCCCAAGTGCGATCATCGCACATACAGGGTTCATGATCACCCCCAGTACACCCCCGTACACTCCCTTGATCGCCTCTGGCGCCCAGGTGCCTGCTAGGTTCTTCCCGTCCCAGAGAGGGGCGACGATGGCGATGCTCACTGGCCAGAGGAGGAGGAAGTAGACCGCGCTTAGGAGGGCGCCTTCGAGGATTGTGCGGAGCCAGCGGTGTAGCAGTTGGGAGGGACCGGCTGAGAGGTGGAAGACGTCGTTGAGGTCTGAACCGCAGAACCATTGGTAGGCTGCAGGAGGGTCAGGGTGGGGTTGAGTAGGGAGGGGGAGAGAGGTGGGAGGAGGAAATTGAGGGGACGTACGTGTGTGTAGAGCGTGCCGCTCTCCCTGGTGAGACCGAACATGCCAGTGAAGGTTATACCACTGTCTGTGTCTTTTCCTCTCTCCCTCCCCCTCCCGTTCCGCCTGCCTAACAGCCTGCCTCTCCTCCCGCTCCGCCTCCCTCGCTTCCCACTGCGCTTCCCTAACGCTCGGAGCCCAAGGCCAAGGTTCGCCAAACGGCTGGATGAGGCCGTTTCGCATATCGGAGTGCACCAATCCTGATACGATAAAGAATGAGAGTATGCCCTGTATGAAAGTGGTGACTGCCATGTCCCCTGCTATCGTGTTGTCTAGGTATAGGAGTTAGGTGCTAGGGTTGGGAGTTGGGAGGGGGGGCATACGCTGGATAGGCCAAACCTCTATCAAGGTCTGGCGGTGATACATGCCATACGCAATCCCAAAGTTAGCACCAGCGTCGATGATTGCCGCACCGAGTGTTTGGGGGATAAGTAGGTAGAGCCATTGTCTGATTGTGAGAGAGGGAAGGAGGGGAGAACGATGAGGTGGTGGGATGAGGGGAGCGAAAGGTGTGGAAGGGCGTGAAGGGCGTGCGGAGCAGGTGTGTGAGTGGTGTTTCATCGGTTTGGGAGAAGGGGAGGGAGAGCGGGATGAGGAGGGAGTGACTGTCATCGGTTTCTACTCTTTTGAGAGGGGGAAAAGAGAAGGGAATGAGGATCGACGATGGAAGGGATGGGTGTGATTAAACGCTCTTCACCGTGTCGGATATGATTACCCCTCGGTGCACCAAATGCGGGGAGAAGCGTGACTAAGCATAATAGGATAAAAGAGGCTGGCAAGCAAGTACAGTAAGACACCTTCCTCCCTCATCCTCACCTTGCACAGACCACAGACCACCACGGACGAATGCACGGAGATCACCCGATTCAAACTCATTTTCACAAGCAAAGAAGGAGCATCGCCTCACCGCGCCACAGACAGCACAACCACCACCACCACCCATCAGGAAATGAGTCAATGTACAACAGACAACGGGCCTACTCAAAGGATTGTCAGGCATATGATTAATTATACTGCATCACTGCTGACCACTCCTGTCACATTATCCAAGCTACATAAACCTGAGGCCTGTTCCTGCAAAAAAAGGTAAAAAGGAAGGAAGGAAGAAGAGAAGAGACACTGGGCTTGCAAGAGGTAGGGTCAACCAGGCCCTCAAATGCTGGAATGTCACACTTCCATCCCTTAGGTCATGGGTCAGCAAGAGGGCCTGAACTCCTATTATTCAGTACAGGTGCTTCAAGTGCTGAAAGTCATGCTGAGAGGGGATGCTGAGAGAGCAGAGGGTACTGAGTGTATGAATTCCTAATACTACAAAATATAGTATGTACCAGAAAAAAGTGTTCCACTTCTCTAGAGCAAGAAGTGTAATTGTAAGTAATGTATATATGACTACCTAATTGAGATCCATGGCCTCATCCAAGTCCACCAACTCTAACACAGTCTTGTTTGAGTCCAAGGGCATGCTCTTCTCTTTTGCTGGTGCACATGGTGCTACCAGTGCATATGGCAAACTCTCCATGTTGTCATGTAACCAGCAATGGAACTGTGGCATCTCTGCATCAGTCATGGATGTCTGGTCAACACCCTGCATGACTGCCATTATCTGGGCTAGCACCCACAACCCACAATCATGGCCATTCTGTTGTTCTGGGACCTAGATCATACTTAAAAATATTCTCTGCCCTGGGGGGGTGAACACACGTACTGAGGCCACATGTGCTTCCCAGCCTACCCATAAGCACCCAGGCTGGTCCTGGGAAGATTCCTCAGTGATTGCCATCACCATACACTTTATCATCTGCATGTCTAATCAGTACTGGCTATGTGAGATAAACATGAGGATGCACCATAACAGCCAACCTCCAATGGTGACACAGTGAGTCATATATAATGATGTGGCATTTGACAAAGTCCACACACCCCAGAACCCAGTGATTTGCCATGTGGAGGGGGAATAGCCACTCTGAATGTTCCCAGCATGCTTCCATATTGAACATGTTTTGGCAGAGTTTCTTAGCAACATGCTTTTCCATCCACTTCCTCCTCAAGCACATGTCAAAGTCAGGCCATGCATAAGAGGAGAAGACTTTGCAACTAAAAGCCTCTCCATTCTTCTTGCTGGGGGAGGGCTTGGTGGGAACTATGGGGTCAGAAGCAGGTGTCAGGGCACCAGCTCATTGCTTGGTCAAGAGACATGACTAAGCCTTTATGACA